ATGCAGGTCTCTTTGATCCTGCTCTGGAAAATGCACATTACAAAGCAATCCCTTGTCACCTCCTGTCTCCTCCACCTAACAAGTAAACAAAACAACAAAACAGCCGCAGCCAAACTGTTGACCAGAGCTCGTTACAGGGAACATGCAACTCCCTTGTTACGACAGCTCCACTGGCTATGGATCTGCTTCCAGGCACAATTCAAAGCCCTATAAAGCCCTATATGGCTTAGGTCCAAGCTCTCTGAAAGACCCTCTTCCTTCATATGAACCTGCCTGGGTTCTGAGGTCTTCCGGGAGGCCATTCTCTTGGTCCCACCACCCTTGGGTGGAATGTGGGAGAGGACCTTCTCGATGGCTGCTCCCAGACTTTGAAACTCCCTCCCTAGAGAAACTAAACTACCTCCTTCCTTCCTAGTGTGGTATAGTGGTTAAGAGCAGTAGACTCGTAATCTGGTGAACCGGGTTCGCTTCCCTGCTCCTTCACATGCAGCTGCTGGGTGACCTTGGGCTGGTCACACTTCTCTGAAGTCTCTCAGCCCCACTCACCTCACAGAGTGTTTGTTGTGGGGGAGGAAGGGAAAGGAGAATGCTGGCCGCTTGGAGACTCCTTCGGGTAGTGATAAAGCGGGATATCAAATCCAAACTCCTCCTCCTCCTCCTCTTCTTCTTCTTCTTCTTCTTCTTCTGTCCTTGCTATCTGGCAATGACAGTCAGGTTCCCACAGGCTTTTGGGAACTGACTGCTTTAATGAAGGGGCTGGTATCATGCTGTTTTGTTGAATTTGTCTGTATGGTTTTAATATGTCAGCTATATCTGTGGCGTGTTTGTGTGTAGTATTAATTCTAATAATGATTAATTGTTATTGTGCTTTTTTCCTATATTTTTGGCTGTTCTTATTTCTTCTGTAAGCCACCTTGAATAAGGCAAAAAGGCGGGGTATAAATAAATATAATAATAACAATAACAATAACAACAGCAAATTTGCTCATCGTTATATCAGCCTTCCTCTTCCTGAGGCAGTTTCTGGGTTCCAGCTCGGGATTCTTTGTGGTCAACAGCTACTTTTTCTTCTAAAAGTGGGGAGTCTGGCAGCGTAAAGAATGAAAGACCTTCCTAATGTGTGAAGGCAAGACATATATTTGCTCTGTTTCCATTTGACCTTTCCCCCTGCTTTTCCAAAAGAGCCCAAGGAAGAATGCAACCAGCATTTAAAATCAAATATGAAAACAATACTGGATCACCTCTCTCTCTCTCTCTCTCTCTCTCTCTCTCTCTCTCCCTCTCCTCTCTCTTTCTCTCTCTCTTTCTTTCTCTTTCTCTCTGTTAACAGTTGTATCCAATGTTTCTTCCAAGGAGCTCAAAATGGCATACATGGCTCTTTTCCATTTTACCCCCATGACAAACCTGTGAGGTAAGTTAAGCTGAGTGGCAGTGACTGGCCCAAAGTCACCCACTGAGTTTCACAGCTGATTGGAGTCTAGTCCGGCACTCTCACCACTGCACCACACTGCCCAAAATATCCCACAGCATAAAACTGAGAAGTAATCTCATAAGCTTAGCATCCATATACTTAGGAAAGTAGGGAAGTTTTATACAGTGGTACCTCGCAAGACGAATGCCTCGCAAGACGGAAAACTCGCAAAACGAAAGGGTTTTTGGTTTTTTGAGTTGCTTCGCAAGATGATTTTCCCTATGGGCTTGCTTCACAAGACGGAAATGTCTTGCAAGTTTGTTTCTTTTTTCTTAAAACCGTTAATACAGTTGCGACTTGACTTCGAGGAGCAACTCGTAGCATGCGGTGTGGTAGCCTTTTTTGAGGTTTTTGAGGACTTTGGTGATTTTTGAAGCTTTTCCAAAGCTTTTCCGACACCGTGCTTCGCAAGACGAAAAAAACCGCAAGACGAAAAAACTCGCGGAACGAATTAATTTCGTCTTGCGAGGCACCACTGTACTGTTAGCGCAGAGCCACAGGGAGGAGTTCAATTAAGTCCTCATACCTTTTAAAGCCTGTAACTTCCCCCAAGGAATCCTGGGGCTTGTATTTTTTTTAAGGGTGCTGGGAATTGTAGCTTTGAGGAGAGTAAGCTACAGTTCCCAGGATACCGTAAGGAGCAAATTCCATAGTTTAGTTGCATAGTTTGTCTTGAACGTTCCAGCATTTGGCTTCATTGGATGTTTGGGTTCTAGCTTTGAGTTTCCTGCTGTTAAACAGGGGGCAGGATTATGGGGTCTAAATGGCCCCCGTCTGAGTTTATAACTCTATCTTGTTTTAAAAATGGCTGTTTGCCATGTTACATTCAGCGTTCCCAACTGGCAGTAAAAATAAAACTCTGCCTGGCCTGTTTCTGCCCCTTTAACTGTGGACAAGGTCAATAGAAACCAGTAGGTGAACCCGAACATGTATAAATCAGCAAATGAACTTTCTCATGGCCTGGAGATAAGCAGTAATTCTTGATGATTATCTGCAGATCAAGTTTAAGGCACAGAAACAGGGGGTCTATTAAAAAAAGAGGGAGAGGTAATGATTAGCCCGCTTGGCTGCAAAGCAACCTATGATCTGTTGTAAACATAGCCTACAAAAATGGAAATAAAATAGCAATGCTGTGGTAAAACAGCACATTTGTTTCTAACATTTCCAGCCACTAAGGACATGGGAGTGCAAAACTGGAGTGTTTGCACAAAACACCATCGAACAAATAATGTGCACTGATTACAGACGTAATCGGAATGTCAAAAGGAATCTGGTCCAGAAGTCCATTTGACCTCCAAAACGTTCTGGAACCAAGGTGCGGTTTCCAATTGGCTGTGGGAAGTTCCTGCAGCCCATCAGAAGCCACGGAAGTTGCACTGGACATTCGGGTTCCAAAGAACGTTTCGATCGTTCGGGAGCCAAAACATTTGGCAACTAAGCCATTCGAATTCCAAGGTACTTGCAAGCAAAGTCTTAATATAGGCGTGGACAACCTATTTTCTGACTAGGTCCATATTAGGTAAAGGTAAAGGGACCCCTGACCATTAGGTCCAGTCGTGACCGACTCTGGGGTTGCGGCGCTAATCTCGCTTTACTGGCCGAGGGAGCCGGCGTACAGCTTCCGGGTCATGGGGCCAGCATGACTAAGCCGCTTCTGGCAAACCAGAGCAGCGCACGGAAACGCCGTTTACCTTCCTGCCAGAGTGGCACCTATTTATCTACTTGCACTTTGACGTGCTTTTGAACTGCTAGGTTGGCAGGAGCAGGGACCGAGCAACAGGAGCTCACCCTGTCACGGGGATTCGAACCACCGACCTTCCGATCGGCAAGCCCTAGGCTGTGTGGTTTAACCCACAGCGCCACCCATGTCCATATTACCTCAGGAGTAATTGTTGGGGGCATATACTAGCCAATCTTTCTTTCTTTCTTTCTTTCTTTCTTTCTTTCTTTCTTTCGCTCCTCTCTCTTTCCATTCTCCTTTCTCTCTTTCTGCTACCCTCTTCTCCTGTGTTTTCCCCTTCCTACCACCTACATGAAATCAGTTTTAGAGAGTAACATGAGCAAGGAGTCAACTACCCCAAGGAGTTTCAGTTTATCCATTCTCAGCATCCATAACTGAGGCTGGACATCCAGAGCCACACTTGTTTGAGCTGTAAAGGAAAAACAAAGTCACGTGTCACCCAAATGGAATTGGACAGAGGCCCACAGGCTGCCCGCATATCATACACATTTCAAAATATCACATCTTTTGGGAGTAACTAATCAAACCTGGATAGCAGCTATGCCTCTTTCAAAAGCTATACACCACATTTTTTTGCAGCCTAGAAACCTTGAAGTAAGGTGCTTCAGTGCTAGACTAAGGGAACCATTTAGGGTAGTATCGTAGGATACAATTAAAAGACGCCTGCTTCTTGGGAGAAAAGCAATGACAAACCTAGAAAGCATCTTAAAAAGCAGAGACATCACCTTGCCGACAAAGGTCCGTATAGTTAAAGCTATGGTTTTCCCAGTAGTGATGTATGGAAGTGAGAGCTGGACCATAAAGAAGGCTGATCACTGAAGAATTGATGTTTTTGAATTATGGTGCTGGAGGAGACTCTTGAGAGTCCCATGGACTGCAAGAAGAACAAACCTATCCATTCTGAAGGAAATCAGCCCTGAGTGCTCACTGGAAGGACAGATCCTGAAGCTGAGGCTCCAATACTTTGGCCACCTCATGAGAAGAGAAGACTCCCTGGAAAAGACCCTGATGTTGGGAAAGATTGAGGGCACAAGGAGAAGGGGACGACAGGGGACAAGATGGTTGGATAGTGTTGTCGAAGCTACCAGCATGAGTTTGACCAAACTGCGGGAGGCAGTGGAAGACAGGAGTGCCTGGCATGCTCTGGTCCACGGGGTCACGAAGAGTCGGACACGACTAAACGACTAAACAACAAGTAGGATACAGGAAGATCTGGCCCATGAGGCGCATTCCTTCAGGTTCTCCTGACCTGGTGAACTGAGAGGGAGCTGTGCAAGAGATCAGTTGCGCTCGCCTGACCTCTTGCACACCTCATCTCCTTTTCATTGCAACAAAGTGCCCACGTAGATTTTTTCCTCTATGAGTGGGATTTACCAGCACATGTTACCAAACTGCCCTGAATTGGATTCACCGTCTTGTTGACCCAGGCGAAGAAATGTGTTTTGTAGAATGCTACTGCCAGTCTGGCTCCTCCAAGACCCCCCTCTGCGCACCCAGAGGCACGGGATTAAAGCCATGGCAGCATCAACTTCTTGCCACACTTCTTTTGCTCCTTACACGATTACAACTCCCGACAATCCAAAACACAGACCGGCCCAATTAAAACTAATTAGCAGGCTCAGGGGAAAGTATATTGATGAGGACTGACCGGTGACCAAGCAGAGAAGTGAACAGTCAAACCTTTCTCCTAACACCCTCTGTGGAATGAAAGTTTTGTGTGTGTGTGTACACACCACATCATTGTGAGGAAGTCTTCTCCAAAACTCCCACTCTATTTTCTGTGTACAGTGGTACCTCAGGTTACATACGCTTCAGGTTGCAGACTCCGCTAACCCAGAAATAGTACCTCGGGTTAAGAACTTTGCTTCAGGATGAGAACAGAAATTGTGTGGCGGTGGTGCAGCAGCAGCAGCAGCGGGAGGCCCCATTAGTTAAAGTGGTGCTTCAGGTTAAGAACAGTTTCAGGTTAAGAACGGACCTCCAGAACGAATCACCGTATTTTTTGCTCTATAAGACGCACCAGCCCACAAGACGCACCTAGTTTTTGGAGGAGGAAAACAAGAAAAAAAATATTCTGAATCTCAGAAGCCAGAACAGCAAGAGCGATCGCTGAACAGTGAAAGCAGCAATCCCTCTTGCTGTTCTGGCTTCTGTGATAGCTGCGCAGCCTGCATTCGCTCCATAAGACACACACACATTTCCCCTTACTTTTTAGGAGGGAAAAAGTAAGTCTTATAGAGCAAAAAATACGGTAAGTACTTAACCCAAGGTACCACTGTATATATAAGCTGGTCCTTTCTTTCTTAATTTTCTTTTTATTGTTTACAATCATGAAATGCAAATGCCAGTTTACAAATACCTCCCTCACTTCAGCAAGTGTGTAATCACAGAACCACAGAGTTGGAAGGGACCCTCCAGGGGTCATCTAGTCCAACCCCCTGCAATGCAGGAATCACAGCTAAAGGTTCCCAGACAGATGGCCATTATTCTCTACTGAAAAACTTCCAGTGAAGGAAGTAGCTTATTCCACATTGCGGAACAGTTCTTCCTGATGTTTAGTCGGAATCTCCTTTCTTGTAACTTGAAGCCATTGGTTCGAGTCCTACCCTCCAGAGCAGGAGAAAACAAGCTTGCTCCATGTGGCAGCCCTTCAGATATTTGAAAATGGCTGTCATATCACCAGTTTTGTTCTTTTCTCCAGATGGGGAAACATCAGTAAAAAGAAACTAGCTGTCATGTGAATGCTGCTGGAGCCTAAAACCCTGGTTTGCTGCTACCAGTCAGTGCAGGCAATACTGAGCTAGGTGGAAGATGGTCTGACTCTGTATAAGACAGTTTTCCAAGTTCCTATTGATTATTTACAGGGACGTGGGTGGTGCTGTGGTCTAAACCACTGAGCCTCTTGGGCTTGCTGATCAGAAGGTTGGCGGTTCGAATCCCCCTGACGGGGTGAGCTCCTGTTGCTCGGTCCCTGCTCCTGCCAACCTAGCAGTTTGAAAGCACACCAGTGCAAGTAGATAAATAGGTACCACTCCGGTGGGAAGGTAAACGGCGTTTCCGTGCGCTGCTCTGGTTTCGGTGTTCCATTGCACCAGAAGCGGCTTAGTCATGCTGGCCACATGACCCGGAAAAACTGTCTGCGGAGCGGACAAATGCCAGCTCCCTCGGCCTGTAAAGCGAGATGAGCACCGCAACGCCAGAGTCGTTCACGACTGGACTTAACTGTCAGGGGTCCTTTATCTTTACCTTTTTATGGATTATTATGGATTATAGGAAATAGCAAGCCTTTCCCAGGGAAATGGGTATGTTTAGCCTGGTAAAGAGGAGGCTGAGGGGAGATACAATAGCCATCTTCAAGTACAGTGGTACCTCGGGTTACAGACGCTTCAGGTTACAGACTCCGCTAACCCAGAAATAGTACCTCGGGTTAAGAACTTTGCTTCAGGATGAGAACAGAAATCATGCTCCAGCAGCACAGGGACAGCGGGAGGCCCCATTAGCTAAAGTGGTGCTTCAGGTTAAGAACAGTTTCAGGTTAAGAACGGACCTCCAGAACGAATTGAGTTCTTAACCCGAGGTACCACTGTATCAAATATCTGTCACATGCAGGATGCAGCAAGCATGTTTCCTCCCGCTCTGGAGGGTAGGACCCGAACCAATGGCTTCAAGTTACATGAAAGGGGATTCTGACTAGACGTCAGGAAGAACTTTCTGACAGTAAGAGCTGTTGGACAGTGGAACAGACTCCCACGAGAGCTGGTAGACTCTGCTCGCTTGGAGGTTTTCAAGCAGAGGTTGGACGGCCATCTGACATGCATGATCTAGTTGAGATTCCTGCATTGTGGGGGGGGGGTTGGACTAGATGACCCTCAGCGTCTCTTCCAACTCTACAATTCTGTGGTTCTAACTGCATCACGGCCAACACATCCTGGCCCCAGCTGCAGCCAAATTCCTTCGATTTCAGGTGCAACCTTGGAGATTACGCAGAGCGCACGGCGCCTGCGAACCTCAGCTCCGCCTTCTCCTTTCCTCGCTCTGTTTCCCCCTCTGTCTCTCTACAAGCTCATAAGGATCTCTCTCTGCTGAAGAACAACTTTTCCTCTTTCCTCTCCCCTCCGTCCTGGAGCACCAGCGTCTCAACCCAGATGAGGGTCGAGGACGGAAACTGGGAGGCGGAGGCGCCACGGGGCTCCGTTCCGCAGCAACCAGTCTCCGGGTTGCAAATTTGGTTACTTGATCTGCTTCCTGGGGTTTGCTTTCGCTTTGCAGGGTCGCCTCCTCCAAGGCTGCTGGATGCACTTGCCGGCTGGTGATGTGACTGACAGGGCCCTGATCCGGGCAGAGAAAGAGACGAAAGTAAGCAGCGATGGCTTTTTGTAATTTTTATTCTTTTGCATTTCTGGTCCGGGGAGAGGAGGACAGAGTTTGGGGTGGGGGGCCTTTTGGGGAGGGAGCCGTTAACCTTCCATGCAAAGGGAGCCCCCAGCCCCGCCCCCAAATCCCATCCCATCTATTGGTGGCGCTGGCAGGACCCGCCTTTGCTCAGCGCAACCTTTTGCATGTGTGTGCCTTTGTCTCGAAAACAGCGCAAGATCCACACCGGCTGATTTGTGCAACGATGCTGATGATGCCCACGTTTAGCAGAAGCGTCCTTCGGCTGGCGGGGGCCACGCTGCGGCTCCAGGTGTTCAGCTCTCCCCAGAACAGATGCTGCTACTCTGGAGACGCCTACCCTTCCCCCACTAAAGCCAGGGGGGTGAAGAAGAGGGGCTATGACATCACCAGGAACCCCCATCTCAACAAGGTTAGACTAAACCTCTCTGTTCTTGCTTGGAAGCTTTTGTTCATTTTTGCCATTATTTATTTTGCTGAGAGAGAGAGAGAGAGTTTGCATGTGTGTATATCTTGTCGCTGCTGTGGAGTCCACCTCGCCTAGTTCTTCCCAGGTATGTTTCCTCTTCTTGATCTCACATTGCTGCATGAAAACTTTTATTGAAGTCTGGAAGAAGCAAGGAAACCTAACACTGTGCAACTTTTCCTGCAAACTGCCCCAGGTTTCGATTTTGTGCCCCCAATCAGCTTCCTGGTTATGATACCCATTCATACCAGTAACGTGGGTCCTGCTCTCATTGCTGTAGCTTGTGGATCAGCAAATCTTTTTCAGGTCTTCGTGGTCTTGGCATTATGCAAGAAGATAAGGAGAGGCCTTCTGAATCGGGCCAAAGGCCCGTCTAGGCCAGCATCCTGTTCTCACTGTGGCCAGCCAGATGCCTCTGGAAAATCCAAAAGGGCCTGAGTGCTGCAATGTGATTCCCAGTGACTGGTATTTGTGGGCCCATCTCCTTTGATACTGGATGTGGTAGAAAACCATCTTGACTAGTAGCCATTGATAGGCTTGTTCTCCACTCTGGTTGTGGCAGAGAATTCTACCCTTTTAACTATGTGATATGTGAATAAGGGGGGACGCAGGTGGCGCTGTGGGTTAAACCACAGAGCCTAGGACTTGCCGATCAGAAGGTCGGCGGTTCGAATCCCCGTGACGGGGTGAGCTCCTGTTGCTCGCTCCCTGCTCCTGCCAACCTAGTAGTTCGAAAGCATGTCAAAGTGCAAGTAGATAAATAGGTACCACTCTAGCGGGAAGGTAAATGGCATTTCTGTGCGCTGCTCTGGTTCGCCAGAAGCGGCTTAGTCATGCTGGCCACATGACCCGGAAGCTGTACGCCGACTCCCTCGGCCAATAAAGCGAGATGAGCGCCGCAACCCCAGAGTCCGTCACAACTGGACCTAATGGTCAGGGGTCCCTTTACCTTTACCTATGTGAATAAGCCATGAATATTGCAACATTCAGCATTTGGGGGCAAACCCAGGTTCTGGTATTATGAGAGAGGGAGGAGAAACCTCATTCCATCACATTTCTCCATGTCACACACACATTCTCTGTCGTGTTCCTCTGTATTGCCCACTATTTTCCAGCCCCCAATAGTCTTAACTGCACTTATGATAACCTGCATAGGCTTTAGAATCAGATAATAAAGTGCGTATAATTCTGTCTCTACCCAAACCCGCTATACACCTCCACCACCAGTTTTCTGCTAGTTACCTATTAATAGATGAATGTTTCAGATAATTGGTGTTTGTTGGGTTCACGTCATTCCTAGGGTGGATATCTGTTGGCCAAATAAGACTGAAAACATTTTGGGCTTGTTTTGGAAATAAACACACACTCATAGCTGCAGTGCTGAGCGTTGCTCCTGGAAAGCAAGTAGCAGGCTTGAACTAGGATTGGCCCAGGACAATTAGCTGCTGGTGTCGTCTCCCCCCTCCCCTCCCCTCCCCACCCCATGCCCCCAAAGTGCACACTATTAAGTAAAGTCAAGGTCTCTTCAGAGACATCTGAAGCAGCAGATCTCCCGGACAGTAAAAAAACAACACACAACAATAATAAGCTAAAGAGCTAATCCCACTATGCCAGAGGTTTTCAACCTTTGGGGGTCCACAGCTCCCTTGATATTCTTTCTGCGGCACCCCTGTGGGGCTCAGGAGCCCAGTTATGTCACCCCTTGCCTGCAGGGCTGGCAGCCCCTCACCCCTTTTCGGACACCCTCCCTTGTGGAGTGTTCCCTCAGCCTCCTCTCTTCTCCCCTCTCCTTGGGAGTCCTCTGGGCAGCCGCAGCTGCCGCCTCTGGTCTCTGAGCTGCCCCCCCACCTGCCCCAAAGAGAGGTGCCTCCTCACACTGCCCCACAGGGGCCTGGGAAGCACCCCCTGGCCAGCCTCAGAGGCACCATTTGCCTGGGGAGCTTGTAGCCAGGGCTGCTGCAAAAAAAGCCGCAACGCAAGAGGGCATCTGAGGAGGGAGAGAGGGAAGGAAAGAGGGACAGAGGCCAGTGTTGCCTGCGACACCCCTGACTATCATTCAAGGCACCCCAGGGTGCCACGGAACACTGGTTGAAAACCACTTCACTATGCCAAAATGGCTTCTCCCCATTTGGAGTATCCTACAAAACCAGGACGTGGGTGGCGCTGTGGGTTAAACCACAGAGCCTAGGACTTGCCGATCAGAAGATCGGTGGTTCGAATCCCTGCAATGGGGTGAGCTCCCATTGCTCGCTCCCTGCTCCTGCCAACCTAGCAGTTCAAAAGCACGTCAAAGTGCAAGTAGATAAATAGGTACAGCTCTGGCGGGAAGGTAACCGGCGTTTCTGTGCCCTCCTCTGGTTCACCAGAAGCGGCTTAGTCATGCTAGCCGCATGACCCGGAAGCTGCACGCCAGCTCCCTCAGCCAATAAAGTGAGATGAGCGCCACAACCCCAGAGTTGTCCGCGACTGAACATAATGGTCAGGGGGCCCTTTACCTTTACCGGACCATGAATTATGGAGTGTCCTGCGGCCACTAGCATCAGACAAATGCAGGATGCTTCAAGATTGGAAGCAGTATTAGAAACTCAGGTATATAAGCTAGGTGCCAAATGGTTCCTTAAGCCAGGGTTACCGTCTCCAGAATGGAATGTGTAGTTGCCATTTTTGGACAAGGCAGCTCTAAAGTCTTATTTCCCAATAGGACTTTTTGGTTCCTGAAATTCATTCTGATTGTGCAGATAAAACATAACTGATACATAACTCTACAGGATGTGTTGCTAGTACAGTCATTCCTTGGATCTCAAACGCCTTGGGCTCCTGATCAAATCGACTCCCGAACAATCAAAACCCAGAAGTGAGCATTCCAGTTTTCGAACATTCTTTTGGAAGCCAAACCTCTGACGGGGCTTCCGTGGCTTCCGATTGGCTGCAGGAGCTTCCTGCAGCCAATCAGAAGCCAAGCCTTGGTTTTTGAATGTTTTGGAAGTTGAACTGACTTCCGGAACGGATTCTGTTTGACTTCCAAGGTACAGATGTATGTGAAAACCATATGCTCTTTCAGATGGTGTAGATGTCTGGCGCCATCCTAGCACCTGGGCATCTTCCTTGGGTCACAAGTGGCTGATAGCCAGGTGCAGAATAAAATCTGTTAAACTGTTACTCCTGCCCTGTCTTCCCTGGAATTAAGGTTTCAAGAGTTTGAACACCCACCCTGAAGCAAGTTATTGACGATGAGACCATGACATCTGTGGATGCCAGACTACCATAGGAATGAGAAAGCAGGTCCCAAATTCTTCTTCTCTGCCTTCATTTTTCTATGGGCAGATAGCTGCATTTTTTATTTATTCATCGCATTTATAACACCCCTCTCCTTCAGGGGTTCAACGACACGGGTCCCCTTCCCCATTTTATCCTCGCAACAACCCTGTAGGCTAAGGTTGAGAGACTGAGACTGGTCCAAGGCCACGTTGTGAGAGTCCTGGCTGAGTAGCGGGTGGGGATTTGAACCCTGGTCTCCCAGAACCTAGTCCAGCATTTTATCTTGTGGTTCCCCCACTAGGACCTGAGACAGGATTGCTCCCCTCTTTACTTTTTGTGGGAGCTGTGCCTTAAGTCATCTCATTTACCCAGCTAAACACCTTTCAGTTCTTTCTGCAGGAGGTGTAATTTATGTACTTTGGAGCAAAGCTTTCCCTATCTTTTGGAGAACTGCCACTGCTAGCTTTGCAGACACACAGTTCAGCAGTCAGCAGTTTTCCCTTCCTTTTTTTTAAAAAAAAAAAGGTGACAGGATATCGATATTATAGTGGCTTGCCAACTGTGGGGGTTTTTTTGCAAATAGGTCTGCTCTGTGCAGCCACCCAAAGTGTTGCAGCAGGAAAGCAATGCAGAGCCAAACATTTAGATTATGTGCTATTATTATTTATTAAATGTGTATACAGTGGTACCTCGTTTCTCGAACGTAATCCGTTCTGGAAGACCGTTCGGCTTCCAAAACGTTCAAAAACCAAGGCGTATCTTCCCATTGGTTGCAAGAGCTTCTTGCACTCAGCGGAAGCTGTGTCACACGTTCGAGTTCTGAAAAGCGTTCGAAAACGGAAGCATTTACTTCTGGGTTTTCAGTGTTTGAGAACCCGAAATGTTTGACAACAGAGGTACCACTGTACAGTGGTACCTTGGGTTAAGTATTTAATTCGTTCTGGAGGTCCGTTCTTAACCTGAAACTGTTCTTAACCTGAAGCACCACTTTAGCTAATGGGGCCTCCCACTGCCGCCGTGCCGCTGGAGCACGATTTCTATTCTCATCCTGAAGCAAAGTTCTTAACCCGAGGTAATATTTCTGGGTTAGCAGAGTCTGTAACCTGAAGCGTATGTAATCCGAGGTACCACTGTACTGCCATTCATCCCTAGATCAGTGGTTCCCAAACCTTTTCAGACTCCTTGGTTCCATAAACTCATCCCCAATGCCCACTACTCCATAAATATAAAGAATATTATTCAAAATAGAACAAATGGACCTAAGTCAGTTATATGGGTGATACTCTGTTGTGTCTTGTCAGCACAAGGATTTCCACTTAACGCAATGGCATTTCCCTCCTTGTTCCTGCTTTTCGTGCCCCATGCCCAGGGGCGTAGTGTGGGTTGTCAGCACCCGGGGCAAGGCAAGTAATTTGCACCCCCTAACCCGTGGATTTGCGCCCCCTAACCTGTGGATTTGCGCCCCCTAACCCCCAGATGTTGCGCCCGGTGCACCCGGCCCCCCCTGCACCCCCCACGCTACGCCACTGCCCATGCCCTCTCCAGATTTGCTTCACAGTGTCGGGGGAACCCCTACAACAGATTTAGGGGGTGCACAGGGTGAGGAGACAGTGGGAGAAGCTTCTGTTGCACAAGTGGAAAAATTTGCGCCCATGGAACGTTCTCCTTAGTGCTGCAGTGCATCGTAATGGTTAGAGTTGTCAGGCTAGGACACTCAGCCATGAAACTCACTGGGTGACGTTGGGCTGGCCATTTGGTCTCAGCCTAACCCAACCTCGCAGGGTCGTTGTGGGTATTCATTGAGCAAGGGGGAACCATGTAAACTCCCTCGAGCTCCGTGGAGGGAAAAAGTGTGGTACAAATGCAATAAATAGATAAATAATGCATTGGCTTCAACCCAGAGGATTTGATCTTGAAAATGACTAGCATGGGTTGCAGCCCACAGTAGGGTTTTCTTGCTAGGGGCCTGTGCTGTTGGTTTTGGGTGGCAGGATCAACCTCTGTTGTGCGATAGTGGAGCTGTGAGCAAAAGGATTTAGAAGTTGTTTTAACAAATCTGCGGCTTCTGGAAGAGGGGCTTTCCTTGTCTAAGCAAAATCAAGGCTGGATAAGGCTGAATTAACAGCAGTGTTTTGCATGGCAAGTCCCTGCTTTCGTTTCCTATTTAGTGATGTGTTACCAGTGCAACTATCAAAACTTGGAGTTCACCACTGTGGTTCGCACCCAAATGCCTTCTCCCTCTGCTCTGGAAGAGGTTAACTTGGGGACAGGCCAGAAGGGAGTGCGGCCCTTGGGTTGCAAACATTTGCGTCACCCCTGTCGTAGCTATAGATCAGGTTTCTGGTGTTCATCAGTATGCGGATGATACCCAGCTCTACCTCTCTTTTAAATCAGAACCAGTGAAGGCGGTGAAGGTCCTGTGTGAGTGTCTGGAGGCGGTTGGAGGATGGATGGCAGCTAACAGATTGAGGTTGAATCCTGACAAGACATAAGTACTGTTTTGAGGGGCAGGAGGCAGGCAGGTGTGGAGGATTCCATGGTCCTGAATGGGGTAACTGTGCCCCTGAAGGACCAGGTGCGCAGCCTGGGAGTCATTTTGGACTCACAGCTGTCCATGGAGGCACAGGTCAAATCTGTGTCCAGGGCAGCTGTTTACCAGCTCCATCTGGTACGTAGGCTGAGACCCTACCTGCCTGCGGACTGTCTCGCCAGAGTGGTGCATGCTCTGGTTATCTCCCGCTTGGACTACTGCAATGCGCTTTACGTGGGGCTACCTTTGAAGGTGACCCGGAAACTACAACTAATCCAGAATGCGGCAGCTAGACTGGTGATTGGGAGCGGCTGCCAAGACCATATAACACCGGTCTTGAAAGACCTACATTGGCTCCCAGTACGTTTCCGAGCACAATTCAAAGTGTTGGTGCTGACCTTTAAAGCTCTAAACGGCCTCGATCCAGTATACCTGAAGGAGCGTCTCCACCCCCATCATTCAGGCCAGACACTGAGGTCCAGCTCTGAGGGCCTTCTGGCGGTTCCCTCACTGCGAGAAGCCAAGTTACAGGGAACCAGGCAGAGGGCCTTCTCGGTAGTGGCGCCCTCCCTGTGGAACGCCCTCCCACCAGATGTCAAAGGGAACAACAACTACTAGACTTTTAGAAGACATCTGAAGGCAGCCCTGTTTAGGGAAGCTTTTAATATTTGATGTATTACAGTATTTTAATATTTTTTTGGAAGCTGCCCAGAGTGGCTGGGGAAGCCCAGCCAGATGGGCGGGGTATAAATAATATATTATTATTATTATTATTATTATTATTATTATTATTATTTCTCCAACCTGATATATTCCAGAAGTTGTTGGACTCCCATTAGCCCTGGCCAGGATGGCCGATGGCAAAGGATGATGGGAGTTGTAGTCCACATTGAGGAAGAGATGGTATCTACACACACAGGCACACATACTACCTAGCTTAGTTTAGGATCTCCAAGCAATTATTATTCTATGGACCCTAGGGATAATTGAAAGACCAGTTTAGTTCATAGACAAATTACCACGTGCCTGCAATATTCATATTTTTTTCAAAAATAAAATAAAATTCCACTGCTGCACTGACTGCACTGAACGTTTTTATCATCTCATTTTATGAAAAATAAAAATAAATTAAAAATGATCTCAGCGTGCAATTTAGAAAATTGGGCTAAATGAACCACAGAGTCCTTTCCTTTCCAAGCTGTTGGCAACGCTCATGATGCATGAATATTGGCATTTCAAAGAAGGCCATTGCCAGGGCGGGTCAAGTCCGTGGTGGCCAAGAGGAAATCTTTGAGGGCTGAGTTGTCAGAGATGGAGCACAAAAGAGAGCTGTTCTTGCTGCTGGAAGCGTTCATTGGCTAGTTAAAAAAAAGAAAGGAAGGAAGAAAATGTTTCAGCAGAGGGGCCGAAGGCCAAATCCTGTCCTTAGTGGAATCCATTCCCTCTGTTTTTGAAGTTCATGCTGTGAATGCTAATGCTTCTTACATAACCTTGATAAGAACACTTTACCCTATAAGTATTTGCAGAATGGGCACTGTTTCAGGTGCACCACATAATACACCTTCCGTATTTGATCTTTTAGCGTGGCAGCGCCTAAACTTTGGAACTGCCTGCCTATTGGCATCAGGCAGGTACCTTCACGCCGCTCTTTTCGACACCTGCTAAGAAGGCTTTTGTTTAGGCATTTCCATCCAGATATGTAGATTGTTGGCATGAGTTTTGGTTTGGTTTTTAGCTTTTTTATTTTATAACGTATCTTTATTAATTTAAAATAAATTTATGAGAAAACAGACATACAAGTAAACAAACAAACAAACAACAGAAAAAACAAACAAACCACCACACTATAAGATACAAGATTAATATAATTATCATCATATATACTCCTGATACTGAACACAATTCTAAAACTTATAGAGAAGAAATTTAAAACTGACTTCCAATTAATCTCACTGTACTTTATCTATCCATTACTTTGTACCGCACAGTTACATATTTCTTATATAATTTCTTTTTACCCTCCCTACAAACTTATATTTATACAATACAGGGATCAGTCTAATTCTGCCAAGGTGTTTCCTTTTATTCCATAGTTTTTAAGCTTTTTGTTTTAGCTTATTGCGCTGCCCAGTATTGCACCTGCTATGCGACATCTCAGAACGTTGCTTAGGATGAGCTGTGGCCCTCGGGCTTAAAAAAAGTCCCCCCACTCCTGCACTGTGCGGAAATACGAGCTGTTAAAATGGGTGCCTCTGTGTGATCACAGCCGGGTCATGAGCTTGGGGGCAGCAGTGCATCCTCCTAGATGCTACCACAAGTGGTGGTGATTGTAGGTGGTTGCTGGCTATTATGAACCAGCCCATCATAAAGGCTCCAGGAAGTGAAGAAGTCTCATGGAATCAGAGAAGTGTAGATTTAGAAGGGACCCTGAGGGACATCTAGTCTAGATTTTGATCTCCCTAACCCCACCCCATGGGCCAATTTTGGACCACCCACATGTCATAGTTGGTCTGCGAGGGTAGGGGGTGAGAGAGCGTGACCAAGCAGGACTGAGCTCCCTATATTGAATCAGTTGCAAAAAACCCCAAGGGTTGTCCAGTCCAACCCCCTGCAATGCAGGAATCTCAACTAAAGCATCCATGGCAGATGGCTATCTGACCTCTGCTTAAAAAAGAAGGAGAGTCCACCAGCTCCTGAGGGAGTCCGTTCCACTGTTTAACAGTTCTTACCTTCAGAAAATTCTGCCTGATGTTTATAGTCAGAATCTCCTTTCTTGTAACTTGAAGCCATTGGTTCGGGTCCTACGCTCCAGACCAGCTTGTTCCCTCTTCCACATGGCAGCCCTTGAGATATTTGAAGATGGCTTTCATATCTTCTTTCCGTCTTTCATCTCTTCTTTCCCAAGCTAAACATACCCAACTCCTTCAACCATTCCTCATAAGGCTTGGTTTTGAGACCCTTGATCATGTTGGTCGCCCTCGTCTGCACACATTCCAGCTTATTTATTGAATTTATATATCATCCTATACCCCGGGGGTCTCAGGGCGGTTCACAGAAACACACAATACAGTGGTACCTCGGGTTACAGACACTTCAGGTTACAGACTCAGCTAACCCAGAAATAATACCTCGGGTTAAGAATTTTGCTTCAGGATGGGAACAGAAATCGTGTGGCGGCCGCGAAGCAGCAGCAGGAGGCCCCATTACTGAAAGTACGCCTCTAGTTAAGAACAGTTTCAGGTTAAGAATGGACCTCCAGAATGAATTACGTTCTTAACCCAAGGTACCACTGTATCCTTCTTAAATTGTGGTGCCCAGAACTGGACACAGGATTCCAGGGCACCACAATTCATCTGGAATCTCTGCAAGAAAGGAATTAAGTCTTGCGCAATGCAAAAACCTCTTGGAGATCTTGGCGTGGATGAGGCCCGTGCAGCTGTGTTTACATCCTCTGAGAGCTGAGCGATGACTCAGCTCCCCTTGCGGGGTGGTAGGGCGGCAAGTGAGAACCAGCCCCAAGGCTACTCTGCCTCGTGGTGGTGCTGACTCAGCACTTGGTTGGAACGATTAAATGCCACCGCCAGGCATTCCAATTGACGGATTATGTGCAACAGGCCTGGATTTAAGGCCTGTGTCATAGGTGTGAATCCGCTTTCAGCCTGAGGGCCAAATTTCACCCTGCCACCCTTCCCAGGGCCAAATGCATCCTTTTTTATGGTTAACACCTAAGCCCATCTTTCTTGGAAGCCGCTCTGGCTGATTTCATAGTCACTGCTGAGGAACTGTGCCTGGGATGGCTTCTCAGAAGAGATCTGCTCATAGGGAGGAGGGCTTTGCCAGTTGTGCTTAATTTAGCAGCAGAAAACCCCTTATGCATGGGAAACTGCACAGCTTTGCAGAAACGGCAAAGCTGTTAACAGCATGGCGATGGCAATTGTTAATTGGATGCTAATTGCTGAGGAAGTAAGTGGGGGTTATTTATTAGACATGCTGTTCTTTTCAGCCTAGATGGGCTCCAGCAGCAGCTCACAATTAGAAGGCACATCCCAATACAATTATAGATGAGCTATGCAGAGATATATGTTTGTTGGAGTCATGCTGGGGAACCTATGGCGTAGCGGGGGCCACTCTGTCCGGCCCAGTGCCGGATTTACATATAAGCTAAACAAGCTGTAGCTTAGGGCCCCACTCTCTTGGGAGGGCCCCCCAAAAAATTAAAGGAAAAAAACCTGGATGTACATTTCCAAAATATAAGATAAAAAACAAATAAAATAAAAGCTACATACAGCAACAGTGTTTTGTGTTGTGTAGGCTCCCATGATGTAAGTAATGGGCGCCGCCTGCTAGCCTGCTCCCTAAAATATCACTGCTTTGCTCATTTCTATATATAGGATGCCTGCATTCTGCATGGACTGTTATGTGCAAATAGCTTTAGATACCTATTTGTTGTTGTTGTTTAGTCATTAAGTCATGTCCGACTCTTCGTGACCCCCTGGACCAGAGCACGCCAGGCACACCTGTCTTTCACTGCCTTCCGCAGTTTGGTCAAACTCATGTTAGTAGCTTCGGGAACACTGTCCAACCACCTCGTCCTCCGTCGTCCCCTTCTCCTTGTGCCCTCCATCTTTCCCAGCATCAGGGTCTTTTCCAGGGAGTCTTCTCTTCTCATGAGGTGGCCAAAGTATTGGAGCCTCAGCTTCAGGATCTGTCCTTCCAGTGCGCACTCAGGGCTGATTTCCTTCAGAATGGATAGGTTTGATCTTCTTGCAGTCCATGGGATACCTAATAGATACCTATTAGGTCTATAAATTACCATATAGCACATATTCAACACAAAAAAACAGCAACAATTTGTTGTTGACAAAGGACAGCTGGACATATAAAGGGCCCCATTACCTTCAGTAGCTTAGGGCCTCATCAAACCTAAATCTGGCCCTGGTCTGGCCCTTGGGGCTTTGCTGGGCTATGTCTCTCTAGCGCCCAGGATTCTTTGGGGGAACGCCATGGCTGTGGTATCACAGTGTTTTAAATGTAGAGTATGGATGTCTCCTAGAATTCCACTGAGCCTCTTGGGCTTGCCAATCAGAAGGTTGGCGGTTCAAATCCCTGCGACAGGGTGCGCTCCCATTGCTCGGTCCCAGCTCCTGCCCACCTAGCAGTTTGAAAGCAACTCAGAGTGCAAGTAGATAAATAGGTACCACTCCGGCGGGAAGGTAAACGGCGTATTCGTGCGCTGCTCTGGTTTTGCCAGAAGCGGCTTAGTTATGCTGGCCACATGACCCGGAAAAACTGTCTGCGAACGAACGCCGGCCGGTAAAGCAAGATAAGTGCCGCAACCCCAGAGTCATCCGTGACTGGACTTAACTGTCAGGGGTCCCTTTACCTTTTTATGGATGTCTCCTAGGATTCCAGCTCTTCCTGAGCCTGGACACAGGCAAAATACCCTTTAATTCCCTCTTTCGTGCTGCAAATAGCTATAGAGGCTCTATCACTGTGTGAGCTCCTGAGGGTGAGCTCTTGAGGGTGCCTGAGGAGGGGGGGGGGCCTTGAAAGAGCCTGTGTTGGGGGTGGAGGTGATTAAAGACCCCTTTGTGTGTGATGTGGGTGTAACTTATCTGAGGGAGACAATTTTGCAGCCCTTCAGACCTGTTAAAAGTTAGTTGCAGAGCAGAGGATTATGGAGAATGACATGGGACTCATGGTGGGTGTTTTCATTCTGGGTTAATTAGGGTCTTGAGATTTCTGCTCTTTGCTGTGTCACAGCTGGAAAGGATTGGCGAAAGGGGGGAGGCGGGGAAGGGGAATACTTGCAGCCCCGTGGAAAGAGGCAATAAACAGTCTCAGATTATTTCTTAGGCATTGCCAGAATTCCTATGTGTTGCCTCATCAGATCCTGCTGCCTAAACTGCAGTGTGATTGACATCAAGGGTACTTGCGGACGAGGCCATCGTTTAGACTTTATTTGCGAAACTCTGTTGCTGCATTCTTGTTTAGCTCAAACCAGAGTCACATGCAACAGCAGTTGCTGCAAAGAGCATTTTGTTCCTTTGGCAGGAATCCAGATGGCTCCCATGAAGAATCAGATTGGTGTGTTAAGATGGGTGTGTGTTTTTAATTCTGAAAATCCTCGTGTCTTGGCCCATACAGTGGTACCTCAGGTTAAGTACTTAATTCGTTCCGGAGGTCCGTTCTTAACCTGAAACTGTTCTTAACCTGAAGCACCACTTTAGCTAATGGGGCCTCCTGCTGCCGCCACGCTGCTGGAGCACGATTTCTGTTCTCATCCTGAAGTAAAGTTCTTAACCTGAAGCACTATTTCTGGGTTAGTGGAGTCTGTAACCTGAAGCATATGTAACCTGAAGCATATGTAACCTGAGGTACCACTGTATGTCTAAACCACATTAACAGTTCCCCCGAAGACTCATGGGAACTGCAGTTTACCCCTAGCAGAGCTGCAGTTTCCAGCACCCTTAACAAACTACAGTTCCCAGGATTCCTTGGGGGGAACCATAACTGTTAAAGTGGTATAAGTGCTTTAAATGGAGGTTGTGACCTACTGTATCTGTTAATCAGGGATGCGGGTGGCGCTGTGGTTTAAACTACTGAGCCTCTTGGGCTTGCCAGTCGAAGGGTCAGCACAGGCTTCCTCAACCTCGGCCTTCCAGATGTTTTTGGCCTACAACTCCCATGATCCCTAGCTAGCAGGACCGGTGGTCAGGGATGATGGGAATTGTAGTCTCAAAACATCTGGAGGGCTGAGGTTGAGGAAGCCTGGGTCAGCAGATCGAATCTGTGTAATAGGGTGAACCCCCGTTGCTTTGACCCAACTCCTGCTAACCTAGCAGTTGTAAAGTATACCAGCGCGAGTAAATACAGTGGTACCTCGGGTTAAGAACTTAATTCGTTCTGGACGTCCGTTCTTAACCTGAAACTGTTCTTAACCTGAAGCACCACTTTAGCTAATGGGGCCTCCCGCTGCCGCCACATCGCTGCTGCACGATTTCTGTTCTCATCCTGAAGCAAAGTTCTTAACCCGAGGTACTATTTCTGGGTTAGTGGAGTCTGTAACCTGTAGCTTCTGTAACCTGAAACGTCTGTAACCCAAGGTACCACTGTAAATAGGTACCGCTGCAATGGGAAAATAAACAGCATTTCCATGTGCTCTGGCACTCATCACAGTGTCCCGTTGCACCAGAAGCGGTTTAGTCATGCTGGGCACATGACCCAGAAAGCTGTCTGTGGACAAACACTGGCTCCCTAACCTGAAAGCAGAGATGAGTGTCCTGCGCCATGGTCAAATTTGATGGTACTTAACAATCCAGGGGTCCTTTACCTTTTACCTTTACCCAGGGTTGTTGTTAAAAGACAGCCCAGAACACTCAAGGCGCAAGTCCTGTGCACAGAACCCCAATCTCTTGCCTCTTCCCCTTTTAAAAAACCCTCAAATTTCCTTTACTTTGCTTATAGGGCAGCTGAGCATCCTGCAGATTGCAGCACCAGTGAGACCAACTTAATTTGTCTGGGCCCCAATCCACATTCAATGTACTGAGCCCAGAAAACCCTGTTGGCACCTGAGAGCTCAGAGCAAGCCCTGATGGTGAAGGGCAGAGCTCGTTTCTCCGTGTTCCTGCATTGCAAATATAATGCAATAAATTGTATGTATCTAAGATGGCTTTCTCCAACCTGGGAAGCAGGAGTTTATGAGAGTTGTAGTCCAGAATGTCTGACGGATGAAAGCTGACCTAGGATCACCACATGTGCAAAGGACATTGCTGATATTATTATTTATTAAATTTATATATAGCCCTTCATTCGAAGATCATAGGGTGGTATACAACACAGAAGCTCTGTTGCTTGAAGAAACGATTGTTTTGTGCTACTAGATATGCCTTGGCTGGTTTTATACGTAATGTTGCTTGCTTGAACTGCATAATTATATAGTGCCCGGATACTTTTATTAATTCATTTCTGCCAGCCTGGCTTCAAAGAGCTCTTTGCACATCTGCCAGCAAATAAAAATGAGAAGCCGTAAACTTCCTTTCTGCGCTGCGTAGAAACTGTTAAAAAGCACGAAAGAGCAGACAATACAAAGCACAGAAGCAGCAATAAAATACGTCTCAAATCGCTTCCCAGAAACTGATAAACATTCAGCCCTAACTAGACTCCCACAATCTTCCTGGATTCTAAACCAAGGAACCCATGTAATCCTGTAAGTCTTTCCAAATGAGTTTGTTTATTGTGCCCTTCTGATGAGAGATGTTTCGTACTTAAATGCAGCAGCAACATAAACGTTACCCAAAGGACCTCTGGCTCGCTTCTGGTATTCCTGAGAGAAGCACCACAGCTCAGTGGCAGAGTGTTTACATCACATGGAGAAAGCCCTGGGTTCAGTCTGTGGCGTCTCCAGATAGATTCTCATCTGAAATCTGCCCGTCAGCGCAGACAGTAGAGAAGCAAGATCAATGGTTCTCAACCTGTGGGTCCCCAGATGTTGTTGGACTACAACTTCCATCATCCCTGAGCTCTGGCCTTGCTAGCTTGCTAGTTCAACAACATCTGGGGACCCACAGGTTGAGGAAGGCTGAGGTAGATGGACCCAATGGTCAGACCCCGTATAAGGCAGATTCCCTGGTTCCTATGTTGCCAGAAAGGCTTTCATAGGGTGGTGGCAGCCGTCTCTCCTACATGGAGATGCTAAGGACTGAAGCGGGGACCTTTTTCATAGAATTGTAGATGATGATGATGATGATGATGATGATAATTTATTATTTATACCCCGCCCATCTGGCTGTGTTTCCCCAGCCACTCTGGGCGGCTTCCAACAGAACACTGAAATACAATAACCTATTAAACATTAAAAGCTTCCCTAAACAGGGCTGCCTTCAGATGTCTTCTAAAAGTCTGGTAGTTGTTGTTCCCTTTGACATCTGGTGGGAGGGCATTCCACAGGGCAGGTGCCACTACTGAGAAGGCCCTCTGCCTGGTTCCCTGTAACTTGGCTTCTCGCAGCTAGGGAACCGCCAGAAGGCCCTCGGCACTGGACCTCAGTGTCCGGGCAGATCTGGAAGGACCGCGAGGGTCATCTCGTCCAACCCCATGCAATGCAGGAATCTTTTGCCCAACGTGGGGCTCGAACCCACAACCCTGAGATCAAGAGTCTCATGCCAAAGCAAGTGCTCTACGAGTGAGCTACAACCCTTCCCTTGCTCTTCCGTGGTTAAATGAACTCTACAGCCTGTTGGCAACCTCTGGTGGTGCATGTGCTGGCTCATTCTGGTCCAGTTTGGATGGGAAGGCGTGGACACCCCACCTAGAGCAGGGGAGGAAGAGTGAGGCTAATGGCTGAGCCAGCATTCACTTCTTTGGTGCATACAATGATCATGCACCGGAGTGGGCCATATTCCTTATCTTTTTTCTTTTTCTTTTTTGCGGAGTGAATTTGTATTTATTTATAAAAATATTTATATCCTGCCATATCATTTTTTTTAAAAGAGCAGTTTACAACAATATACATATTTTTTTAAAAAATTGAAACTTAAAAAAATTTAAATCAGAGACCGTCACCTTACTATTATGCAAATATGTTTTCTTAAGGGCCTGCGTGAGCTTGACGGCACAGAAAAAGTTCAGGTTGAAACAGAAGGAGCCTGCTGAATCTCTAGTGGCAGGGAGTTCCACGGGGCTGGCTGGGCCAATGACACTGAAGATTTGGTTTCTTGTTGCCATATTCCTTTTCTGAGAAACTTTTTCTGGGGGGGGCGCATACCAGTGGTGAGCGGAGCCACAGGGGAAAGTGTGTGGAGCCATAAACGTGACTTCCACCCGTGCCCATTAGGCTATTTTCTCTCTCTATGCTCCCTCCAGGCAAACATGCAGAATGATGAAGAGTTCAGGGGCTTTCCAGCTAGGCAAAAACACTCAGGGCAGTGGAAAGCAGGGCTGGTAATAGATGTGACTCAGGAGTGTGGGTGGCCCTGGAGATATCCCCAAGGACCAGATAGAGTTTTTTGGGGGGCTGCATTCGGGGCCTGAGGTTTCCCATCCCTGGTTATGAAGACAGAGGAAGCTGTGCTCATGTGGGGCAATGAGAACCCATTAGGACTTCCCCTCCTCATTTTTCTTTGGGGGGGGGGAACGACCCAGCCAGGTGGGCATGGTATAAAGAACAAAATCGCCGCCATCATTATTTCTATTGCTTCTGTATTTTTTCATTTTCTGAGTCTTAATAAGCTTGAAAGAAGTGGTAAGTAGCTCGCATGCTAATAATAGCTGGCACCTTCCCCCAGAGCTATTTCTGGAGCAAGACTACAGTCCACAGCACACACAAGACGCTGTTCTTTTTCATTTTTGGCACATCCTTTGAACGCAGTAACCCCCTCTTTGCCATCCTCCTCCTTGCGGATCTCTCGAAAAGCATCGTTTTCCCCCCTCGACGCAGCATCTCTGTTAAGTAGGAGGAATGCATTTATTAAGACAATCCTGTCCTTTCCCCCCATCTTGTCACCTGATACTCTGCTCCCTTTTAAATGGTGTTGTGTAACTGGCAAATCTAGGGACGCGGTGGCGCTGTGGGTTAAACCACAGAGCCTAGGACTTGCCAATCAGAAGGTCGGCGGTTCGAATCCCCATGACGGGGTGAGCTCCTGTTGCTCGGTCCCTGCTCCTGCCAACCTAGCAGTTCGAAAGCACGTCAAAGTGCAAGTAGATAAATAGGTACCGCTCCAGCGGGAAGGTAAACGGCGTTTCCGTGCACGGCTCTGCTTCGCCAGAAGCGGCTTAGTCATGCTGGCCACATGACCCGGAAGCTGTACGCCGGCTCCCTCAGCCAATAAAGCGAGATGAGCGCCGCAACCCCAGAGTCAGCCACGACTGGACCTAAGAGCCAGTGTGGTGTAGTGGTTAAGAGCAGTAGTCTCGTAATCTGGGGAACCAGGTTCGCGTCTCCGCTCCTCCACATGCAGCTGCTGGGTGACCTTGGGCCAGTCACACTTATCTGAAGTCTCTCAGCCCCACTCACCTCACAGAGTGTTTGTTGTGGGGAAGGAAGGGAAAGGAGAATGTTAGCCGCTTTGAGACTCCTTAAAGGGAGTGAAAGGCGGGATATCAAATCCAAACTCTTCTTCTTCTTCTTCTTCTTCTTCTTCTTCTTCTTCTTCTTCTAATGGTCAGGGGTCTCTGTACCTTTACCTTTAACTGGCAAATCTACCACTGTCTTCCCTTCTGCAAACATTCCTAGCACCATTTAGGGCTGGTTTAGAATGTAACCAGATTCCTCCACACGACGACTGCCATAAAGAGTTTGGGTGATCTGTACATGCATCAAGCAACCTCTTGCCCAGTGAGAAGCCATGTTCGATGGAGCCTTCCTCCATGGTGTCCGTCGTGGTGGAGTAGCTTAGAAATCAGCCTCTGGGTTAAACTCCAAGTAATAAGAATATGAAAACATGAAAAGGGTCTCTGCATCAGGCCAATGGCTCATTGGGTCTCACGTCCTGTTCTCACAATGCCTGTGAGATGCCCACAAGCATCTGGGCACATCAGCACACTAGTGATGCCCAGTGGCTGATTTTCAGATTCATGGTGTGTCCCAACTGTGGAGGCACAATGTAGCCAAATGTTGACCAGCCACCCAAAAACCCAACCTTTTCTGCTCGCGTCAAAGTATTTTAATAATAATTTTTTTACTTGTTTTCACATTTTTATACATATTATCTTTCACATACAGTGGTACCTCGGGTTGCAGACGCTTCAGGTTACATATGCTTCAGGTTACAGACTCCGCTAACCCAGAAATATTACCTCGGGTTAAGAACTTTGCTTCAGGATGAGAACAGAAATCGTGCTCCGGCGGCGCGGCGGCAGCAGGAGGCCCCATTAGCTAAAGTGGTGCTTCAGGTTAAGAACACATTCAGGTTAAGAACAGACCTCCAGAACGAATTAAGTTCTTAACCCGAGGTACCACTGTATATCCAATTACAAGGTTCCCTGAACCTTCCGACTTCCTCCCCTCCCTCCCATGGGTTCTTAAATTAAAAATTATTATTTTTGCATATTATAATTTTTCCAGCTACTATGTATCCCTGTTTTATCATAGTCAATTTCACATTACAAATGTCATTACAACGCTACCAGTGTTTTTAACTGCTTACAGTGGTTTTTCAAGTAAACCATGAATTTACTCCAGTCTCTAGCAAATACTTGATCTTCTTGGTTTCTGATCTTCCCTGTCAGTTTCACCATTTCTGCATAATCCATCAATTTTGTCTGTCATTCTTCCTTTTTTGGTAATGCTGCTTCATTCCGTTTTGGGGCTAGTAGCGTTCTTGCTGCCGTCATTGCATACATAAAAAGTCTTTTGTCTTCTCTTGTTCCTTCTTTCCCTATTAAACCTAAAAGAAAGACTTCTGGTTTTTTAACAAATGTATTTTTAAACATTTTCTTTAGTTCATTATAAATCATTCCCCAGAAGCTTTTTACCTTACAACATGACCACCACATATGAAAAAAGTACCTTCTTTCTCTTTACATTTCCAACACATATTTTATTTAGTTTTATACATTTTTGCAATCTTACTTGGTGTTAGATGCCAACGGTACATCGTTTTCATGTAATTTTCTTTCAACGCACAGCATGTTGTAAATTTTATTTCTTCTCTCCACAACTTTCCCCAAGATGAAAGTTGGATGTTATACCCCAAATCACTAGCCCAATGTATCATCACTGCCTTAACTTCTTCATCCTTTGTATGTCATCCAACATGCATCAGAGTATTTTAAGCAAGGTGGAGGAATGATTCTACGAACAAGGTCTATAAAACTTGGTTTCGTCCTTGGCGCTTTGGCCAGCCACCCAGTCCCTGAAGGGTTTTCCCCAATTTCTCAGACTTGGGAAAGTTTTTCAAAATGGAAGAAACCTCTCTAAAAACCTGACACGTCGATCTCATTCCTCCACCATTAGGAACTCAATACCTCCCTTGGATTAATGGCAACAAGTGAATATAATGTAGAGCACTGGTTTAAATTTTTTGAGAACAAACTTTTGATTTACTAAGGAAGGCTTTGCTCCCATCATGGAGTCCTGCAGTGCAGAGTTGTGCTTAAGACCTTTTCAAAGACTGTGCTATTTTTGTGTGTCAAAGAACCAGCACATACTTCAGCCTTATTAGGTGATCATCCTGTGGGCAAGAGTTTTGGTAGAAGTTGAATTCCGAATTACTGTGCTGTAGCCTGCAAGGGATTTTAGTGGTTCCCTACTGGATGGATATTTCAAAGTATGTGTGGTGCCTTACAGGTGGGAAAAACCAGTTATGTTGGGGAAAAGAAAAGAGAGTTTGCTACATAATGCATTAATAAATGGAGTGTGTGTTTATTTTTATACTAGATTTTTTTTCTATGTGTCTCATAGATCTGATACATATATTATTTTCTCAAGCTTGGAATAGAAGGAAATAGTCCTGTATTTACCTTTTACACAACACATCGTTTGTGAGAAGGAGTGGTCGATACAACCAAATTTTAATGCATTGAAATTGCAACAATTTGGAATTATTTGGGTATTGGAAACCGTGGCTTGAAGTAGGTTCCTAGTTGTGGTTTGTGGGAAACTGTGGTTTGCACAAACCATAAACTGCACAGTTGTGGCAAACTATATCCTGTGAAAACTCAAAAGTGAGGGGTGGGATGGGATAGGAGCTGGAGGAATGGGTGTACCAGCAAGGAGCCCCTTCACCTAAAAAGCAACGTTAAACCTTGACATATTCTAAAGATGGAATTGCTTTCTTAAAAAAGCAAACAAAACCCCCAATGCAGTATGTTTTTTCTTTTCCTTTGGTGCATGATGTATGGTTAAGAAAAACCATGCTGAATCAGGCCAACAGTCCATCTAGTTCAGCATCCCTTTCTCACAGGGACCAGATGCCCATGGGATACCGGGCAAGTAGGACCCGAGTGCAACAGCACTCTCCCTACCTGTGATTCCCAGTAAGTGTTATTCAAAGCCCTTTGTGGCTTAGGGCCCTCGTATTTACAGGACCGCCTCTCCTGGTATCCTTAAGGTCCATGAATAACCATAGTTTAGAGGTCCCAGGCCCTAAGGAAGTCAGACTATCCTCCACCAGGGCCAGGGCCAGGGCCTTTTCAGTGATGGCTCCGACCTGGTGGAATGCTCTGTCCCATGAGACTAGGGCCCTGCAGGATTTAATCTCCTTCCGTCGGGCCTGTAAGACAGAGCTATTCTGCCTGGCCTTTAATTTGAATTCAGCCTAATCTTTTATTTCCCTGCTGTTCCCCTCCCTCCCCTTTTATGAAAATTACCCGCTCTGAGACCCCACAGCTAATTCTCCCCTGGCCTCCTCGCTGGCCCAAGTAGGACCAATTCAGCCAGCTAGCCCTGGTGACTATCTAATGCTTATTAGATGGATTTCCCCCGAACTGATTTCTGAACTTTGAATTTTATTGTTATTCATGTTTTTATACTGCTTTTACAATTAAGTGTTTTAAATTTGTTGTTAGCCGCCCTGAGCCCGGTTTTTGAACCGGGAAGGGCAGGGTATAAATAAAAATTTATTATTATTATTATAAAGGTGTACAGTCCCTGACAGTGAAGACAGAGCACAACCACCCTGGTTCATAGCCACCGATAGCCTTCCTATTCAGGAATTTGCCTAATCATTTATTTATTTTTTTAAGCCACCCAAGTTGGTGACTTATCACTGCATCTTGTGGGAGTGAGATCATCTTACGGCTCAGCCTAGCAGCACTGCCCTATTTTGCAAATCCGTTTCATAAAGGGGCATTGCAACTTGAGTGCAACGTTCCTCCTTTACTAATATCTGAAGCTTGGGTAGCATTTTTGCAGACCTGTCTTCTTCTGCAGAAGCTATTTCTCTCCCTGATATGCAGGGAGTTCCATCTGTAAGAAGCAGGCGTGGGAGCTTCGGATCCATGCTCTCGGACTTCACGTGTCTCTCCTCTTCCTCTCATCGCTCCCTGGGAGGTATTTGCAATGGAAGGACTTTGTGAGCTATCCCTGTGGCAGCCGGCAGCCTTGACCAGCCTGCCACACCTCTGTGGTCTGGATTTGAAGCCAGCCCTGGAGGCGAAAAGAAAACACTTTCATTAGTCGAGCTCAGGAAACTGATGGGTGGAGTAGTTTCACTCTTAATTAGCCCAGACTTTTGAAGGAAAGAAGGGAGGAGAAAGCCTTGTCCTTTTTCCTCACTTAGTTTCCCCACTCGCTTCCAGTTGGCAGTGAAGGCCTGGTCCATTAGGCCATATGGGGCGCTGCTCCATCAACCTTAGCCTGCCCCCAGCCAGCCAATTGGGTCAACCTTATTTTCTTTTTGTCAGGAGTGAGCCTGCAGTAAATCACACTGTGTATGTTGGGGTTAACTCTTATTAGCAAGAACACAATCTGCACAGAGGAATGTCTGGCCCAAGGAGCACAGTATCTCATCCCTGGTAGGACTTGCCCCGTGAATCGGTTGCCGAGACTGAAAGTCCCTACAAATCCTCCTTTCCAGGGTCCTTCCCAAGCAATCAGAGACTGTGCCTTTGTGTCACCAGTCTCTCTGCTCTTTTCATGCCTTTTCTGTTTCTGGGAGACAAGGGGAAGGGAGCTTGTTGTAGCAGGAGAGGGACCATGCCTCTTCAGCATCCTGACTCATCTTTGCCTCTTGGCTTCCTTCTGATTCTGGACTTGCCTCTGCCACAGACTCTGCCCCTGCTCCCCTCTCACTAAGCCCTGTTACCTCTTTAGTTTCTGACACCTCCTCCTCCTCCTAGCCTTCTCCCCCTGACCACTAAGGCAGTTGGATGGCACCTCCTTCTGGCAACTCCTGCAGCCAAACTGGTGCAAAACATATTGCTCTGCTTTCCTTGGACCACACCAGCAAGGTTTGTCATCTGTGCAGCCCAGGCCCTCTCTATACACTGCCCAGGCTTGCACCCCAGGGAGGTCACTTTGGTGCTGCTAACACAGTGGTTTGACTTCACCTCTGGAAGTTCACTCCATTGTCTCCTGAGACAGACAAATGCCAGTACATTGTTCTACAATGCTTTACTGATGCGACTTCATTATTACTATCCAGAAGGGCTGCAGCAGAACAAAAATGGGACCAAAAATAACCAGGAATATATATATTTTTTGCGTGAAAAGTTACGGGATTTCAGGATATGCACTAACTGGAAATGAAGCAGTGTGACTGCCCAGAAATCTTTGCAGGTGCAAATAGCATCGACAGCTGGATCATTTATAACCTCCCCATCATGGAACACAAATAGTCACAAATGCAGAATAAAAAGAATGGCTAGATGCCCCTGTCGTGTTGCAGAATACACCAGTCTGGAAGGACACTAATTCTTCACTTTCAGAAATATTTATCACCGGTTTCGGATGTTTATTCAGAGGAATATTAATTTATCCGTCACCAGAGGTGCAGGCTGCTTGAGACTGGTCCCCAAGCTAGCTTCTCCCATCCTGTCCATTTACAGTGCCAGCCCTGCTCAGGCAGCGACAGAACTGTCTCGTGTGCCTTTGGACCGTTCCCTGCGATGTGCAATCTCTCTTTCTTGTTCAGCTCAGCAGAAGTACCTAATTGATACAATTGAGCAGATATCGAAGGCGTATTGCAAATTGTAGGTATCAGGAGCAAATTGCTGGTTCGTGCCTGAAGACGGAAATTCAACAGGAAAAAAAGAAAGACAGACGCAAAATAAAAATGGATGGGCTGGAACTTGATGGATTCACCGTCCTCTGCAAGAATTTATTGTGTGCGGTAACAAAAGAAGGGACCACCTGTTTTATAGAATCTTTTGATATAGCAAGAAATTTGGGGGAAGGAGCATCGTCCTAGAACAAGGTGTGATACAGTATTGTATTGCTTTAGAACTGAGAGCTATAAATTAAGGGTTTTTTAAGTGGCCACTGTGGCTGTGTTGCACCTCCACTGTCATAGGCAGTTTGCTTCTGAATTCCAGTTGTTGAGAACAGGGAATGTTGCAAGGAATGTGGTGGTATGGACTGTTCCTGTTCATTGCTTTTGTTCAGTGCTCCAGCCACACCCCTTTCCAGGATACTCCATCCGGAACCCCACCACCAGATGCTCCAGGTCACAGCTTGGGTAAATTAAATTGGAATAATCACTTACAGTTTCTGGAGTTTGAAGGTTTTATTCATGCAGGAACTATTTACAAGATGAGCGGAGGTGAGAGAGAGAAAGCAGTAGACAACTTACCTGGTGTGAGCAGCTTAGCTTTTAGAGGTGGAGCTACACAGTGCTTTTGTGGGGTTTAAAGTAACATGTGCATTAACTACAAACTCAAGAAAAGGAAATGTGTTTGCTTTTCTCCAACAACTAAACATGCTCAGTCCTCATTAGGTGAGCTGCCAGTTAAAGGGGGAAGAGGCTCTTAATTTAGATTTATTAGTATTATTATTATTAGTAGTAGTAGTAGTAGTCTTTCTACAAACTGGATTTTCTTCAAACTGATATATATCACTTGTGTACAGATGGTATCAGTTGGGCTACATAGGAATCAGCCCTTAACCCTGGACATTGCTAATAGAAGGGTCTCTCCATAAAGTATTACATTTCCTAAAAATCCATTTGCAGCCATGGATGTTCAGTGATATGCCCAAGCAAGATTATAGCTGACTGGATCATTTAGTGATCCTGAAACAGCTCCATTCTGGTTTGAAGCATTCCTTTTGAAAGAAGTTTGTAATTCTTTTCCCATGATGTCATCACTGTAACCTTTTCCGAATTGCTTCCAGCGAGGCTAGTGGGCTGTTCTGACTAATACTGTCCATGCCACTCTTCAGAGTATGAGAAGATCAGACCACACTTCTTCATTTGTTTCTTAGGCAGAAATTGAGATTTGGAAAGCATTTTGAAATGATATTTTTTAAAACCCTGTGGCAGTCTTACCCTACAAATACCCAGAAGAGACTTGCCTCCTTCTCACCATAGCCTTAATTATATTGTACTTTTGTGTGGATTTTAGCACAGGTTGTACAATGACAATAAAGGTATTATTATTATTATTATTATTATTATTATTATTATTGGCTTCCAGACCCTTGGTCATCTTGGTTGCCCTCCTTGGCACACGTTCCAGCTTGTCAAAATCCTTCTTAAATTGTTTTGCCCAGAATTGGACACAGTACTCCAGCTGTGGTTTGACCAAGGCAGAATAGAGTAGTACTATTACTTCCCTTGATATGGACACTAGACTTCTATTGATGCAGAGTTTGCATTCCTTAGGGTTGCCATATTTAAAAAAGTAAAGTTCTTGACACCTGCAAAGTTGCTGAGCTTTCTTTAGGAGACCACCAAAATTGTTGCGCTCCCCCCAAAATAGTGCTTTTGGAGCTGTTTCCGCTGCTTTTTCCATCATGTTGCCATGACATCCAGACATATTGGGAATTTTCCTGACGCATGGCAAGCCTAGCATTCTTTGCAAAGGAGCCCAGGGTGGCAAACATAAAAACGTTATTACAGAACAATAATTTTTTTTAAAGTATCTAAAAAGATTTCTAACACTTTAGAACATCTTAAAAAAAAATGTTTAAAAGCAACCACATGCCCTCACAGTTATTCATTTCCCGGGCTGATGTGGCCAGTATCTATCAAAATACCTGAGTAAACAGAATTTTGAAAAAATAGAATTCTCCTGAAAGTCAATAACAAGGGAGACAGAAACACCTCACGAGGGATGGTGTTCCACAAATGGCCTGTGAGCACTCCAGTTGGAGAACAGCCTCTTACCAAAGGTGTCATGGGCTTTGAAGACACTCGAACTCAGAACGCAAGGGAGTAGAAACGTGCTAAGAGGAGGGCACGCTTGGCAAACCCTCACCGGGATCAACTCCCACCCGGGAACCAATGTCCCCACTGTGGAAGGATGTGTGGATTCAGAATCGGCCTCCACAGTCATTTACGGACTCATTGTTAAAACCGTGTTTATGGAAGACAATCTTACTCGACTACAAGTGATTGCCAATGAAGGAAGAATTTCCACAAATTGAAAACAACCTCCTGGAAGGCCCATATTGGGTTAATGCCAATGGAACATCAGTCTTGGGTTTACTTGCATCTTTTCAAGTGTGCAGGGGAGTAAAGGGAGAAAAATGTACATCACATCAGTGTCAGAAGTGCTAGAATCTTGTGTGTTTCCAGGATGTTGAATACACACCCATCCCTGCTTGCAATATAGGGTTACTGATTGGCGATGAGGTCGTTATGCACTGACTCAAACACATTTTTAACTTCCTAGACAGTGTTAAAACAGCATTGTTTTCCCCTCCCCTAAATCAGTATTCTTTGCCTTGGCTCCCTGTTAGAGATGCCAGCTGTGCTTCCACTACCAGCCCTCTTTTACAATGGCAGGTGACGCCTGAACATGTTTGATTCCCTTGTCAAAATTTGCGAACAAGATGAACAACACCCAGATAATTCACTTCTTTTTCACGGTTGAAGCTGCATGTGAACGATTTTTATTGCAGCGCTGGGAGCCTCAGGGGCCTAGTTTTGCGTTTCCCAGTGGTGGTGGCAGCAGGCTGCGCTATTAACATATTTCCTACGAGTAGATCCACCCCAAGGAAACATTTCCTGTCATTTTTCATCAGCTATGTTAGATCCCAACCCAGACACCCCCTGGGAGAAGCAAGCAGGAATGCTTTGAAATTAACCCGGACAGCCAGCAAGTCCATTAACAATCAGGATCTGGTTTGACTTCCTAATTACAGCCAATGTTTATCCTCTGACCTGGGTTTTCAACGCGCAGGATGCAAGCTCCAGGTCTACATGTGCCAAATCTTTCTGTGCCCTGAAGTTTTCCTCCTTTAGCTTTATAGCACAGGGACATAGCACAGGGAACTTTCGAGCAAGTCCCGCGTTTAATCCCTGGGATCTCCAGCTAGGGCTGCCTGAAATCTTAGAGAGCCTCTGCCAGTCAGTGTAGACAGTACTGAGCTCAATGCACTAATGGTCTGACTCAGAAGAAGTCAGCTCCCAATGTATACTGTATAAGACAGCTTTGTACATCAGGGAATGGTTGGCATCCATCTGTTTCAGGAGACAGTGGAGAAGAGCGCCTTTGGAGGTGAAGTCAAACCACTGGAGAGTTTCAGCACCTGCTGTGGCTGTAGAGACTGAGGTGGGAGAGACATGTTTTGTTGCAGCTGGGGAAGATGAAGGCATGTGGGCACTGTGGTTGTCTGCAAGGGATTCCCACACTGCAGGGTTGATGTTGCCAGTCTTCATGTCTGCAAGGGGTGGCAAACCTGTGGCCTTGCAGCTATTACAGGACCACAACTCCCATCATCTTTAGCCATTGGCCATACTGGTGGATGGAAGCTGGAGCTCCAACAGCATCTGGAGGGCATAAAGTCAGCCACCACTGGTGTATATAGCTTTACATGTAAAGACTTAGATTTATACAATCGTAGAATTGTTGAGTTTGAAGGGACCCAAGGGTCATCTAGTCCAACCCCTGCAATTCAGGAATCTCAACGAAAGCATCTGTGACTACTCAACCTCTGCTTAAAATCCTCCAAAGAAGGAGAGTCTCCCAAGGGGGCCCGTTCCAATGTTGAACAGCTCTTACTGTCAGAAAGTTCTTCCTTATGTTTAGTTGAAATCTCCTTCCTTGTAATTTGAAGCCACTGGTTCGAGTCAGGAGCAGGAGAAAACAAGCTTGCTCCCTCTTCCTAGGACCCTCATACCTATGGGGCCGCCTCTCCTGGTATGTCCCACGGAGGACCTTACAGTCTTCAAACAAAAACATCTTGGAGGTCCCGGGCCACAGGGAGGTTAGGCTGGCCTCAACCAGAGCCAGGGCTTTTTTGGCTGTGGCCCCAATCTGGTGGAACGCTCTGTCACAAGAGACTAGGGCCCTGCGGGACTTGACATCTTTCTGCAGGGCCTGCAAGACAGAGCTGTTCCACCAGGCCTTTGGCCAAGGCACAGTTTGACCCCCTCCTTTGGTAATCCTCACAGAACTCTAGCCCAATGGTTGCCATTAATTTGATTTCGAACTGATTTTAAAATGAATTGATTTTAGAATGCTGTGTCAATTTTATTGTTGTAAGCCGCTCTGAGCCCGGCTTCGGCTGGGGAGGGTGGGATATAAATAAAATATTATTATTATTATTATTATTATTATTATTATTATTATTCCATGCGACAGCCCTTGAGATGAGCCCTGACTGGGACAGGGTTGGTCCAATATGCTTTGCTGCCTGAGGCAAAGGAAAAGAAGGCAGCCAGCCGCCCTCTAGCCCATGTGCAGAAGCTGAGCAGATTGGCGGTGGCATCTTCCTTGAACCCTGGCCAATGAGAGGTTTCCTTTACCACACCTGAGGGCAGCAGGCTAGCTTATAGGGCGGGAGGACAAGGACAAGGCAGGTTGCATGCCACACACACAGCAGCAACAATTTAAGGGCATCTGCTGCCTGAGGTGGCTTCCTCTCGCTGCCCAGTGTTGCAAAAAGAGTAAGTGCCAGTAAGGGATTATTTGTCCTGTAACCTGACAACGGTATGGAACGAAAGCTGAATGACTAGGGCATTGTGGGTTGTTGTGGTCTGTTTCCCAGGTGGCAAGACAAACTGTTCAGTGTTGGGATGAAAATGGAAAATCCTGTGTGTGTGTGTGTGTGTGTGGAGGAGGGCGAAAGGGAGCAGTGTAATGAATAAAGATGTCGGAAAATATTAACATTTCGAACAGAGGAGGAGTTCATTTATAGAGCGCTTCCATGCCTGAGTCATGCAGCAGACATGCCAGATATACGGAGAAGAAAATGAACGATGTTTCGTTTCCCCCTGGTGAAATATAAAAAGGCAATCAAACGCGTTGTTTTCCAGATTGCATGGGGTGCGGGTGGGAAAGAGGGTTAAGTGAAGCAGAGACTAGAAGTGGCCCCTTTAGGGTGGTAGGGGAAAGATGTAAAATCTCATCTAAGTTAAGGAAATGAGCCCAACTTGAAAGACCTGCACTGATTACCTAGCTAGCCCAATTGAATAACTCAGGTTTGCTGAGGTCTGCAATAGACTATGGTCAGTAGTCGCATCTCATGTCCTCTGTCTTGTTGTTAACTCTAAAAGCAGCACAACCCTGTTGTGGGGGAATGCTCTGGTTCTGATCTGAGCTCTGTCTCTTGGGGAGGGTGTGTTTAACCTTTCCCTCCCATTCCATCGCCCCAATCTTTCTCACGCATATCCCCAATGTTTCTATCAGCCCTGCGCCGATAAGAATGCAAGCACAATATAAGCCAGAGAAACCAATATGATGTCTGTTCCCTATTTTAAATGTTCCAGTCCTCTTGATGGGGCCAGACTAGCAGCAGGCCATGGGGTGAGGTCTGATGGTTGCGGAGTGGGGCCACAGCGGATCCTGATTTCAAATCCTCCTGTAACCCTCAAGACTGCTTTATTTGCAGATGTTTGGCCAACGCTTTCCAGGATGCAGATGCCTCGTGTTTGCGGACCTGTGAACTGCTGCCTAACAATGCTTTTCATGATGTGCTGCTCACAGTTAGTAGCCCATCCCTTTTGCATGCCAATTTTATTTTTAATCGTCTTTTCCCGCTTGGTATGTGGGAACATTTTTGTGATGATCAACACGTTGTACTGCTTTTGTATGCCCCTCTCCTGACGCGCCTTCCCCACCCTTTCCAACTGTGGTTTTCGTTTGTTTGTTCAATGGCCTCACCACTCCTTCTAAAAGACTGTGTGTGTGTGTTATTTTGTACCAGAGCTTCTTTTCTTTAGGCCAATTTATGGAGCACAAGAATCAAATAACTGTAGGGTTGGAAAGGGACCATGAGGGTCATCTAGTCCAACCCCCTGCAATACAGGAATCTTTTGTCCAGTGTGGGATTCAAACCCACAACCCTGAGATAAAGAATCTCATGCTCTTCCAACTGAGCTATCCCTGAGCAGTCTCTGCAGAAGTAAGAAAAGCTTTTGCTAGTCATTAAGGATGGTCCACACGCTTTTGGATCAGACTGAGAGCTAGTCTTCTTCAGCTTCCTCTTCCCCCACAGTGCCGAAGCAGAGGCTTATGGGAGGCAGGGCTTAGGCCACTAGCCCTCTTCCACTATTGCTCCCCGAAGATTAGCTGCCCGTTGTTTCCTGGCCCAATTAAAGGGGCTCACGTTTCATGTCCTGAACAACTCAGGTCCCTAATACCTGAAAAGCCACTTCCTGCAAGACCCCCTTGGGTGTTAAGATCAGCAGAGAGGACCCTATTGGCTTTTCCACTGCCCTCAGAAGTTAGGGTGGCAGTGGCCCAGAAAAGGGCATTCTCTGTGGTGGCCTCTATGTTGTGAAACTCCCTCGCCACAGAGAAATAATAGTATTCAGAGAAATAGTATTCGGAGAGGTACAAACTCTGATCCTGGAGACAGTATATAACCATGGTGGGTAGCAGCTGTGGAAAGCTCGAATTTTTTGTATCTCCTTTTATAGCAGTCTAAGGTGACAGCCATCATCACATCTTGTGGTAGCAAATTGCACATTTTAACTATGCACCACGTGAAACGGTCCTTATTTTGGGCCACCCTGATTCTCCCACAATTCAAATTCATTGGCTTGTCAACAAAGTCAATTAAATAATGCAGAGCACAGAGGGGAAAGTCCTGATAACACTGGGAAGAATTCAATGTTGTGATCAGCACCAGCATTTCGGCTTTTTTCATGGAACCACCTCCCCTCTCTTCCCCACTCATGCTGTTTATTTAGAGGCTTCTCCTGAAACCCACCCCCCAGCCAGTCTAGAGGAGGCAATTGGGGGGGGGGGATAAAGAGGGGCAAAAGCCCCATTGTGCTAGAGCTCGTTATTTGAATCCGGTGCACTTTACAGAGCAAACTGAATAAAAAACCCATGCATAATTTGAGAAGAAAGGAGCAGAGAGTTTTTGTCTTTCGCATGGGTCAGGCCTTCTACATAGGAGGGGGACAGCCAACCAAACGTACAGAGGAAAACTCCCTCAGAACTGCATAGCCAGTCAGAGCACGAGTTACCTCAGTAAAGATCATGACACTCTGCCTGATTGCTGAGCAACACCTCCACCACCCTGGTTTAACTGACTTAACTGATAACAGAGATAACCCTTAATTCAGAAACCGAATGATCCTTGCCGTTCTATATCTGCAAATATTGAGGATTTTTCCAGAACAGAGTTACCTTTCAGCCCTTAATATTTTGTATGCTGTAGGAGAAGATGCCATTAGCTGCTTTCTGCTCTCTCTCTCTCTCTCTCTCTCTCTTCCTTTCCTTTCCTTTGAGCCTCCTTTATCAAACAGAAGTCTCGGTTTACAGAATGAATCAAGCAGCGGGGTCCTTAGCAAATGGCCTGCTTTGGAGTGTGGCCATTTTGTGGTCCAAGTGAACACAAAAGGGTTCACCGCTCCCATGTGTGATTAAGATCAGGCTTTGGTACCATATGTTTCGCCTATGTGCAGAGGCCTGGTTAAATGGAGAGAAAAGCCAGTTGTCGTTTCTGAGGCGCCAAATGAACAACGTGCTTTAATTTATGTCCGAGACACAGGCAAAAGGCCTATAGAAAGGTCATTATCCCTCCATTTCTTTGGTGGCTTAACTGGAAACGAAGAGTCTTGAGGAAGAAGAAGAAAGGGAGTCCTCAATAAGAACGTCACTGAAAGAATCGCATTGTATATTTTAAAAAAGGGAATTGTTTCCCGCAACTAACTTTTCATGTAATTTGGCAGGCATCGGGAGAAACACAGAAGGATCTCTCTTTGTCGCTGAGACCGACCTGGAATACATTTGCCTGTTCTCTTTAAACAGGCAGGAGGACACTGGGCCTTTTGTCAGCCTTCGAAAAAGCCAAAAGTGAAGATTTGGGGCAGGTTGAGGGAGGAGGCGCAATAATCAGTGGATGCCCCCATCTCTAAGGAGATGTTTTCACATGGGCTGAGGAAAGCCGCCCTGTAGTCTTGTTAGTTAAGCCTCGGAAATATAAAGCTCACCAGCTGAGGCGATTTGAGATAGCTCAATTCGTAAGAAAAGGCCCACTGGATCAGGCCAAAGGCCCAATGCAGATGGTTTTTAAAGTGGAATAAACAAATTAACTGAGGTTATACAATCCAAATCTTTTTTACAGTCATAGTCCAGCAGGCATAGACCCCTCTGTGGAGGTTATCAGAGACTGACTTTGAGCGAGCAGAGATGGCTTTAAGGGGGGAAGTGGTCCAGATACCCTTTCATGAACATATGGGAAAATACTATATGGGATGCCACAATGTCCGATCATCTCACCAGGAACAGGAGGGCAATTGACGGCATAACGAATAAAGACACCTTCCAACTTTCTCTTAGTCTGTCAGACTAAGAGAAAAAGACAACAGCGACTTTGAAAAAAAATGGGAATGTTATGTACTGAGTTGAATAGGATCCAAAATGCAGCAGTCTGATTGGTCCTAGAACAATAGGATTCAGAATGCAGCAGTCTGATTGGTCCTAGAACAATGCAGCAGTATGATTGGTCCGCAGTAGCCATCCAATCCAGCTCTAGATGGAAGTGAATCCACAACCTGATTGGCCTGCAGGAGAATTCCGGAATTAGCCAATCACGTGCAGCCCACTGTGTAAATAATGTATATAAAGCAGATACTTTGGGGGAACTTCCATTCCTCCTCACCACTATGAGCTGAATAAAGAGCATGCAATCCACTCTCAACTCTTGAGTATATTTCAATTATACTTGCAGATACAAACAAGGTTGATAGACTTGATGGCAGGATTTAAATAAACATTCACACTATTAGTATTAGAAAATGTTTAGAAGCTAGAGAAATATTATGGTGCATTTACTTTTATTTTTATGTTTGATGTTATGTTGTTAATGTTAAGTTTGATGTTATGTTGTTAATAACTTTTTCTGTTAGGAGGTAGAAAAGTCGTTGAAAAGAAAAACAAACCAGAAGTGGATGTTGGGGGAAGCCTAGGAGGGGAGGGAGGAAGGAATACATAGTAAATGTTAAGACTTTGAGATGTATGTAATGAATGAAAAAGAAAAATGAGTAAAAAACATTTTTAACAAAATATACCTTCCAACTTTAACTATGTGAATGAACAAAATCAAGACCAGTATACAACAACCGCTCAATATTTGCAGAGGGGAGGTTATGTTAGGTAATATGGTTGAACATTGAACATATGTCTAGAGTCAATGGATAGAACAAACACCATTAGATGTACTGCTCGATAAGTGTTTAATGGTTCTTGTATTTGTTCAAAAATCAATAAAAATCTGTTTCGAAAGAAAAGGTTATCGGCAGCTACTAGTCTACTTCCAACACGCCTTGAACTAGCCCCACAGAGCATCTGCATTGCTTTATTCTCCATGAGTTCATCCAAGCCCCTCCATAAAGCCAATTTTGCTGTGCGCTGTGTAAAGCAGTGCCCCTTTCTGCTGTCCCAAAAAATTCAGCTTTGTTGATGGGCCCTGGGTTCTAGTCTTTGGGAAGGGCCATAACTCAGTGGTCAGTGTTTTGCATGCAGGAGGTTTGAGGTTCAATCCCTGACACCCCTAAAACCCCGGAGGGCAGCTGCCAGTCAGTGTAGACAATACTGAGGTAGATGGGTCAGTGGGCCTGGCTTGGTAGAAAACTGCTTCCTTTATTATGCGAGAGGAAGATAAATGTCTCTCTAGCTTCTTCTTTTGCGGCTTCTAACATCAACCAGAGTGAATAGCTAATCATGAACCACGTGGTTGATTTTTAATAGGTTTAGGACCATTTCCCCTCCTTCCTTCACGCAGTTGGCATCACCCATAGTTGGTTGAGGCACATTATCTGGACTCTTGCCGAGTTATCTGTTTGGAGCGCAAGGTCAAAAGGGAGCAAAGTTCACCTCTCAGGCTTGGCTCCACTCCTCTTCTGACACACAGAACATTTCGTGTCAGCATTTGCGGAATTTAAAATGCTTCGCCAGGAAATCGCCACAGGAAAACCCACTCCTTTTGGCCACCTTGCCATTTATGATATTTCCCTTCGACCTCGGCAGTCGTCCTGGCTCCGGGGCCTCAGATTGGTAGATCGTAGACGTTAAATAGGATTTGCCTGCTGGGAATGAAACAATCTCCAGCCGAGGAATCTCAAACAGCAGGGCCAGGAAATATTCTGCTTGAGGTGCGGGGGCTTTTGGTTGCTGAGTGGTTAGCATAGGAACATGCAAAGCTGCTTCCAACCAGGTCAAACCATTAGCTCATCAAGTTAAATACCTTGGCTGGCAGCAGCTCTCCATGGTTTCAGACTAGGGTCTCTCCCAGTCGGGCAGCCTTTGGGAAATTAATGAAAGACACTTGGACCTCGATGGAGCATCATGCCTCCTTCCCTAAGTCGGGCAGAAGCTTCCTGCGCTTTGGGAAGGAGGTGCCAGGCTTTAATACTTTAATGTTCTAATTTACAGGACGTGGGTGGCGCTGTGGGTTAAACCACAGAGCTTAGGGCTTGCCGATCAGAAGGTTGGCAGTTCGAATCCCCGCGACGGGGTTAGCTCCCGTTGCTCATTCCCTGCTCCTGCCAACCTAGCAGTTCAAAAGCAGGTCAAAGTGCAAATAGATAAATAGGTACTGCTCTGGCGGGAAGGTAAACGGCGTTTCCGTGGGCTGCTCTGGTTCGCCAGAAGTGGCTTAGTCATGCTGGCCACATGACCCGGAAGCTGTACGCTGGCTCCCTCGGCCAATAAAGCAAGATGAGCGCCGCAACCCCAGAGTCGTCCGTGACTGGACCTAATGGTCAGAGTTCCCTTTACCTTTACTCTATTTTACTGGAAACATTTAGGGATAGCCCAGTCCCTAGTCCACTGACCACATGCCATTGCTTTCTGCACTTGTGATTCCCAGCCTAGGAGTCATATGGCCTCCAGTAGTGGAGGAAGCATATGGCACTAGCTCCCATTGGCCTCTCGAGGTTTTTCTTTTTGGCTAAATGCCTGAGGTATGTGATGCCTTGCATGCTGCTTGTCCACCCAAATCTAGCAATGGCTGGGCCACTTGTGGCATGTGAACTTCCACAGCTCTGCTGGCAGTTGCTGGGAGCTGCGTGGCATCTGCCTCCAGTTAGAAAGTAAGGCACTGAAATCCCCATAGGAACATAGGAATCTGCCCTATACAAAGTCGGAACATTGGTCCGCCTTGTTGGCTGTTTTGCAGATTAGTTGCGCTGCAGAAGGCGTGCTAGGGAGACCACACATTTCAAGAAACGCAAAAGTAACTTTTGCTAGGTTTTAATAACAAAAACAAAAACTCCTTTTACACTAAATTACAATATATCAATAAACATGACCCATCCACCAGGGTACTGAGAGAGCTACATGCTGCTCTTTATATACCATACCCAACAGCTTAATTACCACAACTTAACAGCACCTGCTATACAGTGGTACCTCGGGTTAAGTACTTAATTCGTTCCAGAGGTCCGTTCTTAACCTGAAACTGTTCTCAACCTGAAGCACCACTTTAGCTAATGGGGCCTCCTGCTGCTGCTGCTGCGCCGCCGGAGCACGATTTCTGTTCTCATCCTGAAGCAAAGTACTTCACCCGAGGTATTATTTCTGGGTTAGCGGAGTCTGTAACCTGAGTCTGTAACCTGAACCTGAACCTGAGGTACCACTGTACTGCTTCACAGCTGTAAAACTAGGTCACGTTATTTGCTCTGGCCTTTAAAGAAATACACATCTTGTGGAACAATAATGAACCTTCAAATTTAAAGAGACCATTCAACACGCCTATCTCAATATTGTCTGCACTGACTGGCAGCCGCTCACCAGAGTTTCAAATAGGGTTTCTTCAGGGAAGACACACAGGTTCTGAGTTTTTAAAAAAACCACAGTGTTGCAAATCGTCTGCGATGGTTGCCATGGAACATAAATCAAAGCCAATACTTGAATAAAAATATTTTTCTCGGGTTCAGCCTGATAGGTTACCACGTGCTGTTCAAGACACTTGAATTGTTTGTTGTTATGTGGAAGCCATGAGTCACGCCACCTCCTGGAAACCTTTTCAAATGGGTTCTTTAAAAAAAAAAGTGTATGTTTCATTTCTCAATATTCCAATGCAATAACTTAAATGAAAACAATATTATTTTTGGCACGCCCATCCCGATCTGTTTAGTCATCTCTGTAGCACGTGCTGGCTCAGAGGAAGTTTGTGTGCAGCTGAATCTGCCAGCAAAGCACTCTCCCGTCCTGTGGTTTCCAGCAACTGGTATTCAGAAGCATTGCTGCCTTTGACTGTGGAGGCAAAGCACAGCCATCTTGGCTAGTAGCAATTGATCGCCTTCTCCTTCCTTGGGACTCTGTCCGGGTCCCATGTCTTCTCCTCCTTTGCTGGCTGTGCTTTCTACCATCTTGGAGTGATTTTACCTAGCCAAAATGTTCCCTTGAACTCTGATAAGGCCTCGTGCTTGCCTGCGTGGAGGATAGAGAGAGGTGTATCATACCCTCCAACACGTCTAAGGGAAAAACCAGGACGCTATTTTTCCAAGACGACATCTTCCCGCTTTTTCTCACAAGGGCATGGCGGCCATTTTGGGTGTTGTGATCTCACACGATGTGGTGCCGCGATTCCCTCCCCCCCAAACAGCGGGGTTTTGGGGTATGGCGCCCCAAAATGCATGTTTTGGAATGCTACGTGAGATCGCAGCCTCGAGAAAGCACTTTTGGAGTGGGGGATGGGAATCGTGGCACAAAATTGCTTGAGATCACGATGCCCAAAATGGCGGCTGTGCTCTCATGGAATAAACAGAGAATGGCTCTCTCTAATGTACATAAAGGCATCTTGGACATAGCTGTCGACTTTTCCCTTTTCTTGTGAGGAATCCTATTTGGAAAAAGGGAATTTCCCTTTAAAAAAGGGAAACGTTGGCAGCTATGATCTTGGATGATGCAGAGGCCTTTGGGACCTCTCTCTGCTCCAGCACCGGGATGCATGCCTGAGGGAGATACTGGCCATTTTTCTTCTTGGGATTCCCTTCCAGCTGGCTGAAATTCCTCCCTGAAAGAAAAAATACCCCCAGAGAGGCTTCTGTGGTTTATCACTGAGGCTTCTGGCCTAACCTGCCTCTTCAGCCCTGTGAGGATTATTTGGCCTGGGAAGCTGGACTCTCCCTGGCCAAGGTGTCGGAGAAGGGGGTGATGCCATGGTTGAGGGGTGTCCGGCCCTCAAGTGTTTGAGCAGGAAGAATCCCATCCTTTCCCTGAGCCTGAAGAAGCTCTCTCTCTCTCTCTCTCTTATAATAATATTAGTAGGTCCAGTGCTTTTTTTCTGGGGGGACGCAGGGGTTCGCATACCCCTAAACATTTTGTGAATCTAAGTTTGGCCTCATTGAGGGGCAGTATTTCAATACGAGTAGGAAAATGAGAGTACCCCTAAACATTCTTTTAAAGGAAAAAAAGCACTAAGCAGGTCAAAGATGTTAAGCCCCTGCAAAGCTGATTGACAAACTGATTTATATTACTACTACTAGCCTTTATTGGCATAAGTTAAAACAGTAAAATCATACAAAGTCATCCAAATACATTGATAATCCATACAATATATAAAAGACTACCGGTAAATAGCCACCATTGAATAAATCGGGCAACTTTAGATTTAGCTTTAAAGAGCTTGGCTAAGTACAGTGGTACCTCGGGTTAAGTACTTAATTCGTTCTGGAGGTCTGTTCTTAACCTGAAACTGTTCTTAACCTGAAGCACCACTTTAGCTAATGGGGCCTCCTGCTGCCACCGTGCCACTGGAGCACATTTTCTGTTTTCATCCTGAAGCAAAGTTCTTAACCTGAGGTACTATTTCTGGGTTAGCGGAGTTGGTAACCTGAAGTGTCTGTAACCTGAAGCGTCTGTAACCCGAGGTACCACTGTACCCCGAAACAATCTTGGTAGTTTCAGGAGTATCATCCCTCAGCAAATCTTGGATTACAGACTCTTTGTAAATCGATATTTTGAGCTGTAAGGGAGTCACTGGGAGATCTCTGCGATGGGTGACGGCAATCCAAAATTATGTGATGCATTGTATCTGGTGATTTCTTATTACAGGAACAGAAAATCTGTTCTGGAAGGGAATTTTTTGAAACCTTCCAAACAATACAGATGAGGGGAATGCATTTAGACAAGCTAGCATAAAAGCTCTGTGGAGTATCTAAATTATAAAAGTAATTAGGCATTACTCCATGGTGGGGCTGCAATTCTAAGCAGGCAGGTTAACATACAAAAGTCTGGTAGTTTTTGGATTTCATGACCTAGCAGCCTCTGCTTGATGAGAGAGATGATTTGTGACTCATCGAATAGAAGAAGGGAATCTATTGCAATCCCTATTTGCCTGAGTTTGAGGGTAATATCAGAAAACCATGTAGAATCATGTGTATCTCTCTACAACCTGATTTATAACCCTAGCATGCTGTGATAACAAATTTATTGCATAGCACTCTGAAGCATAGCAAGCTCTATCGTGTTGTTTATGATTAATTCCTCTTGTTTCTTGCGAAACATTGGATTTGTAGCAGATGTTAGTTCTTCTCAAAAGCAGACCTATTGAATGGCAGCCTGCTAAGTTTTGCTTAGAGAAGACATGTAGAAACTGAGCTTTTATTTATTGTAAACAAACAAAAACAGGAATGGTTGACCACATGAAGCAAAATCCTTAAAAAAACCTGGGCCTCAGCCAGTGAGATTCATGGCTGAACAGGGATAGGGACCATTTTGAAGCCTGTGAGCACTTCCAGGGTGATGTTGGTTTTGGGTAAGATTTTAAAATAGGACATACTGGCAAATTCAGATTAGAATAATAGAATTCTAGAGTTGGAAGGTACCACAAAGGTCATGTGGTCCAACCTGTGTAATGCAGGAATCTTTTGCCCAGCATGGGGCTTGAACCCACAACCCTGAGATTAAGAGGCTCATGCTCTACCAACCGAGCTATCCCCGGTCAATTGCACAACCGTTGATGATTGGGTGCTCATTCGCAACAAATCTCCTTTCCCCAAAAGTCGGACTTTCTGCTGTAAGGAAAGTAATGGGGAAATGCATTAGAAAGTATGGAATGAGGCAGTGCATTGGAAACAAATCAGAATGTGCACTCGTTCAGTAGCCAATGGTGGAATCTAGTCACATATAGCGCTGTCCGCAGACACTTCCGGGTCACGTGGCCAGCGTGACAAGCTGCATCTGGCGAGCCAGCGCAGCACACGGAACGCCGTTTACCTTCCCACTGGTAAGTGGTCCCTATTTATCTACTTGCACCCAGGGGTGCTTTCGAACGGCTAGGTTTCAGGCGCTGGGACCGAACGACGGGAACACACCCCGCCGCGGGGATTCGAACCACCGACCATGCGATCGGCAAGTCCTAGGCGCTGAGGTTTTACCCACAGCGCCACCCGCGTCCCCCTATCTTGCACTTAAAACACGCTTAAAACAATTTATTTGCAGCCGTATAGCTGAGTCCAATGTCCTCTGATCTCCCTGCAGACAAAGCAGAGTGAACGTTCAATAAAAGGTTGTTTGGAAGCACCCTGTGTCAAGAGTGAGGAAGCTGTGACCATCCCCCAGGTGTTGTTACACTCCAACTCCCATCAGCCCCCAGCTGGCATGGCCAGTGGTCAGGGATGATGGGATTTGTAGTCCAGAGTTGCTCCATCCCTGACATAGAGTTTAGGCTGGCTCAGTTCTCTGCAGAGCCCTGAAACTCACCTGCTGGCCTCAGCCTCAGCTTCACTCACCTCAGAAGGTTGTTGTGAGAATGCAAGAGCGGTGGAGGACTCAAAATGCCTCCCAAGAAGTTCTTATTCTTTGTGGCGTATCCCAAAGAGAGTCCACCAAAGTGGAAATCTAATAATACTTCCTTTCTGTTAAGAGAGCCTCTCCATTCCATAACTGCTTCAACACATCCTCTCTTCCTTCCTAGGGAATGGCCTTTACCCTCGAAGAGAGGCTTCAGCTGGGAATCCACGGCCTGCTCCCTCCTTGCTTCCTGAGCCAAGATGTTCAAGTTCTTCGCGTCCTCAAAAGCTACGAGACCAAATCCAGCGATCTAGACAAGTAAGCAAGATGTGAGGAGAGAGCGCTAGGCAAGGGGCTGTGGCCGGAGCTAAACATTAGGAAGGATGCAAGTAAGATAAGGTTGCTCACCCCGAAGAACTCTGCAGAGAAACTTGCAATATGACAGCATGCCTTAAATTTTTTGCAATAGCAGATGGTTGACAGTGGTTAGAAGGTCCCAGGACGGGTCACCATTAAAAACAGTTTAAAAGAAATGGCAAATGCAACTAGAGTGGGTTCAAACATATATATCTCAGGGAAGAAATATATCTCAAAGATCAGGATAAATAGGTGCATATTCTGCATACTATGAAAGTTGTGCAATGAAGGTCCCAGGTGCACCTCTTTGAGGAGAGAGTTCCCCAACTTAGGGGCTACCACAGAGAAGGCCCTCTCCTGGGCCAACACCACCCCAGGCTTCTAAGGGTGTTGGAACTGCCAAGAAGACCTCCTCTGCTGATCGCAACACCCAAAAGGAAGGAGGTGGTCTCTAGGGAAGGAGGTGGTCTCACAGATATTTGGGGCCTAAATGGTTTAGGGCTTTATACACCAGTGTATTGCAGAGGAAGTAGAGTAGGAAAGGGTAGTTGCTTTCAATGCAGCCAATGTTTCTGCTTCCAGCCTGAAATGAAATGGGGACCATCCCCCTACCGTATCCTTATTATTGCTTGTGGAGTTGCCATCGCTTTCCCTCTTTCAGTTCACCTTGATCTCACATGGCCTCTTGCACGATGCTCTTGCAATCCCTTCTCCAACACCAATAGCTCTGTATTCCTCACCACGTAATAAAACTGGCAGGTAGCCTTTCTCTGGTTAGAGGATGGAGGGATGTTCACCCCACCCACCCACCCGCAACTCACCGAGGAGTTAATAATAAATAAACAAAATTGCACAGAAGCTACGACTTCTCTTGCTTTGCATACCGTATTTTTTGCTCTATAGGACGCACTTCCCCCCCTCCAGAACTGAAGGGGAAATGTGTGTGCGTCCTATGGAGCGAATGCAGGCTTTCGCTGAAGCCTGGAGAGCGAGAGGGGTCGGTGCACACTGACCCCTCTCGCTCTTCAGGCAGCTATCCGCAAGCCTTCCGAGGCTTGCAGATAGCTGCCTGTTCTGGGGTCGGGGGAAGCTCAGGCTTCCCCACCCCCAGCCCCACAAGCTCCGGGAGCGGCGGCGAGGTTGCGCTCAATCTTGCCGCCGCTCCTGGACCTGGGGGGGGGGGCGCAGAAATATTTTCCCCCCTTTATTCCCCCCCCCCTAAAAACTAGGTGTGCCCTATGGTCCGGTGCGCCCTATGGAGCGAAAAATATGGTAATTTATCCTACCATCTTTACATCTCTCTGTAATTTGCTTTGGTTTTCCGAGGACTGGGGAGGGGCAAGGAGCTCTGCCTGCTTGGAATCTTAGGCTGCAGTCCTGTGCTCACTTCCCTGGGAGTAAGGCTCTCTAGCCCTACCTGGGGTACCAGAGATTGAACATGGAACCTCTTGCCTAATAGCAGCTATAAGAAGCATGGGTTGAGTTTTCCCCCCCAAATCTGGCAGAGAACTGGCTCCGTTGCTTCTGCTTAGTACTGACAATGCTTCTCTTTTCCTTATGCTTTTCTTCCCCCCTCCCGCTGCCCCCTGCCAGGTATATCATCCTTATGACGCTCCAAGACCGAAATGAGAAGCTGTTCTACCGGGTCCTCACGTCGGATATAGAAAGATTCATGCCTATAGTATACACTCCCACCGTCGGCTTGGCCTGTCAGCAGTATGGTCTGGCTTTCAGAAGGCCTCGGTGAGTAGACGGGACTATTTTTATCTCTCTTACCCCATCAATGTGCCACCCCACCCGCCACTCCATGCTTAATTGAAAACGAATGTTCCTTTTGTCATTGGTACGCCTCTTAATGTGGGTGGCCCTCAAGAAAAAAAGAAATGCCCTTCGCGATTCTTGATCAAACGATGCAGCTATCGAAAACAGTTTGCATGTGTTTACTTAATGGCCTGCTGGGGAGTCGTTTTGTTCAAGAACAGGACAGTGCAATCTAGCTAAATTTAACTGCAAAAACATTCTCACTTGAGCCCTCCTCCGTCAGTTCCATAACCTTTAAGATTCTTGTTGTCTTGCTGTTCAACCCTTGGGGGTAAACAGTGTTTGCCGTGTGGTTCAGCAAATGCCTTTTTGCTGCGTCAGGAGACAGAAATCGCTATGCCTGTGAACCAGGCCTGCAGACCATGGGCAGGGGACTTGCTGGCACCTGGGTGGCAAACTTAGCAAGAGTCAGGGCGGAGCAAGGCAAAGGTGGCCTAGATTGGCAGGCTTGGGACAGCCAAAGAGCCCTTAACGAGAGCTGTCAATCAGCCTGCCAGCATCTTCTTCCTGCTTCCTTTTATAAGGAAAGGTCAAGTAGGGCCAGGGGAGCTAACTTTCCAAGGCACTAGGTCACTGCATTCTGCGGGAGGATTTACCCTCCAGCTCCCTAAAACATCAGAAGCCCCTTCCATTGCAGCAGGGCCTTCACTGTGCCTGCCCCTGTTCTGTGGAACAGTGTCCCGGTTGAGATAGGACAGTACTATCAGATTCCAGTTGCTGGGAATCACAGCTAGGAACAGCACTGTTACACTCAGATTCAGCTTGCAGGCTTTCCAGGAGTGGCGTCTGGTTGGCCGCCGGGAGAGCAAAGTGCTGGACGAGATGGGCAACTCTCCATTGGCCGAGCATGAAACCCTTAATCTCAGAGTTCTGAGTCCAAGGGGGGTTGGACTAGATGACCCTCGTGACCCCTTCCAACTCTATGATCCTAACTGCTCCAGCAGGCTGTTCTTATGCGGGCAGCAACTTTTGGAAAACCACAGGTTACTCATCCTTGGTATAGATTCTCCATGCTTTTAAAAGTAACCCCTGAGGAAGAGGGAACTCCATTGATATGTATTAGATCTGTTTCATATTCTTCTTAAACTAACCCCACATTGCTTTGTGAACATTGACTGGAAAAGAGTCCTGCTGAACCAGGCCAAACGACCCCAGCAACCTCTTTTCACCAGATGCCTGTGGGAAGCCTGGAAGAAGGATCTGAGTGCCACAACACTCTGCCCACTTCTGATTCAGTATTCAGAAGCATAACACTTCCAGAACTGGAGACTGACCATAATGGCTAGTTCCTGAATGATCATCTCTTATATGAAGCTGCCTTTTCTCTGAGATCATCCTCAGAGGCCCTGCTTCCGGTGACCCTTCCATCAGAGGGTAGGCAGGTGTTAGTTGAAGACAGGGCCTTTTCAGTGGTGGCACCCCGGTTTTGGAAAACTCTCCCCAGGCAAGTGTTCCTGGTGACTATACTGCTCACTTTTCAGGCACCAGGTAAAGCTCATTTTATTCTCCTGCCGTTGAGCTTGCTGCTGGTTCTAATGCTTTTGTTGTTTTTGTCTTCCTGCTGTTGGCTTTAACCCTTGTTTTTATTGGATGGTGTCTCTATTGCTTTATGGGTTTTACATTGCTAATGTAAGCAGCCTTAGACAATTAATAGGAAAAACATGGAATGAATATATTCAATATAACAATGGCTACACCCTCTTGGCTTCCTTTACGGAGATTATCAGCCATTCTGTTAGAGACCTGCCAATTTTATTCTTAGTACAGCTCTTAGAAGAACACTAAGTGTATAATTAATAATACTGAATAGTTGTGCCTGTTGTGCAGAATGCAGAAGTATAACCAGCTTTTTAAAAAAAACTTTCCAGTGTCGTATATCAGGTAACCAGTTCTCCCCTGGATTCCATTAGCAGTGGCCGGTTTACAAATCTGAATCAAATTACATCTGGCTGTGTCCATTTTCAGGCTTTCTTCCCATGGCCAGCCTTTCCAAACCTGGTGCCCTCCAGATGTTTTGGACTACAACTCCCATCAGAACAGCTGGGGCTGATGGGAACTGTAGTGGAAAAAATCTGGATGGGACAAGGCTTGGGGAGGCTGTCATTATATTCCCAGTTTGCTCTATCAATAGATTACGAGCCATTTTGTAATCTCAGAAGTAGGAGTGTCAGAGAACTCAGAGAAACAAGAGCAGAAATTGCTGGTGTTCGCCTATTTTGTCCCATCACTGGCGGAGGAAGAGGAGAGCGGGGGGAGCGCACCGACCCCGGCAGCGCAATCCCGGTGGGGTGCCATTGCGGCTGCCCCCCGCCTGAGCGCCACACCCCCGGGATGCGCGCCAGCCCTGCCCCCACCTGCTCTCCACCCCCCAGTGGCGGAGCATGAAGCTCCGCCACTGTGTCCCATACCCAGAACAGAAGTCCATCCAGTGAATATGGTTGGCAATCATTGTTGTTGCTTTCAGTACACAAATGTAACTCTGGCTTTTGCTATTTCATTGAATACGTCCTCGCTTCTCAGGCATGAGCCAGCAATAAATCACACTGAGTAAGTGGAGTTAGCTCTTTATTAGAAGAAACAAAGTCTGCTCAGGAGTGCCAGGCCTAATGAGCACAGCAACTCTTCTTAGAGAGCCAGTGTGGTGTAGTGGTTAAGAGTAGTAGACTCGTAATCTGGTGAACTGGGTTCGCGTCTCCGCTCCTCCACATGCAGCTGCTGGGTGACCTTGGGCCAGTCACGCTTCTCTGAAGTCTCTCAGCCCCACTCACCTCACAGAGTGTTTGTTGTGGGGGAGGAAGGGAAAGGAGAATGTTAGCCGCTTTGAGACTCCTTCGGGTAGTGATAAAGCGGGATATCAAATCCAAACTCCTCTTCTCTTCTTAGTAGGTCTTGTCCCTGTGAGGCAGTTGTGGAGACTGAAGGTCCCCACCTCCCCACAGCTGCCTAAGTCTCCTTCTCTCCAGGGTCCTTCCTAAGCAATCTGAGACTTGCGCCTGTGTGTGTCTCTGCTCTTCCCTCTTCATGCCTCTTCTGGTTCTGGGAGACCAGGGGGAAGGGAAGCTTGTTGCAGCAGGAGGGGGAGACATCTGTGACTCTGCACCAGTCTGACTCATCTCTGCCTCTTGTCCTCCCTCATCCCTCTCCACTGCTTCAGCTTCTGCCTCTGATTCTGGACTTATCTCTGCCACAGACTCTCCCTTCTCACTAAGCTATCTCTTCAGCTTCTGACTCCTCCTCTTCCCAGTCTCCTCCCTCTGACCACTCATCATTGTCCCACCTTCTTCCTTTGGGGGTTCCCTGGATGTTGGCCATGGTGGGTGGGACTGATAAGAGCTGGAGTCCCACAAGGTCTGGGCGGGAGGCACAGGTTCTCCTCACCTGCTACTAGCTCCTCAAAGTGCAGTTGTTTTCCTAATTCATAAAGAAGGCAAGACTTCCTCTGCAAAAGTTCCTCTGCCAATAATTCCAGCTCTTTTGGAAGCTGCCTTCCCAAGACATCTTTTTCCAATTATCTGTTTCTCGACCCCCTAGAAACTTCCTCTTTTATCACAATTAAAAGGGGTGGTTTTCACTTGAGAAATAATGCTCTTCTTGTTTATGTTAAGCATTTTTCTTCCTTCCTTAGAAAAGCTCTTCTCCAGTCAGATTTGGCCGGGTGAGGATATAATGCTGGCTCTCTGATCGCTGCAGTTCGCAAAATCGGAACGGGTTAGGAGAAACCACACAAAAATCAGAACCGATTAGTTTCAGACAGAAGCCTCTCCCAGCTCTACCACAAGGTGCCTGGGACTGAACCAGGGACGTTCTGTGTCTTTCCCCCCAGTTCTGCAAAGCCTGAAGGGATAGCGGCACTGATCCACTCCAGTTTGAATTGAGGCAGAGGAAAAGAGTTTGTTAACCCCATTCTCCATGGTAATGGGCTGTAGCTCAGTGACACAGCAGCTGCTTTCGCATGCAGATAGTCCCGAGGGAACATTGTAGAACAACAAATAAAGAGCATGATATGTGGACAGTCCAATATAAATCCATTTCTAGTGCACTGTTACTGTGTCAAAGACATGTTGCAGAATACAGTGGTACCTCGGGTTAAGAACTTAATTCGTTCTGGAGGTCCGTTCTTAACCTGAAACTGTTCTTAACCTGAGGTACCACTTTAGCTAATGGGGCCTCCCGCTGCCGCCACATCCTGTTCTCATCCTGAAGCAAAGTTCTTAACCGGATATATTATTTCTGGATTAGCGGAGTTTGTAACCTGAAGCGTCTGTAACCTAAGGTACCACTGTATACCCACCCACCCACACGCACACACGCACACACAAAACCCTGTCTGTACTACTCCCATCCTGCCATATAATCTGATTTTGAAAGATCCATGAAGCAGGGAGGGAACTCATGAACTCCCTGTCTCCTCCTGATCATAGTCTCCTAACTATGATCAGGCAACTTAGATCTGTGCTGGACCTTTACAGAGACAGCATTGTTTATATACTGGAAACACTTAACTAGTTATCCCAGTGCATTCATTAAGCTGATTTCAAGAACAGACAGAGAGCACAATGCTACGACTAGCAATTTTCTTCATTGGCAATAAAATTCTAGCTGGATTGAAAGATCATCTTTTTCCCCCTCTCTTTTTTTACTGTTATGAGAAGAGGGTTGTTGCAACAGGAGGGAGCCATTCCTGAGATATGTGGGTTTCATGTTTATGGAAAAGGGAGCCAAAATTCCTTTCCCCACTTCTTTAGTTTCCTTTCATAAAAAAGGCTTCCTTTCTTCAGATACATCTGCTTTCTGTAAGCTTCCAGCCACTGAAGCAGTTATTTCTCTCAAGAAGCTAAATGATTTCTGCCAAAGACTACACCCCATATGACCCATCACCTCTAGCCAGCTTGCAAAAAAACTTTTGTCTTCATTGGCTGCATTCGCATGGCACAATAAATCTGGCTTTCTCGCTTATCGCGGTTTCTGATGCACGCTCCCCGATCGCTTCTGCTTTGCTCCTACACAGTGTGAAGAAAAGAAATAAGCCAGGAAGCAACAATTAAAGCCTGTTGTTGTTGTTTAGTTGATTAGTTGTGTCCGACTCTTCGTGACCCCATGGACCAGAGCACGCCAGGCCCTCCTGTCTTCCACTGCCTCCCGCAGTTTGGTCATACTCATGCTGGTAGCTTCGAGAACACTATCCAACCATCTCATTCTCTGTTGTCCCCTTCTCCTTGTGCCCTCCATCTTTCCCAACATCAGGGTCTTTTCCAGGGAGTCTTCTCTTCTCATGTGGTGGCCAAAGTATTGGAGCCTCAGCTTCAGGATCTGTCCTTCCAGTGAGCACTCAGGGCTGATTTCCTTCAGAATGGATAGGTTTGATCTTCTTGCAGTCTATGGGACTCTCAAGAGTCTCTTCCAGCTCCATAATTCAAATGCATCAATTCTTCAGCGATCAGCCTTCTTTATGGTCCAGCTCTCACTTCCATACATCACTACCGGGAAAACCATAGCTTTAACTATACGGACCTTGAGATCCTTGTGGTTTAAGGGTGTGTGTGTTTTGCAGTGGATTCATAAAGATGCCTTGGAAATGGCACCTTTTGGCTCTCATTCGAAGGTCTGGCTTAAAACATGCGATGGCAGCTTAAGATGGTTACTCAGCAAAGGAAGGTGGCTTATTCTGCTTTGTGCTTGCAAATTATTTCAAGACAAATCCATCTTGACTCTCTTGTCTCGTTCCCCATTCTCCTCTTCTTCCTCCACTTCACATTAAGAGTACTTGCAGGAGGAAAGAAATTATTGGCTATTTGGTTTTTTAAAGAACAGAAAACAAAACCCTGTAACAATTAGCCGAGCCTTTGCACGTACATGCGAGAGCCAACCCACAAAAAGCGGCAATTAGTCACTGCCGTTACTTCAACCCCTCGGATGGTTAATTATGATCTGTGCTTGGAGAAATGAACTGCAGGCTCAGGCAGAGCCCTCTGTCATTACTGGCCCTTTGTCAGGAGGAGTGCTTGTTAGCTTAAGCCTTCCTCCAAAGAGCTAAACAATTACAAATGTTTGGTTTTCAAATTTCAGGGCCTAATGCACTTGCCTTGGCGATCTCAGAAAGAATATCTGCAAACATAGCGAATGATGGGAGTGGCTCCTTGGAAAGGCTCTCTGGAGACCCATGCTTCATTGCATACATTTTTGGGGAGTTTTCATTACTGGAAACAAAACCATGAATCCCTTATCCAAGGTTGTTGGTTTTTTTAATGTATTGCTGAAGGGATGCATCATTAAATCGTGCATTGCATTACACAGAGCAGACAGGAATTTGCAGATTTAATGAAAACAAGGGAAGCAGGAGTGAAGAATGGCAATATATATATATATATATATATATATATATATATATATATGCGTGCTCAGAGGTATAGAATTATACACACACACACACACACACACACATATATATAGATATAGATATAGATAGATATAGATATAGATATAGATATCACGAAATGCCAGAGCCAGCAAAACTCTTCTAGGAGTTAGAGCCAAACCAGGTAAGATGTTAATTGCATGAATACATTTAAAGTGCGTTGTTGTTGTTTTTTAAAAAACCAAACCAAAACAAGCAGCTGAAGCAGGAAGAACCTGAGCAGTAGTGGAACCATTGGGTGTGAGAAGTGAGAGAGAGTTTAGCTCAGGAGTAGGCAAACTAAGGCCCGGGGGCCGGATCCAGGCCCATTGCCTTCTCAATCCGGCCCACAGACTGTCCGGGAATCAGCGTGTTTTTACACGAGTAGAATGTGTGCTTTTATTTAAAATGCATCTCTGGGTTATTTGTGGGGCATAGGAATTCGTTCATTCCCCCCCCCCCAAAAAATATATAGTCCGGCCCACCATATGGTCTGAGGGACAGTGGACCGGCCCACGGCTGAAAAAGGTTGCTGACCCCTGATTTAGCTCTTCCTCCATCCCTCCTGTGGTCTCTGCATTGCCTCCTCCCCCCCAAAAAAAGAAATCTACTATTTGCTGCATTGGTAGGGCATCCTTCATTGGCACCAGTGGAGACTTCCATATTGATGCAAATATCAGCTGGGGGGGGGGGAGAGACTGGGATTCCCCACTCCTGATTCAACAATTGCATGAAAGATCCAATTGTTTTTGTTTCCTGTTTTTGCACAGCAATGTATCCGTTCTTCCCCCTAAACAGCACTGCAACTTCTGAGCGTCGCAACTTTTCTTAGACTGTGATTGCTCTGTTCTTTTTTCCTCTCCTCCAGGGGGCTGTTCATTACCATTCACGATAAAGGACATGTTGCAACGATGCTGGACTCATGGCCTGAAGAAAACATAAAGGTAATGGAATATGCTCCCACATGTGGGCTTCCAAAACCAAGACGCATGTCTTCCCGTCTGTGTTCCCATGGGAGTCATGTGATCCGCTCGAGATCACAAAGCCCCAAAGATGTGCTTTTTTCAGGGCGAGATCTGGATGCTATGAGATGACAGCGACCCAAATGGCCGCACCCCAAAAGTGTGTGTTTTGGAGTGCTGTGTGAGATCATGGTCCCCCCCAAAAAACCCTTTTCTCCAGGCAAGATCTCAGCAACCAAAATGGCTCCCAAGCTCACGTGATAAAAAAACCAGGATGTCCCTGTTTTTTTGAGACAGTTGTGGGGTATGTAATGGGTATCTTGACTCATTTTTAGCTGAATAGAAACTAAAGGGGTTACAAAAATCTCGAGCTGCTAGAGGAGATTTCATGTTTGTGTGTGATGTATTCCAGCTGCAAAAAGCTTCAGGAATTTGGGGTTGGGCCTATGAGGGCTTTGTCCCAGAAATTAGCTTTAGTGTCAAGGCTCAGCCATTACATATCTAAAAGCCAGTTCCTGGGTTCTGTCTCTTTGTCACGCAGAAGTGTGACCAAGAATGGAAATCCAGACTGGGCATAGGCAGATAGGCTGAGTTCTGTCAAGTATTCCAGATGGCCCTGGGTGTTCTGAGATGCTACACTCCCATCTTGCAATATTCAGAGACTACACCGGGCAAACAGATTGACTCTTCAAGTAGGTACAATGGTGCTTTCTGCTCCTCCCACCTATTGCAGGAATGAACGTGAACTGATAATGAAGTGGCTGCTTCTGAGCATGCGTCGTTCCTTTATCACTGAATAATTGCAACTCGCTTGCATCTACTATTATGGGAGTGTGCCTTGCAGACAAAATTGCTCCCAGGCCCTTTCCCCCACTAAAAACAAAGCCTTTTTTTGCAAATGCTACCTGTCGATAGCTTTCTAGGGGAGCCTGGCCAAGTCACCAGCAATATCTCCAGGATCACTTGTGAGGCTGCTTTGCAAGAAACGACCCCATTTAACATTTACAAGTTACAAGTTTGCACAGCTGAATGGTAACTTTCAGGAGTGTAAGCAAATCAAGCTCGGAGCAGCCATGTGGCTAATTTGTGGTTTGGTATTCTTAAAACACTGAGTCTCATGGGTGGTAGAGTTGCGCATGCCCAATTGCATTTGCTCTGGTTTCGTCAAAATTTGCTATCAAAGTGCGAAGTCCTTTGTTTCCTGCAGTCCCACGCTTGCTAAATTCCCACGTCTTTTACGGTTACCGTCTGGCATGGGATTGTTGTCAGGGACTAAAGCCTGGTTCAAAAGTGCACAGAGGCAAACCGGGTTAGAAAGCAGGAAACCAGAGCCACGTCAGACGAATATATCCAGGATTCAAGAAACGGCATTTTCCCAAGTCAGACCATTGAGTCCATGAAGCTTCAGTATTGTCTGCATTGACTGACAGCAGCTCCTCAACATTTCAAGCAGGGGATATTCCCAGTCTTACCTGGAGAGCTCTGAGGTTCCGTTCTGTATAGAAAGCAACTTGTGTTAGATGCACTATGCACCTGAGTGCTCGGAATCAAAAGCGGAGAGAGTGTTGTTGTGCTCAGGGGTTGTGGGTTTCTCACAAGCATCTGATTGGCCACTGTGGGTTTCCGTTGGATTTCTCCAACATCCCTCCAAGAAAATAAACAAGAGCCCTGCTGCAGGGCAACCAAGATGATCTGGGAACCAAGCCTTATGAGGAACACTTGAGGGAGTTGGGTATGTTTAGCTTGGAAAAGAGGAGACTAAGAGGAGACATGATAAAAAGGTAAAGGGACCCCTGACTGTTAGGTCCAGCCACAGATGACTCTGGGGTTGCGGCGCTCATCTCGCTTTATTGGCTGAGGGAGCCTGCGTACAGCTTCCGGGTCATGTGGCTAGCATGACTAAGCCGCTTCTGGTGAACCAGAGCAGCGCACGGAAACGCCATTTACCTTCCCGCCGGAGCGGTACCTATTTATCTACTTGCACTTTGACGTGCTTTCAAACTGCTAGGTTAGCAGGAGCAGGGACCGAGCAACGGGAGCTCACCCCATTGCAGGGATTCGAACCGCCGACCTTCTTAATGGCAAGTCCTAGGCTCTGTGGTTTAACACACAGCGCCACCAGTGTCCCTAGGAGATATGATAGCCACCTTCAAATATCTCAAGGGCTGTCACATGGAAGATGGAGTAAGTTTGGTTTTTTCCCAGTTCTAGGGGGTAGGACCCAAACCAATGGCTTCAAGTTACAAAAAAGGAGATTCGACTAAACATCAGGAGGAACTTTCTGACAGTCAGAAGTGTTTGACTGTGGAACGGTCTCCCTCAAGAGGTTGTGGACTCTCCTTCCTTGGAGGTTTTAAGCCAGAGGTTGGATGGCCATTTGTCATGGATGCTTTAGCTGAGACTCCTGCATTGCAAGGGGGTTGGACTATGTGACTATGATTCTATGGATCTGGCAAGCCCATCTAGCTTCAACATGGTATCTTCATCGTGGCCAGCTAGATCCCTATGGGAAGCCCACAAGCAGCAGCTGAGTGCAACAATTCTCTCCTCACTTGCAATTTCCACTTGCAGTATTCATAGAATCATAGAATTGTAGAGTTGAAAGGGACATCAAGGGTCATCCAGTCCAACCCCATGCAATGCAGGAATGTTTTCAAGGGCATACTGCCTGAGACAGTGCAGGTGTGGTACGTAGCCGCCGTGACGAGTAACCTTTAATATCCATGGGTTTCTCTAAACCCAATTTATTTATTCAGAGCATTTGTACCCAGTTCTTCAGCCAGCAAGACTCCCAAAAGGGCTTACAGGCAATCAGAGCAAGACAGGCCCTCCCCACAGACTTACAGTCTTAAAAGAAACACAGCACGCGAGGGGAAAGGGACAGGAAGAGAAGAGGAAAATCAGGCTCCAGTTTCTGAACCGTTCTTCCTATAATGACCAGCTGGCACAATTCAGGAGCTCCTAATGGATCTGGGCCACAGCCAAGCCAGAGGCTTTTAAAGCCATCCAGGTTTGAGCAAGGCTTTGATACGTTGGTTTTAGTGCCAGAATGGTGTTGGGAGCCTTCCGCAAACCATCGCGTTCCCACATCCCAGCAGTGGATAAATGCTAGAAGCAAGATGGGGTGAGATGGAAAGCAACAACTCCCTAAATTAGGATTTCAAGTTTTAAACCGTGGATTACTCAGTCAAAGCTGTGAGTTCACGAGCTGCCAGGGCTCAGCTTCAATTGGGGGTGATGCGAGTCGAGTTACTTTTAGAGCCTTATCCTGTCCTGATTCTTTTGTGTTGCTGTAATAGTGTAAAAGTAAGTGGATTTCCCAACCAGCTCATTTGGTATATTAAATTATAAGTCATCTCTGCACTACGTCAAAAAGGCACCTGCGTTTATGTTTTGGGTTATATGCACATTTACTTAATTTGATAGCGGTTTAAATTTCTTTAATCTAATCTGCACACTTAATTATGTTCAGTTCTTGAGTTGGCTAAGCAGCAGATGGTTAATCAGCTCAAATGCCTTTAATCAGCAGATAGCCACACCGACCGTACTTTTCTCAAAGTAATATTCGTTTCAAGTTTACAGTGACAATGGGGCTGAGAGACCCCGGAGCCAATTGAATGCATGCATCTATTACAGAGCCAATGTATATCATTCCCTTTTAATCAGGGTTTCGCTGTTACAAAGGACTTGGAGAATGTGGGGCCTGCTGTCTGCTTAACCTCATTCTGTGTCTGGCTTTCAGGCTTTGAATTGGTTTCTGCACCGAGAATGTCCCCTGACCTAACTCCTGATTAGGTGCAACGAGGAAACTTCCGATGAGCGAGGGTTGGTTCTGCAGTGTGTTTATAACGAGTCCAATGGGACACAGATGCGCGGCAAAGTTCAGCCAGCAAATCTAACCCACAAATATACACACACATGCTTTTATTTTCCGTGTGTGTACGAAAGACAATAGCTTTCCTCCACCCACGCCCATGTCAGAAGCGATTACCCGTGTAGATAACTTTCCGCATAACTTTTGCAACCGAAAACGACTGGCAGACCTGGAAAAGAAGGAAGCCGTCGGTCCGCTTGGGTGATGCTCGTTGCTTTAGACTGGATAGCAACGCCTATTTATCTTCTGACCGCGGCAGCAACAAAAAAAACCCCTCCAGCCATATGGCAGAAGTTTTTTAATCCCCCAGTGAATTCTCCCTTTAATCATCTGAAATATGTTAAGAATATTTTACAGCGAATTCCTTCTCAACTAGGAAAAAATTCCTCGTGAGGTCTGTTGTTCTGTTCCTAAGTAAACACAGCTTTTCTCATTCCTCTTCCACCCACTCCCTAAAGCAGGTAAATCTGATGAAATATCCGACAGTCTCGTAGTCTTGCATTCGCTGCCCTCTCGCCCTGATATGCCTATGTGCACGATCCCTGTTAGAATCATAGAATTGTACAGATGGAAGGGACTCTGAGCATCATCTAGTCCAGGCATAGGCAAAGTCGGCTCTCCAGATGCTTTGGGACTACAACTCCCTTCATCCCTGACCACTGGTCCTGTTAGCTAGGGATGGTGGGAGTTGTAGTCCCAAAACATCTGGAGGGTTGAATTTGCCTATGCCTGATCTAGTCCAACCCCTTGCAATGCAGGAGTATGTAGCTGTCCTGTATGGGGATCAAACCTGTGGCCTTAATAACACTATTCTGTAGCCTACTGAGCTCAGAAGGACTCCACTGCCGTGTTTGGGTGCAGTGCTAAGCCACAAGCCATGGTTGAACAAGTTGGGCTGGACTCCTAACTCCTGCATTCTTCCAGGCATTTTAACCTGTGCATTTTTAAATTTTGAAGGGTCTTTCGTTGCATTTTTGTTGTGGTGCACATGGCGGTACCCAGCCCTGAAATTCTAAGCAGAGTGAAGAGCAGTATAAAATATGCTTTAAGTTAAATGTTCTCAGATAGCTTTTGTGGCTTACCCAAGGAGCATGATCCACAGATCCAGCCCCAAACTAGACCCAGCTATCAGGGGGGTGGTTTAATACTGGGAAATCGCTCTAGGTTAATTGCAGCAAGGACTAGGAGCTGATGCCATTCCAGAGCAAGGAAAGGGGACTCGACAAAAAAACAAAAACAAAAAAACCCCACACACAATTCTCCTTTTGTTAACGATGTCCTGGATTCTGATTTCAGTTTTTATTTATTTTTTTGCTATGGGCTGCACCGGGCACCGAATTGTAAACTGGAGCTTGTCCCAGAGGCTGGAGGATAAGAAGAGCTAAATTACACCACTTAAAAGGAAAACAGAATTAAAGCTCTTTTAAATTGTGTTTTGCACTTCCTGTGGGTGATAAAGGCTACAGTAAATCATTTCAAAGCCTGCCAACTAGACGTATGAAAAATAAGCAAATTAAATTACTTCCTGAAGTTGCAATGGCTTCTTATCCCTTTTTGCCCTTCAAAGGCAAAAAGGCAAAAGCCTTTCAGCCCATTTGCACCCGTGATTTTCATGCCCTTTGCAGATTTCCTATCCACCTATTTCCTTATTTATGAGGGTTTTTTCCCCCATCTGGTCTGCAACTGGAGTCAGTTTTTGTTTAGGTTTTTTTTTTTAAATGATATTTATTGGAATTTATTTTTTTTAAATTACAAAAGAGAACAAGGTAGAAAAAGAAAAAAGAAAGAGCAAAGAAAAAAAACAAACCACATCAAACAATACAAAATAAAAAAAAACCAAAAATACACCACAAACATTTAAAAACAAATCCATTATTCTCAAATCCTCAACTGTCATTACCTTCTTTCTTTGACCTCCTCCTCCTCCTCCCTTTTTTTGTATCCTAGTTGTTAATTATCGCAGCAAATCCTTTCCATATTTCATAATATTCTGTCATTACATTACCTTAAACTATTTTAATCTTATCTTACTATAAAAAACCTTAAAACTTAAAACTTAAATCTTATTTTTACCAACTTCTCATAACCATAATATTCTTACGTAATTCTTTACACATTTTTACTAAAGCCAAGTAATTTCATTCCAACATTTTTCTAACATTCATCAATTTTATAAAACAATCCTAGTAGTAAAAAAGAAATAAAAACAATCCAATCTTCATCCAGCGTCCCTTCCTCCTGGTCCCGGGTTTTGTCAGTCCTTATTATCCCATCGATAATAATACCATTAACCTGGTAACCTTGTATCCGAGGCCCTTAAGTCTCTTCCATGTCCCTTCCGCAGCTCTTCTTCATATTTATAACTGTATTTTCCCTTGTCTCCTGCTCGTTTCACTCGTGGGAACTCCAGCTTAACAATGTTTTTGACCCTTCTCGACAGATCAGCCCCTTTTCCATAATCCACACTAAACTCCATGTGGTATTTAAGAACATGTTTCAAAATCCCTCCAAAATTAGGAGCCCCCACAACCCCAAACATCTCACGGCCCATTGCCAGACTTGAAAAGTCCAAACATCCCTGCATAGGGGGGTCTATCCAGCCCCCCATTTCCAAACCAAACCAAACTTTTTCTTTCCAAATCTGGCTTTTTCCAAGTTCATTTGTCAAATCCAAAAGCTCATGTTCCTGTTGGGCCACAGCTCCCTCCATCTCTGGCGCCCAAGATTCAGCAACATCCTCTTCCCTCATCTGTTCTGTCAGGGCACACTCCTGATTTAATTCCTGGGTGGGCTCCATATATTTTCCCACTGCCTGTTCAAAATTTCCCACTGCCTGTTTAAAATTTCTGATCGAATCAGTCATCAAATTCGTCTTCTCATGTAACTGTTCCAGTAGGGCATTTGTTTTATAGAAAGCACACAACAGAGCTTCTGAATACATTGTCCTGCAAGGTCAGAAGTCTATTCCCACGATTGTAATCTGTAACAGCTGCAAGCTCCCCAGAGTTGGTTACAGTTTCACAGTCTCCCTCTAGGGGGAAAACTTCTATTTGTTCTTTCTTTTAAAAATAAGTCTAGCAACAAAATTTCCTTTTTCAGATATCTTGTCAATATTTGTTCCTTTAAAAAGCGAAGGGGAACAATGGAATCAATGTTTCTCTTCTTATAGCTATCTGTCAAAGCCGTTGTCTCTGGTCAATGAGCTTCAAAAAACGTCAGTCCTAACACCCCGCTCCAGGATCAGGACGGTGGAAAGTTACTTTACTTTACCCTCACTTCTGCAGGTTTAAACAGTCCGAAAAAATCCCCCCTCTTCTCCTGCTTCCGAAGGGGGTTCAACAATTTTAAATGATGAAAGTTAATCTTTTACAGGCGATTTTCTGAGCTCTAGTTTGCCATGTCTTTGCTTTAATCTATCTACAAAGAAACGGAAGGCTGACTTCCTGTTTAGACCTTCCCATTTCAGTGCCAAATTGAGGTAAACTTTTAAGTCCAATTTTCCTTTCTGCTCACAAGTCCTTATTTAAAGTCCAATTGTCCGAGTTTAGGTACTCACGGGTGATTATTTTAGAAGCCAAATTCTCAAAGGAAAAGCGCAGCGCTCTCCGCCAAAGCCTGTGACGCTTCGCTCAATGGAAGAAGCAGTTAACTCTCAGCACCGCGCCACTTCCCCTCTTCGCTCGGAGCCCGTTAGTGGGTTCCTTTGCGGGTTGGGGGGGCGCTAAGGGTGCCCGCCGAGTCCCATGGTCACAGGCTTCCTCCGCCTGTGATTTTTGAATGGGTCCCCGCTTCGCCGTAGCGGAGAAGACCCGTTTTCCGCGGAGCTGGTCCCTCCAGATCAGAGGGAATCCGCCATTACCGATGGCGCCACCCCGGAAGTCGTTTTTGTTTAGTTTTTAAGGGTGTTTAAAAGCAGACTGGGACAGGCATCACTTCCCACGACATACCCACATTATTTCCTTTGTCTCATTCCTGCTGGTGAGGGGCTGCCAGCTCTGCAGGCAAGCGGTGGCATAACTGGGCTCCTGAGCCCCACAGGAGTGCTGCAGAAAGAATGTAGTTGGTCAAGGGAGTCGTGGACCCCAAATAATAATAAAAATAATAATAATTTATTATTTATACCCCGCCCATCTGGCTGGCTTTCCCCAGCCACTCTGGGCGGCTTCCAACAAAACACTTAAATACAATAATCTATTAAACATTAAAAGCTTCCCTAAAGAGGGCTGCCTTTAGATGTCTTCTACAAGTTTGGTAGTTATTTTTCTCTTTGACATCTGGTGGGAGGGCGTTCCACAGGGCGGGTGCCACTACCGAGAAGGCCCTCGGCGCTGGACCTCAGTGTCTAGGCAGAACAATGGAGGTGGAGACGCTCCTTCAGGTATACTGGACCAATGCCATTTAGGGCTTTAAAGGTCAGCACCAACACTTTGAATTGTGCTCGGAAATGTACTGGGAGCCAGTGTAGGTCTTTCACGACTGGTGTTATATGGTCTCAGCGGCCATTCCCAGTCACCAGTCTAGCTGTCGCATTTTGGATTAGTTGTAGTTTCTGGGTCACCTTCAAAGGTAGCCCCACATAGAGTGCTTTGCAGTAGTCCAAGCGGGAGATAACCAAAGCATGTACCACTCTGGTGAGACAGTGCACAGGCAGGTAGGGTCTCAGCCTGCATACCAGATGGAGCTGATAAACAGCTGCCCTTGACACAGAATTGACCTGTGCCTCCATGGACAGCTGCGAGTCCAGAATGACTCCCAGGCTGCACACCTGGTCCTTCAGGGGCACAGTTACCCCATTCAGGACCAGGGAGTCCCCCACGCCTGCCGGCCTCCTGTCCCCCCAAAACAGTACTTCTGTCTTGTCAGGATTCAACCTCAATCTGTTAGCCACCAAAAGGTTGAAAACCTCTGCCTTGGGCTAACCACTCAGCACATGTGCTAAGTTTCCTCATGGGGGGGGGAGTAGCTCAAGCCCCTTAGTGATTTAGGTTGACCTTGTCTGCACATTTTCCTGCTTTACGATTCGTTTCACTGCTTTGCTTGTGAGTCAGGTAGGATTCGCTCATTCTTTATTTTTAAGGGCCAGACATGCTGCTACTCATCAATATGCTCACTCACCATCTTATTAAATGAAAAGAAATGTTAAGGCAGTTGCAAAGCCTCCAAGGGGGTTGGTGGCAGTGGCAAGTTCTCTCAGTGACGTCACAGGCACTAGCCCATCAGTGCCATACCAATACTCAATTCCCACCCCCCTTACAAACATGCAGCGTCAGCCTTTCGACGCTCAACCCGGAGAGGATAAAATTGCTCTGAAAGCGGCAAAGGCGCTTCTAGAATGGCCTTAAAGGTAAAGGGACCCCTGACCATTAGGTCCAGTCGTGGCCGACTCTGGGGTTGCGGCGCTCATCTCGCTTTATTGGCCAAGGGAGCCAGCGTACAGCTTCCGGGTCATGTGGCCAGCATGACTAAGCCACTTCTGGCGAACCAGAGCAGCACACAGAAACGCCGTTTACCTTCCCGCCGGAGCGGTACCTATTTATCTACTTGCACTTTGACGTGCTTTCAAACTGCTAGGTTGGCAGGAGCAGGGACCGAGCAACGGGAGCTCAGCCTGTCACGGGGATTCGAATCGCTGACCTTTTAATTGGCAAGTCCTAGGCTCTGTGGTTTAACCCACAGCGCCAGCCGCGTCCCGATAGAATGGCCTTACTGCTGTGCAAATGTGTTGTCTGCCTTCATTCACCCTGTGGAATACAATCTCTTGCACAGTCGTATCAAATGCTGCTTTTTTTAACAGCAGGCTTCTCTCTTCGCTCACAGGCCATCGTGGTGACAGACGGAGAGAGGATTCTGGGTCTGGGGGATCTGGGAAGCTACGGCATGGGAATCCCTGTTGGGAAACTTGCTCTCTACACGGCTTGTGGGGGCGTCCATCCCCAACATTGCCTACCTGTCCTTTTGGATGTCGGCACAGACAACGAGGTGAGTTTGACTTCCTCGTATTCATTTGCTGCTATCCTAGAATCTCAAGGTAATGCGTCTGTCAGTGGAGGCTGGTCCATTAGAGCGTATGGGGCACTGCCCCAGGAAATTCAGTTAGCCTTGCACAGTATACCTCTGAATATCAGTGGCTGTGGATTACAGGAGGGGTGAGTGTTGCCCTCAGGTCCTAGTTTTGGGCTTCCCATGGGTCTCTGGTTGGCTGCTGTGAGATCAGGATGCTGGACTAGATGGGCCATTGGCCTGACCCATCTTAAAGGTAAAGGTAAAAGGACCCCATTAGGTCCAGTCGTGACCAACTCTGGAATTGCGGTGCTCATCTCGCTTTACTGGCCGAGGGAGCCGGCGTACAGCTTCCAGGTCATGTGGCCAGCATGACTAAGCAGCTTCTGGCGAACCAGAGCAGCACACAGAAATGCCGTTTACCTTCCCGCCAGAGCGGTACCTATTTATCTACTTGCACTTTGACATGCTTCCGAACTGCTAGGTTGGCAGGAGCAGGGACCGAGCAACGGGAGCTCACCCCGTCACGGGGATTCGAACCACCGACCTTCTGATCGGCAAGTCCTAGGCTCTGTGGTTTAACCCACAGCGCCACCCGCATCCCTTCTGACCCATCTTACCTCTTCCTAATTTTGTTGGCAAAAGGGTTTAATAACGTGCATTGCGACACATGTGCGTACTTTAGAATATTAGATTTTGGATGCAGAAATCCAGGGCAGTCCCTGAGATACTTTGGGTTTGGATGGTTGTCTGAATGCGCACACAGGCACAAAGTGACTATTGTAGCACAGTTTCCAGCTCTTGCGGAACCTCTTGGAGTCTAAAACATTGCAGCAGGTATTGTGAGCTCAAGATAAATGCTGGATTCTCTCCCGTCCAGCTGGCCGAAAACTCAAAACAGCTTTCCAGCCAGCAGGAGTTGAAGAGGTCCGCTCCATCTTTCAGCGCGATAATGGGGAGTTTAAAAGATCCTTGGCTGCCCAGGCCTGATACAGCCTTTACTCTTCCTGAAACCAACACATCCCTACGGCTGCTTGGAAGAGATTATATTTCAGCAAACGAAGAATCCCCCCGCGGGTGGCTGGAGGCTAATTAATTTCAGCGGTTTGTCAGATCACACACTCTAATTCTTGCGATAATAATATGAGAGGGTTGCATCTGTTAGCAGTTTTCTGCTTTGCGACTCCAGCAGTTTTAGCTTGTGCCAGAAAGGACATCTGCAAAGAGGGGTTTGGGGGGGGGGATTGCCCCCTCTTCTTCTTTTAGCCAGTAAATACCTCACGGCTTATTGATGTGTCCAAGTTTAGTCAACAAAATGCTCTTTTTAAAAATAAAGCTTGCTCTCGCTCTCTTTTTCATTCGACAGCTTACCACACAGGTTGATAATGTGGTGCCTGTGGGTTTGGATATGCCCACAAGTGGCCTTTGCTGGGGGCTGAGGCCTCACCCCACCCTCCGAATTAGGGGAGCAGGAAGCCATCTCTAATAGCCAATAGAAGGCTGTTTTCAAGGCTAATTTCAGGTGGAGTTACAGCTGGGAAGGGGGTGGTCTCCATGAACATCTCCCTTGTTCTCTTACAGTGGCAATGGTGCCACCTGAGAGGTGCCAGAGCTGCAAAAAAGGCCCTGGTTCTATCCAAAAAACCTGGGTTTGGCCTTGATAGTGGTACCTTTTCTTTTATTTATATATATTCCCTATTTTTCTAACAGCAGGAGACAGCTGGCTCTTCCTTTAACCTAGTGCCCTTTGTCTGCGCAGAAAACACTGCTATAAAACGTTGCCTTTTTCCTCTGCGGAGTTCATTATGGCACAGAGGAACTTGAGTCACGACTCAGGGAATCCCCTTTTACGCTTCCTGGCGATAGAGCACAGCTGTGCGCCTGCAGCTTTGGAAAACAACGGCAACAATGAGGTGGGAGTGGCTGCAGGCCAGCCGTCCGTGGAGCAACGGGGAAGTCACGGGACAATGGGGGTCTGTTGTTGGGATGCCCCCTGCATCCCTTGCCTTTGATACGGCTACCAAGTCTTCACAGGGTACAAACGGCATCCCGTTCCACTTAGTCACCGAGGCCAGTTAGTCATCACACCTGCTTCTGTTTCCTTCGCTTTGAGCCAGGATCCTGTTTCCCACCAGGCTAAAAGCCGAGGCAGGCCTTCCTGTGAGTCATCGGCTGCGCTGGACGTTCCAGTTTGGAGCAAGCATGGTGGCCGGGATGGAAAATCATTTGGGAAAACAACAATGTGGTCCTTCAGCTTTGCAGGCCTTGACCTTGCCACTGGCCTGTTGGGAACCTCGTATAAAGTAAGACACAAGATCACAAGAACAACCCCACTGGATCAGTTCAAAGGCCCATCTAGCCCAGATGTCTAAGGGAAGCCCCAAAGCAGGACCTGAGTGCGAATCTTTCCGCTTGAGATTCCCAGCAACTGACAAAACATTCTGAGCTTCCTCTCTAACCTTTCTCCAAAGGGAAGTTGCTCCATCCCCTTTATCAGTCTGGTTGAGTTTTCCTGAACCTTTTCCATCTCTATACAATATTCCTTTCAAAGGGAAGTGACACGGTATTCTAAATGCGACTGCACCATATTTTTTTGGAGAACAGCATTATCAATCAATCAGTCAATCAAATCTTTATTACGGTCATAGACCAGCATAAGTACGGTGGGGTACAATAATTTAGAATCGTTTTGGAACTCTAAAAAAGTATTAAAACAGAAGGTATCTCTAAAAGACTATAAGAATCTAAAAGAAGGGTTAGGAACATTAAACGGATATGTTGTTTAGTCATTTAGTCGCGTCCGACTCTTCGTGACCCCATGGACCAGAGGACGCCAGGCACTCCTGTCTTCCACTGCCTCCCGCAGTTTGGTCAGACTCATGTTTGTAACTTCGAGAACACTGTCCAACCATCTCGTCCTCTGTCGTCCCCTTCTCCTTGTGCCCTCAGTCTTTCCCAACATTAGGGTCTTTTCCAGGGAGTCTTCTCTTCTCATGAGGTGGCCAAAGTATTGGAGCCTCAGCTTCAGGATCTGTCCTTCCAGTGAGCACTCAGGGCTGATTTCCTTAAGAATGGAGAGGTTTGATCTTCTTGCAGTCCATGGGACTCTCAAGAGTCTCCTCCAGCACCATAATTCAAAAGCATCAATTCTTTGGCGATCAGCCTTCTTTATGGTCCAGCTCTCACTTCCATACATCACTACCGGGAAAAGCATGGCTTTAACTATACGGACCTTTGTTGGCAAGGTGATGTCTCTGCTTTTTAAGATGCCGTCTAGGTTTGCCATTGCTTTTCTCCCAAGGAGCAGATATCCATTAAACGGATATGGAAGAGCATAAAAGATTAGTATGTAAAAAACTACAACTATCAGTTTAGAGAGCACTCTGATGTGAGCGTTCATTAGTTTGTGGCACAGGTCACCATCTGATGAATTTTGAACGCTTCTGTGCAGAATCTGGCAACATTGTGTTTTGGAGCAGGATTGGTATCTGACCACAGCAGGGAGGTATAAAATTGTCTTGTGTGTCCTGGGTATTTATGGAGTAGTGGGGAGATAAGGCTAATATGAATGTCTCTATAGTATAGGCACTGGAGAAGCACACGCTCTGTTGTTTCAATTTGTCCAGAGTCACAGGTGCATCGTATCTCCAAATAAGCAGTCTTCCTGTATCGACCTTCTGAATGGCAGGCATTAATGATAGCGGCAGTTTTAAGTTCCAAACAGCCCCATCCCATTGCTACGCTAGAACGCCGAGACAAGAATAAGACCTCACACTGCAAAATATATCTGCATTTGCTTTATCCCCTCGGGGGGCTGGTTTAATTGCACAGAAACCATACAGCCCACAGAGTTGGGTCTTATTTAGGGTTAACTGCCTGAAATGGGGGTAACGATCAGGCATCCTGCTGAATGGGTTGAATATGAGTTTCTACCTTGCTGGGCCAAAAAGCAGCAGGCAGGCAGACATTGTTGTTTTTTCTCTCTCACTCCGTTTCAGGCCCTCCTGAACGATCCGCTCTACATTGGCCTGAAGCACAAGAGAGTTCGTGGGAAACAGTACGACAGCCTGATTGATGAGTTTATGCAAGCAGTTGCAAACAAGTGAGTGGAATTTCGAGTGCGCGTGTTTCCTCCCATTAGCTGCTTGGCTTTAAGAGAGGTTAAAACTAGCCACGCAAACAGTCCGTTTCAAGGCAAGACTTGGGCAGAGGGGAGCCATTAAATATGTGCCCCTACGGGTGGTCTGAAAATGACCCTTTGTGCTCGAGTCAAGGTTATTTATGTCCACAGAAATCTGATGGGAGAGAGACTCGTTTATCTGGAACAATTTCCTGCTGTCATCGTAGGCCCCTCAGGAAGGGACAGTTGTGACTCACATATAGACATGTTAAACAAGGCCCAGTTATCACCAGGGTGGTTAAATGTATTTCTGTTTTTCTGTATTTTTTTAATTAAAAAAAAAAGGCACCCAGGATTCTTTGAAGTTCAAAGAATGGTGGTATACTTTTAAATGTCTAGTTCCAATGCATCAAAGCAAGTAATTTGAATTAGATATCCCGCTTTATCACTACCCGAAGGAGTCTCAAAGTGGCTAACATTCTCCTTTCCCTTCCTCCCACACAACAAACTCTCTGTGAGGTGAGTGAGGCTAAGAGACTTCAGAGAAGTGTGACTAGCCCAAGGTCACCCAGCAGCTGCATGTGGAGGAGCGGAGACTTGAACCCAGTTCACCAGATTACGAGCCTACCTCTCTTAACCACTACACCACACTGGCATACCCTCCAATGCCCCTCTGATCAAAATTGGGACGCTGGTTTTTTGGTCCCGAGCTATTGCGGGAGGTAGTGGTTGGACAGTGTTCTTGAAGATACAAACATGAGTTTAACCAAACTGCGGGAGGCAGTGGAAGACAGGAGGGCCTGGCATGCTCTGGTTCATGGGGTCCCGAAGAGTCGGACACGACTAAACAACTAAACAACAACAAGAAGTGCATGAGACCAAAAATACGAGCATCTTTTGGTCAGGCACTCTGGCGTGTGACAGCTGGACTGAAAAACGAATTGGGACAGTATGCAGATGGGGCTTGAGTGGTAGGGGAGATTATATAATCCCCGTGCTTATTTTAGCAGATTGGAATATTGCACAGCTATGCAAATTCAGATAAAGAGGGACATTGGAAGCTGCCTTATACCACATCAGGCGACTGGTCCACTTAACTCAACATTGTCTACACTGACTGGCAGCACCAGGACTTCAGACATCTCTATTTGGAGATGCCATTGGGATCTTTAGTGTACAAAGCATGTTCTCTACCACTGAGCTGTGGCCCTTCTCTGTAAACATATCAGCAGAAATTCAATAAATAAACCTAAGCATACATTGGTGGGAGAGATCGAAAAGAGAGTGGCAGTGATTGGGGTCTCTCAGACTCTCTGTCCTTTCTCCATACTGGTTCCACCAGTGGTTTAGCAGGCCCTTTGAACGTGGATCTTTAAAGGGGAGCACAATCGTAAGCATTTAGATTCCTGTGAGAACCAGGGAGCTGCTTCCATTGGGAATCTCTCCTACCAGCTCAGAGAAACAGGGAGTTTAATGGAACACAGGAGAGGAAACTTAAGTGAAGAGTCACTGCTCTAATATGAACGTTACAATTCATTAGTAACATCCAGCAGCTGTTCTGATCTTCCAAGATTCCTGGAGGGGCCTGTAATTAGCCACTTGATGATGGTGCCTGTTATGTACTGAGTTGAATAGGATCCAAACTGCAGCAGTCTGATTGGTCCTAGAACAATAGGATCCAAAATGCAGCAGTCTGATTGGTCCTAGAACAATAGGATTCAGAATGCAGCAGTCTGATTGGTCCTAGAACAATGCAGCAGTATGATTGGTTGGCAGGAACCACCCAATCATGCTCCAGATAGAAGTGAATCCACAACCTGATTGGCTTACAGTAGAATTCCGGAATTAGCCAATCATGTGCAGCCCATTGTGTAAATAATGTATATAAAGCAGATACTGTGAGGGGACTTTCATTCATTCCTCCTCACCACTATGAGCTGAATAAAGAGCATGAAATCACTTTGCGACTCTGAGTATATTTCAGTGCCTCAGGCATATAGCTATTTTTCAAACGTGAGCAATTAATAGATTTTGGAATAGTGATGCAAAACAGAGTTGTTAGGTTGATCTGCAAGCCGTTCCCCTAAAGCAGATCAGCTGGTCCGTGGTGCTTGCAAATCCACTTATGGGGCAGCTGTGGCTTTACCTGCCGCACACCTGACATCGTAAGGCAGGTGGGTGCAGCTTGACATGGTCAGTGTGTCCTCAGTTTAAGAGGCTTGGCCCTCCTGAATAGGCCCATGAGCTAGCGGTTTCCCGTAAACGACTTGGGACCCAAATATCTTAAGAGTTACCTTCCTCAATAATGAATTGCGGGGGGTTGGACTAGATGACCCTTGGGTCCCTTCCAGTTCTAAGATTCTATGAATCTGGCTGACCCCTGTGATCATCCGTTGAGATCCTCTTCCACGTTCCCTTAACCATCTGCAGTACAGCATGTGAGCACAGGAGACATACCCCTTTTTTTGGTGGTGCTAAAACAGTTCCAGTGCCCTGTGAAAAGACTGGGAAGATAATTAAGCAAGGGTTAAAATGATTTTTAGTTAAATCACCTGCCTTTTAATAATCAGTTAAGTTGTGAGCTGGTCTTTGACCGTAATAAATTATCTATCTATCTAATCAGTTAAGTATACCTACATTTGCATATTGCAAAATCATCTCACTCTTCAATTTAATAAATAAAAACTACGACTCTGTTTAAAAGAAGAAACATCTTCAACATTTTCTTCTCCTTCAGTGCTAACCTAGATCCAAACTGTGTTTTAAAAAATTAAAAGTGTTTCCTTATCTTACAGCATCACCGGTTTTATTTTTCTCCCTCCGCAATTAAATTGGTTTCCAATTAAGAAATTAAAGTTTTGTTTGATGCACCTGCCAATTAAATGGCAAGCTTATCATCTCTGCGAGGTTGTCATTTTCACCATTCCAGCAGAAAGGGCAAGAGGCAGAAATTCCAGGGGCAGATTGCTGGGGGGAAGGGCCAAGCTGGCACTCCTGGGGAGTAATCCAATTCAGTTCACATTTGCAGGTGAACCTATCTAATTTTGCACTTTCAGAAATGATGTGTGTGAACAGCCATATTACTGGACATTGCACACAAAATATGTCAGGAGAAATTCACATTAAGATGCCAACAAGTTTTCATGAGGGGTTCAAGGGGGCGATCACAAGTCGATGTAGAAATGTGGAGAGGTAAACATAAGGGTGGAAAAACGAGGAACTAGAGAGGAAATGAAATTGACAGATTCACCAACCCCCAGCTGCCTCTAGAGAAATTGAACCTGACACCAAAATTCGTCAGTGAAATACTTAAAACAAATATGACCTCATGCTGATTTCTCTTGACCTCATTTGAGGCCTATCCACACTGACCTGGAAGTAAGTCCCACTGAACAGAATGGGACTTACTTCTGAGTAGGCATGCAAAGGATTGCACCAGCTAAGCTGAAAAACCCTGTGCAGACTTGCAGGCTCCACTGAACTCGGTGGCGTTTGTTTCCAAGTGAAGAACGTGTAGGATGGAACTTCCCATATCCTCCTCCCCTTTGCCTCTTCCCTCACTGCAATACTGTGCCGCAGCCGTGTCAGTCGTCGGTCTCCAGGTATCAGGGAAATGCTGGATTCTGGTCCAGCCTCAAACCTCCTGCTTTGTGTTGGCATGATGGGTGTCTGAGCGAGAGGCTCAGATGCGCTCCCACACTCTCAGGAGCGCTGTCGCTGAAGTCTCATTAAACTGTCAACAGCCTTCTCCTATTTCCTTTCACGCCGCACACCCATTTTGCCAGGCTGACTGCGAAAAGGAGAAGCTTGCTCCCTTTCATCAGCCCTCCTCCCCTGTTTTGACAGCAGGCCGCAAATCCCGAGAAGGCAGACACTCGGGACGACTGGCGCAACTTTGCTGGAGGAGGAGGAGGAGAGAACAGCAGGAAACATTGTTGAGAGATGCTTCGTTCAGCCAGTATCCCTGACCCAAAGCTCCTAGGGTTGGGGGACCCATGACATTCCCTATCCCCAGAAGTTGTTGGCGTTCCCCATTATCTCTGACCATTGGCCATACTGGTAGGGAGCTGTTATTATTTTTGCCCTTTGCCCCAGGGCAGGTTTCAGCATTATAACGCAATATTAAAAACCGTTTAAAGCAACTTGCTGGCACCAAGGTTGGTCCAAAAAATATCCACTTTGAGTGCCAAAAGACAGAGCAAAGAGGTGCATCTTCACCATTGGCCAGAAGGTCCCAGGTGCAACTCTATGGAGAGAGAATTTCAGGGCTGCTGCAGAGAGCGCCCTCTTCTGGTCCACCACCAACTAAGCTTCTAAGGGAGAAGGAACTACCAAGAAGGCCCCCTTTGCTGATCTTAGAACCCAAGGTGGGTCTGTAGAGATAGAAGTGGTCTTTCAAGTATTTGGGGCCCGAGTCGTTGAGCTGGAATCCAGCAGCATCTCAGTGGCAAATTTAGCTGACAAATTTGAGCTGCACAATTAAAGTAGATTTTGAGCTCCTGCACAACAAACCCGCTTCCTCCCGGAGTCCTTTTTGCAGCCAGGAAAGTGACAGGCGAAATTCATCATCAAGAAGTGTGGGATAACGTGTACTTGACACCCAACATTGTCTAACCTCCCCACAAAAAATCAGGACAGATGCTCGCTAAATAGCCAGCAGGCAAATCACAATGGATTCTGAATGCACAGGTCATCTGAAAGCACTCACGAGAAGCGGGTTGGGGCAGTATGCCTGGGAATTTTCTGCCAAGTATTCATTTGTTTGCAGAGCCCTGCTGAGAGGCTGTGCCCTTTGCTCCAGCTGAGTGCCGGTTCCTGATACGTGGTGACGTGGTAAATCTCAAGGGCGGGCAGAGTACCTGTTCTTGCTAACAGGATTGTGAGGCCAAAGGTAACCAGCTTTATTAAATGCGAACCCTGGAATTTGGGGCCTTCTCCAAACTGATGCCAAAGTTTTGTACTTGTTTTGTACCACAAGCTTTGCGTTCTGTAACCCCCCCCCCCTCAAATGAGCAATTGATACAGGATTTGCTATCAGTTTGGAGGGGGTTCCAAATTTTGGGGTTTGCATTTAATAAAGCTTATGCAATCTCCAAATCCCCCCCCAAAGAAATTTCTTAATATTTTTATATTGCATTGATTTTCTTATCCCTTTCTGTTTATTCTGCCAGTTACGCTACCTCTCCTGTGAGTAGCCTTGGGCGACCTGAAATAGAAAGAAGGGATATGAAAACGGGTTTTAAGAAATACCGAAAATTGTTACACTTTTTCAGTCTTGGGTGCCCACTGTCAGATCCAACCACTTTAAGTGGGGACTCTCTAGTCGACCTGTTTACTGAGTATTCATCTTGATTTGCATGTCGCAAGGCTTGCATGGGGGTTATAATATTTTCTATCCACGTACCTATTTCCTGCAATAAGCTACTTCGTTGTTTTCCTTACCTCCAAACATCTCCCAGTGCAAACATCTCCAGGGAGAAGTCTGCTCTCTAACCAAAATTCAGCCCCTTAATCCTGCCTTCCTCTGCAACCCGGGAGGGTCCCAAGAGGTAATTGGGACCAATTATTCCAAGACTCTGCTTCTGCGCTTATGCCTCCATCCATGCCACCCTTTCCCAGCTGTGAGAAAACATTGAGTCATGTGAACTTTCCCTTGCAGTTTGCAGTCCAGCAGTAACTGGACTTCATGTGATGTTAGCGCACGTTTTCATAGACCGATTTCTTCAGCCCGATGAGTCTGAGGTGACCTTTCGTTTTCCTAATCGTGCAGTTTTCGCCCTTTCTGATTTTTGCATCATCCGCTAACCAAGAATGCATACTATTTCCCCACTGCAAGCACTCCATGCTTGTCGTGTTACTCATTCTCTCTGCTAAACCCATCAGGGCAAACCCTGGGCTGGCCATCTTCTTTTACTAGCTCAAGGGAAGAGAGCCTAAACTTGGGGGAAGTTTCTTTTCCTTTCTCCAAGTGAGTATTTCGGCAGGAATTTTAACGCCGAACACTCGCTCTCGTAAACGTCAGGGTCCGTGTTGTGAAGAGTTTGCGAGGGCAGAGCCTGTAAGTGGGTCATCCGTGTGAAACTTGCAAGAAGCTGCCAGAAGGCCAATATTTTTTTTTATGCGTTCATGGTTTTGGTTCTGCACTGGAAGCTGCTGTGGAGCACAATGTTGTTTTCTTCCGGATGAGCCAGCAGTTTCAGAGTTTGACCCACAGGACTCAGGCCAGGGCACTGTTCACGGGTGCCCTGGGTCTTTTAAAGTGGGTATGGGGTGGGTCTCCTCAGGTCCTACTTGTGGGTTTTCCTTTGGCATCTTTATTGGCTGCTGTCTTGCATTAGATGGGCCTTTGAGCCTATCCGGAAGAGCTCTTCTGCATTCTTGTGGCTCTCTCCTTCTCCTCCTCTCCACCTCTTCCTTAAAAGAAAACAAGATGCTGGAGCCCTTTTTGTGGTCCACTTTGGGATAAGGATACGGCCTCTTGCGGGTCACATGCTTTCACCTGAGAACCAATCATTTCAGCAAGGTTCTGTGGGACAGCAGATCAAAAATAGCATACCCCCCTATCAGGGCTGGATTTAGGTTTGATGAGGCCCTAAGCTACTGAAAGTAATGGGGCCATTTATATGTCCAGCTGTCCTTTGTCAACCGCAAATTGTTGCTGTTTTTTGTGTTGAATATATGCTACATGGTAATTTATGAACCTAATAGGTATCTAAAGCCATTTGCACATGTTACTGTGCAACCAGTCCATGCTGAATGTAGGCACCCTATATATAAAGGTAAAGGGACCCCTGACCGTTAGGTCCAGTCGCGGACAACTCTGGGGTTGCGGCGCTCATCTTGCTTTATTGGCCGAGGGACCCAGCATACAGCTTCCGGGTCATGTGGCCAGCATGACTAAGCCGCTTCTGGCAAACCAGAGCAGTGCACGGAAACGCCGTTTAACTTCCCGCCGGAGCGGTACCTATTTATCTACTTGCACTTTGATGTGCTTTCGAACTGCTAGGTTGGCAGGAATAGAAATGAGCAAACCAGTGATATTTTAGGGAGCAAGCTGGCAGGCGGGGCCCATGACTTACATCATAGGCTGACTCCAGAGCACGGCACCAAAAAAACAGAAGGAAAACTTACCTTGACCCCGTACGTCACCACTCTCCTCTTCCTTCTTGAGCCACAGAACTTCCGGAAGTACGTCTGCATTGTTTGGAGGAGGAGGAAACTGGTCGTGATGCTGCAGAGGTCGGGGCAACCTTCCCTGGGCCGCTCTGGACAGCACAGTGTCTCCCAATGTTGTGCAGGCTGGGGCAACCTTCCCCAGGACACTCCATTCCACATAGCCTCTCATGAGGCTGCGGAGCAGGAGGTGGAAGACAGAAAACAGAAATAGGAGAGGGGAAGGGGGGCCAAGGAATGAGTTGCGGCAGTAAGTGGGCGGGCAAGAAAGGGTTTGGCAGCAAGGAGGGGGCGAGCGATGGGATGGGGGGTGCCCCAAATTTTCCTCCCAAAATGTTGGGGGGTGTATGAGATAGTAGCATTTAAGTGGAGATACGTTTCTATTTTTTAAAACGGAAAGGAGCTTTTATGGCGTGCTTTACAAGTGGTCCCTGAAAAACGGGTACCTGCCTGTAGAATGAATAGGATGAGGGGCCTTTGTAAGAATTGAGTGCTTCCCCCCCGCTTCAAAGGAGTGGGTTACTTGTCTGGATCAATAAAGAGAGGCCATCATTGGACCTTCCTGCTGACAGGCACTTTTTAGCACCGTAGCAGGGGAAATTGTCCACAAATATCGAGGACAAAAAAAGGCCCCGTCTGAGAGAGGCTGACAAAGGCTGGAGTCTTTTTAAAAGCTGCAATGAATGGGGCTCTCAGTGGCCTGGCTAGAAGCGAAAGATGATTTGTCTGGTTTCAGTTTCTGGTTTCAAGCCCTCGGTGTGTCCCACTTGTTCACGCCGGATTTCTCAGGGAGAGCTGTGCCAACGTTTCCCTGCAATGCTTGAGGTCCCAAAGGCAGCAGTATTGTGATTATGATTATTCATACGCTGCAGGGTTTAGTTCTCTCTCTTTTCTTTTTTGTCACTTGGGCTGCCTCCCGACTGTCACCGTTCTTCGCGAGGGATTCAAGCGCACACCAAAGGTGTAGGTTTGCAGAGTTAAAGTGGGTTAAAGGGGCCTGATAAAGGTAAAGGTAAAGGTACCCCTGCCTGTACGGGCCAGTCGTGACCAACTCTAGGGTTGCGCGCTCATCTCGCTCAAGAGGCCGGGAGCCGGCGCCGTCCAAAGACACTTCCAGGTCACGTGGCCAGCGTGACGAAGCTGCAACTGGTGAGCCAGCACCAGTGCCGCACATGGAAATGCCGTTTACCTTTCCGCTATAAAGCGGTACCTATTTATCTCTTGCACTTAGGGGTGCTTTCGAACTGCTAGGTGGGCAGGAGCTGGGACCGAACGATGGGAGCTCACCCAGCCGCGGGGATTTGAACCACCGACCTTACGATCAGCAAGTCCTAGGCACTGAGGTTTTACCCACAGCGCCACCTGCGTCCCTAAGTGGCCTGATACACCAGTGCAAAACACAAATCCACTTTAAAGGAGAAACTTGGCTTTCTAGAGTTTGGAAACTGAAAGGGAGGTGCTTTGGAAAGTGTAAAATGAACAAATCACTAACAGGATGACATATAAGCACCCCGCAAGCAAGCATTAAGCATTAATTGTGATTTATTTGCATTGAGGTCCTATAACCCCAGTGCAAATCAATCACAACTAATGCTTAATAAAGACCAGGTACATTCCTAACTTCCATGTAAGCTTTGTGCAAGAAAATTCATCATGAATGCTCAATAAATATTTAGAGGAGCATGTAGTCATTGAACATACTAATGACCTGCTGGCCATATGTCTATCTCTTCTTTATTCATTTACATTTGAGAAGACATTATTGATTCCTGCCCTCCATGGGCACAAGATGTTGGACATAACATTATGTTCGCTGACTGGGAACAGTTATGGACCACAGGTATGAAGTTTACGGCATGTAATGCCTTAAGAGAGAATATTATGAAAATGATATACAGGTGGTATATGACCCCAGTCAAGCTTGCAAAAATTTATCATTTGCCCGATAATAAATGTTGGAAATGTAAAGAAACTGAAGGTACATTCTTTCACCTTTGGTGGACGTGCCCAAAGATTAAGGCTTTCTGGGAAATGATATACAATGAACTGGAAAAGGTATTTAAATATACCTTTCTGAAGAAACCAGAGGCCTTTCTCTTGGGCATTGTCGGCCAACTGGTGCCAAAGAAGGACAGAACCTTTTTCATGTATGCTACAACAGCAGCAAGAATACTTATCGCAAAGTATTGGAAGACACAAGATCTACCCACTTTGGAAGAATGGCAGATGAAGGTGATTGACTACATGGAATTGGCGGAAATGACTGGCAGAATCCGAGACCAGGGAGAAGAGTCGGTGAAAGAAGATTGGAAAAATTTAAGGACTATTTACAGAAATATTGTAAAATTAAGGAACTTTAGAAGGATGTTGGATAGAAATTAAGAGGTTTTTAGCTGTAATGCTTTAAGAGACATGAAAAAAAAGGTTAACAATTGGGTAAAAGATTAATGGTAAGGATTTGCTGAACCAACAAACTGAATTGGAATACAAAGAAGGGAGGTATGAGGAGGTCTGGGGAAATAAGAGTAAGGAAGATAGGTTATGGAACATCATTGTGTTTTTAATTGTTTTATTTTGTATGTTTTTTCTTACTTTTTACTTTTTTGCTGTAATTTATACTTTTTTCTTTGTTTTCTGTATTTTTGTGAAACTTTAATAAATATCATTTAAAAAAAAAAAAAAAATTGATTCCTGCCCTCCTTGTAGCCCACAAATGCCAAAATCAGAAATTTGCCTCTTGAGTCATCTGTTTTGTGCTTCCAAAATATAGAAGGCAAAGGAATTTGTTTTGAATGGGGTTTTTACAGCGAATTTGATGGTTCCAAGCCAACGGAGCCTGTCTTGTGTTGGACCACATCTTAAACTGAGCACCTTTTTGACATTCAACACTAGCCCTACTCAGAGTAGACCTGTCAAAGTTAAAGGCCATGGCTCACATAGGTTCATTTCAGTGGTTCTACTCTGAGTAGGACTTCGCTGAATGCAACCTATTGCCAGGATCTTTTAATGGTTTTTTAAATAATGTTTTTAATGGTCGACCAGCCGTGTGCAAAATTATAATATTCTATAATGCTGCGCGAAGGTGGATCTTCCATTTCTTCCTGGAAAGACTTGCGCTGACACCAGACTCCAGCTCAGTTAATCTTTATCTTTCTTTTGAAACCTGCAGGTATGGGATGAATTGCCTCATTCAGTTTGAAGACTTTGCCAACGCCAATGCCTTCCGCCTTCTCAACAAATACCGCGACAGATATTGCACGTTCAATGATGACATTCAAGGTAAGAGATGCAGAGCGTTCGCTGACGAGACACGGGACTTGGTACCATGCTGCGTGGAGTTTCGCATGCAGCTGCTTTCTGCTGTTGAGGAAATTGGTCAAAGGATGAGCACAGAAGCTGTGTGGCGTCTTAGACGTGTGGATGTGCTGAACTAGCTCATCCCAGACTTGAGGAAAAAGTCCGCAGGGGCATTCGGAAGTGTTGTTGGCAGCGGATGACACCCATTAGTACAACTATCTGGCAGTAAGAAGACTCATTTCTTCTTGGCTGCTACTGTGATGTCAGTAACAGATGGTAAGGTTCTGGGCGACATGGAACTACCATCAATTGGGTTTCTCTGGGGCTTGTTCAGCTTTTTGCAACGCCTCGTTGATCTTTTCCTTTTTAAGTTCTGTTCAGATAAGTGTTTTGGAGTCTGTTTCCTGCTGTTTGGGGGCTGGGGGCTTTAAATATGCTTGTATTAGGCTACTGAGGAATGCAAATTCACGGTCACATTGCAGCCTTTTAGGGTCAGCTGGATTCTGGATTACACTTACACACACACACACACACACACACACACACACACACACATCTTATTCCTTTCACTGATGCACTTTTCTTCCACAAACCCCACCCTCTGCTCCCCTGTGAAACTGGAAAGATAATTGGAAAATACCGTTAGTTTCTTGCATCAGTAGACCCCACTGGTAGGATTAAGGGCCCCTACAGATGTCCTTCTCATTTTGCATCCACAATTATTTGTGCTCATTCTGGTATCAAGGTGTTGTTGTTGTTTAGTCGTTTAGTCATGTCCGACTGTTCGTGACCCCCTGGACCAGAGCACGCCAGGCACTCCTGTCTTCCACTGCCTCCCGCAGTTTGGTCAAACTCATGCTGGTAGCTTCAAGAACATTGTCCAACCATCTTGTCCTCTGTCGTCCCCTTCTCCTTGTGCCCTCCATCTTTCCCAACATCAGGGTCTTTTTCAGGGAATTTGGATTACTGTGATGTTAAAAGGTCTGCCTTGGATTCGTATTGAGATCATTCTATCATTTTTGAGATTGCATCCCTGTACAGCTTTCGCCACTCTTTTGTTGACTATGAGGGTCACTCCATTTCTTTTACGGGATTCTTGCCCACAGTAGTAGATATTTTGTTGTCATCTGAACTGAATTCGCCCATTCCCGTCCACTTTAGTTCACTGATGCCCAGGATGTCAATATTTATTCTTGCCATCTCATTTTTGATATTTGATATTTATTCTTGCCATCTCAAAAATGAGATGGCAAAAAAATGAGATAGTATCAAGGTAGTCACATGCAATTCCGCTTTCAACACTGCACCCTCAAAGGTTTTGGGGGTGGGCATGCTGCAAAGCTGTGGTTTTCCCAGTAGTGATGTATGGAAGTGAGAGCTGGACCATAAAGAAGGCTGATCGCCGAAGAATTGATGCTTTTGAATTATGGTGCTGGAGGAGACTCTTGAGAGTCCCATGGACTGCAAGAAGATCAAACCTATCCATTCTGAAGGAATGGAAAAGCAGCATGTTCATGATGTTGTTGTTGTTGTTGTTTAGTCGTTTAGTCATATCCGACTCTTCGTGACCCCATGGACCAGAGCACGCCAGGCACTCCTGTCTTCCACTGCCTTCCACAGTTTGTCAAACTCATGCTGGTAGCTTCGAGAACACTGTCCAACCATCTTGTCCTCTGTAGTCCCCTTCTCCTTGTGCCCTCCATCTTTCCCAACATCAGGGTCTTTTCCAGGGAGTCTTCTCTTCTCATGAGGTGGCCAAAGTATGGTAGCCTCAACTTCAGGAGCTGTCCTTCCAGTGAGCACTCAGGGCTGATTTCCTTAAGAATGGAGAGGTTTGATCTTCTTGCAGTCCATGGGACTCTCAAGAGTCTCCTCCAGCACCATAATTCAAAAGCATCCATTCTTCGGCAATCAGCCTTCTTTATGGTCCAGCTCTCACTTCCATACATCACTACTGGGAAAACCATAGCTTTTACTATACGGACCTTTGTCGGCAAGGTGATGTCTCTGCTTTTTAAGATACTGTTTACACCTGCCAAAAACAAAACAAAAAAACACCAGTCTGGAAGGACAAATATCAGCCTAGTCTCAGAGCAGTATGGCCAGAATCCAGGCTGGGAAGATGGGGGAATGTCTTGTCCCACACTAGCTAGAGGGGGATTGTGGTGACATTTAAAGCAGAATAAGCATAACTTGTGAACAATGGTGCATTAGCTGAAATGGGGGGTGACTCCCAAGAGACAATTAAAGCTTTGATTGCAGCCTTCCTCTCCCTTTCCAAAGGAGACTTACAGCTGGAATCCTAAACACACATTCTTTCAAATAAGCCCCATTGAAATTAAAGCCACTTACTTGCAAGTAAACATGGTGAGGGACTGGGCCCTTAGCCAGTCTAGCTTCCCTTTGTTAATTAAGGAACTCTGTTTGAAGTAGAAACTTGCAAGTTTGCGGAAAGCAAAGAGACCAGTTTACAAAAGAATCCCTTCAGCAATCTGTGGCAAGATTTATTTTTTTAAGAGTGACCCTTTGGGATTAAACAAACATTGATTAGCCAACGGTTTGTGCAAAGCAGCTGCGAACACCTTTTTTTTTTTTTTTAACCCCCCCTTCAAGTTCAGCAAACTGTAATCCCAAAGATAAATTATTCTTCTGTGCCCACGGTGCATTAATTTTGTTGTCTTTTGAGTAATTGGAGAGCGAGAGAACAAACATGTGGAGGCGATGGAGGATTAGAAACACATTTTGAGGAGGGGAAAAAACCCTATTACTGGTTCTTGTCGTTGCACCAAAGCCTTGCAACCTTTTCATCCTATCTGGAATTGGATAGGATTATGAGTAACGACACACCCTGTCTTGCAGGGATATAGGCTTCTTAAAACCACATCACAGAACAGGCTGAGTCATACAGCAACATCGATGCCTCAACCCACTCACCCCACTTCTTCTATCTTTATGAGAGCATTTTTAAAAAAATAAACACCCTGAGTTTATTTGGCAGTGTCCACTTAGTTAGCTTTACAAACCAACTATTAATCCGTAGCTCCACCTAGTGGAAAGAGGAGTGCAGAGCAGTTTTGAGATGATGAACATTCATATACAGTCATACCTCTTCTTGCGAACGCTTCATGTTGCCTTTATTTGGATTAAGAATGCGGCAAACCCAGAAGTGTTTACATGCGCAGAAGTGCTGCTCTGGTTGCAGACTTTTCAGGGTGCAAACGGCACCCCAGAACGGATCGTGTCCGCAACCAGAGGTACCGCTGTATAAGATAGCTAGCTAGCTAGATGATAGATAGATAGATGATAGATAGAGGTAGATGGATGGATAGATAGATGATAGATAGATAGATAGATAGATAGATAGATAGATAGATAGATAGATGATAGATAGATAGATAGATAGATAGATAGATAGAGATTGCTGTCATTTAGTCATTTAGTCATGTCCGACTCTTCGTGACCCCATGGACCAGAGCACGCCAGGCACTCCTGTCTTCCACTGCCTCCTGCAGTTTGGTTAAAAGATAGATAGATAAATAGCTAGATACCCTTTAATCTTTCGTGCAAGAATGGATTATTGCATAAAGGCCTTTTAAAGTGATTATAGGAAAAAGCAAAGACATCATCGGAGGTCTTACAAGCAGCCTTCTAAGAAACAGTGGTTTGATTACATCTGTAGGAAGGTTTCGTTTGAACCAAGGAGGAAAACAACTATGTGTGTTTCAGGCAGTGAGCTGATTGGTCAACACCCAGAACACAGGAAACTGCCCACTGGGTGACCTTGAGCCAGTCACTGTCTTTCCCCCTAACCTACCGCGCAGGGCAGAGGTCAGCAAGGTTTATCTTGCCTGGGCCAGATCAGTCCCATGGAGATCCCTCCGTGGGCCGGATCCCACGCCTGCGATTTTCGGTGTCTGCGCTAAATGCTAAATAACTATAAAGTGAGTCCTAAAAATACACACCGCAAGGGTAAAAAGGTGATGGGTGGGGGGAACCAATAAAGGACTAAGCCTAGAATCCTACCTGTGCAACTTCTTCAAAAGGAAAAACAGAATAGCTCACCTGAAGTGTGCGGAAGGAGGCGGACTGACAGCTGAGCCAACATTCATCTCACTGGATTTCATGAATGCCATAGCAAATTGTAAAGCTGTGTTCACACTGCGGGCAAGGAACCTGCTGTGATTACTCTTCAAATAACTGTCTGCATTTCCCCCTTTGATGTGGCGTTTCCTAACACTTAAAAGCAGAGCCGCAGCACCTGCTGGGTTTTAAATGTTGTTTAGATTGCATGCTTGCCCAAGATAATGTTGAAATCTCTCCCCTCCTGAACTATTCATTATAGTTTTCTCTGTGCCTAATTGAGACAGGCATGGAAGGGAGGCAGGTGAAGGAAATTAAAGGGAAATCTGTGTTAATTTTTAATCCTAGCTGGATAAATGTTTCCTAAGACTGTGATCTGAAAGACTGCTAATGTGCTCAGTGTTCTGCTCATGAGCTTTCTGGAGATACAACACAAGACGACAAGCATTTGGGCTTCTTGCGTTCCTTTGTTTTTCATCCATATTCAGTGGTGCCCATCTTTCATTTCAGAACGAATCTGAGCAATCCACAAGCCGCCTTGTGTCTCTCAAACGTGGGTCCCCAGCTGTTGCTGGACTACAACTCCCATCATCCCTAGCTAGCAGGACCAGTGGTGAGGGATGATGGGAGTTGTCGTCCGACAACAGCACAAAATACTACCAAAATACAAAATCAGGCATTCTAACAATCAACACATTTAAGACAGGCAGCAAAATACACTTCAAAGCAAACACCTTGCAGAACTTGCACCATGTTTCAAAAGCTGCTAGAGACAGAAACATATTTGTTAACCTCCGAGAAGAATGGCAGATGAAAGTGATGGACTACATGGAACTGGCTGAGATGACCGGCAGAATTCGAGACCAGGGAGAAGGGTCGATGGAAGAAGATTGGAAAAAATTCAAAATATACCTTCAAAAATATTGCAATATAAAAGAATGTTAGAAAGAGGTTGGAGAAAGAATATTAGGTCGTTCTGGTAGATATGATATAATGGACTAAGCAAAAATGAGTTGTGGAAATTGATGAAATAGAGGAGGTTTAATTACATTATTTTAATTTTAAAATACGTAAATGAAAATAAGGTTAGAAGGATTTGCTGGAAATACGATCTGAACTAGAATACAAAATTGGGAGGTGAGAGGAGGTCATGGAAATAAGTAAAGGGAAAAGGTTAAGTAAAGGTTTAATCTGTTTTTGTTTTATTTTAACTTAATGTATTTTTATTTTTTTTTGTTAAGTCTTCTTTTTATTCTATTTTATTGTTCTTTTTTATTTGTTCATTCTACGCTTTGTTACGGTTAAAGCTTTCTTTGTATTTTGTATGGTTTTTCTTTTTCTTTTTTGTAACTTTAAATTCGGAATAAATATCATTTATAAAAAAAAAAGAAACATATTTGTTAACCATTTCAAATCGGCAGGGAGTTCCATAATTTTGATGCCACCACTGAAAAGCCCTGTTTTTTTCAACTGTCCAACGGATCTCATGAGTAAACGGGACAGAAAACAGTTGCCTCTGCTGCTGATTTTGAAGCCCTGGGAAAGTTTGACTGTCTTGTTATCTCTGTGTTCCCAGGGACATTTCCAGCAACGGCATGTGACTCTATGGGGTTTGGGGTTGTTGTTTTCTTTTCCCAGGAACTGCTTCTGTTGCAGTAGCTGGCATCCTTGCAGCCTTGAGGATCACAAAGAACAAGCTTTCTGACCACAAATTTGTCTTCCAAGGAGCTGGAGAGGTAGGATCCCTGTTACTCTTGAGGAAAGGCCGAACAAGTCACCGTTTCCCTTTTGCTCATTCCTTTTTCTCTTTTTAAATAGCTGAACAGAAATTTGAAAGCAGTGAAGTCATCGTAAGCCTCAGGAGGCGGGGGTAGTTTTGAGCTTTGCAGCTCTCCTCACATGGTTGCTTTGCAGAAAGAGATTACACAGCTGTGAGGGAGACGGCCCAGAACGACCCTTGTGTTTATGGCTTGGGATGTGAGCCTACATTTGTGCCAAGTCCCTAAAGATCCTGCAGCGTTTCGTAGAGAATGAGACATGACCCACGGCTACCCATATTTCACAAGCTTCTGCTTTGTGTCTAGCGAATGAAGTAAACAGTGCTTCAGATTATTTTAATTAACAAAAAAATAACACACACCAAAACCAGCCAGAAACCAGAATCACCTCCCTTCCCAGGTGATTTTTCTTTCTGGTCCCCCCCCCCCATTCCGGGAATGAATTAGAATTACAGAATTGCACAGTTGGAAGAGACCACAACAGTCCTCTAATTCAACCCCTTGGTAAATGCAGGTTCTACAGTGCAAAAATGGATGACCACCCCATCATCTCCTTAGGAGTCTCTAGCAAAAGAGAGCCCACTACCTCCCAAGTCTGCCTGTGGTCACTATCAAACAACTCTAACTGATAGGCAATTTCTCCTAATAGAGGAAATGATTGCTGGTGGTGGTTGATTAGATTTATATATCGCCTTTCATCAAAAGATCTCAGAGCGGTTCAGAAGATAAAAGCACAAATAAATAGTTAAAACAGAAACAATACCCCCCCCAAAAAACCCCACAATTAAAAGACTGTAGAATATTAATCAGCCAAAGGCCTGGTTGAAGAGGAACGTTTTTGCCTGGCATCTAAAAATACGTAATGAAGGTGCCAGGCAGGCCTCCCTGGGGAGAGCATTCCACAAAAGGGGAGCCACTGCAGAAAAGGCCCCGTTCTTGTGTTGCCACCCTCGGGACTTCTTGTGGAGGAAGCACACAAAGAAGGGCTTCAGAAGATCACAGAGTCTGGGTCTGTTAATATGGGGACAAGTCATCCTTGAAAATTGCGGTTCTGAGGCTTTAGAGGTCAACACCAGCACTTTGAATTGGGCATGTCATCGGTTGTCTTTTCTGTCTGTGTTTTCAGGCAGCGATGGGCATAGCTCACCTGATTGTGATGGCCCTGGAGAAGGAAGGAATTTCAAGGGGAGAAGCTATCAAAAAAATCTGGATGGTGGACTCCAAGGGACTCATTGTAAAGGTATTAACAACAGGTCTATGCTCCCCATCCTGGGGCAAGTCTGGGGGAAGGCAGGGGTGTGTGTGTGTGGAGAGCAACTTTGCAAATGTTTGGGATGGCTCAGTGCAGAAATGAAAGAAGCCTATTGTGAAGAGCACCTATTGGCTAGCACCCATGGCCACAAACACATGTATGCCAATATATCTTGACAGTCCAGCATGCTGCTGTATAATACTTGTCTGTAATGCAGTTTGCAATGGTGAGTTCACAGGACTCATGGAATCCTGTCCATTTTCATCCTCTGTTCCTTTTGAAAACCGAGCCCAGTTCCCCAAGGCCTCTATACATAGGAATGTATTAGTTTCTTGGATTTCTCAAATCCTCTTCCCTCCCCCCCCTTGCTCCAACCCCAAGCATTTGGGATAGATAGCTAAAAAAAAATTTTTAACACATGCATACTGACAAAACCAAATAGAATGAAATATCCATTAAATAGAAAAGTGGTGTGTCAAATTTTAAGTGAGGCCATCGTCTCCCTTCTTTAACCGTCAAAAGTCAACGCAGCAAATGGCATTCCCTCCAACATTTCTCCGATGAAAATGGGGACATCCCATTCCATAATGATAATTTTGCTATTTATACCCTACACATCTTACTGGGTTGCCCCAGCCACTCTGGGCAGCTTCCAACATATATTAAAACATAATAAAACACTAAACATTTAAAAAACCCTTTTCTATACAGGATTGCCTTCAGACAACTTGGGGGGTCGGATAACTCCATACCCTCCAATATTTCTCCCATGAAAACAGGGACATCCTAAGGAAAAGTGGGACATTCCAGGATCAAATCAGAAACTGGGACAGTGTCTGTAAATAGGGTCACTTGGAGGGTCTGAAATTACCGTCTTGCACCAACTTCAGATAGCACTCAGACTTGGACTTTGGGGGGGTCTCCAGAGGAAAGGAGCTTCTCCAGCATTTGTGGGGCACCCACCAAGAACAAGTCATAAGTTCTTGGTGCCCAGGTGGCATAATCTTAGCAGATATCCGGTGTTAGGGCAAAGGCGTCTGCTTCAAGTCTATCACCTTTTGCTTTGTTTGACTCCCAGGGCAGAAGTCACTTGAACCATGAGAAGGAGATGTTTGCTCATGACCATCCCAACGTGAAGACCCTGGAGGAAGTGGTGAAGGCAGTAAAACCAACAGCCATCATTGGTAACTGTTATGCTCCCAATTGCTTTGGAACGCTTGCTTTTGTTTTTATATTTCTGCTTTTAAGCAGTGCTTTTTAGACTGCAGCCTTAAGAGATAAACCATTTGCTGATGCTTTTGTTTTTGTTTTTCCTTTACCTGTTGCAGGTGTGGCTGCTATTGCTGGCGCTTTCTCTGATCAGATTCTGAAGGACATGGGGTCTTTCAACAAGAGGCCAATTGTGTTCGCCCTGAGCAACCCTACAAGCAAAGCAGAATGCACTGCGGAACAATGTTACCGCTTGACCGAGGTATAAGATTCCCCTTCCTCCTGCTTTCATTTCATTTTTGATTAATTAATTAAATTTAATAATTGTGTACCACTTGACTGCAAGGAAACCTCTAAGTGGCTTGCAAAAATTTATAACGGAACATTAAGGTTACTGCTTTTAAAAACAAGCAAACAGTTAAAGACAGCTGTTTAAAAATATTACTACCTTGCCACCCCATTCTCTGCTGAGCCGCTGAATGAAATTACAGAATTCCAGGCGCTTCCCCAAGGTTGTACTTCCATTGGGAAAATTGAGACACAGCGGAAGCTACTAGCTAGTGTCTTTAAGATATAGGGTGTATTAGAACATGTATACACTTGGAGGGGATGCAGGTGGCGCTGTGGGTTAAACCACAGAGCCTAGGACTTGCCGATCAGAAGGTCGGCAGTTCGAATCCCCGCGACAGGGTGAGCTCCGGTTGCTCGGTCCCTGCTCCTGCCAACTTAGCAGTTCGAAAGCATGTCAAAGTGCAAGTAGATAAATAGGGACCGCTCTGGCGGGAAGGTAAACGGCGTTTCCATGTGCTGCTCTGGTTCGCCAGAAGCAGCTTAGTCATGCTGGCCACATGACCCAGAAGCTGTACGCTGGCTCCCTTGGCCAGTAAAGCGAGATGAGCGCCACAACCCCAGAGTCGGCCACGACTGGACCTAATGGTCAGGGGTCCCTTTACCCTTTACTTTTATACACTTGGAAGTCTGCAGCGGAGGGGGTGCAGAACATTACAGCCCAAAAGGGTGTCAAGTTGCCCCTCTCATAGCTTCAGCAAAAGCAGCAGTCAGTCATGGCTCTTGGTCTCTCGGTGCAGTTTCCTCCAGTCGGCAGTCAAGATGTTCTTACCTCCAGCCCCCGCCTAGAGTTCTGGCCTGCCCAGCCCCTCATGGAATCGGAATCATAGAATTGTAGAGTTGGAAGGGACCACGAGGGTCACGTAGTGAAGTGAAGGACATGAGGCAGGAGTTGATAATGCAGGTGAGCTGTGCAGGAGCAAGCTGCCAGCCAGCTCTGTGGAGGCTCCTTTTATTGACACAATATGCAAACCCAGGCAGATCCATTTTTGGCTGTGACCTTTACACATCTTCCAGTCCCGAGATCATGGGGTGGTACAAAGTTATTTCCACCGCGCTATTTTCCCCTTGCACAATGTATGACGAAGGAGACAAAGGTCACAGACAGGACATGGCAGACTATTGAGACCGCCAAAGGTTAGACAGAGGGCAAGATGTTCAGACAGCTCTGGCCTTATCTGTGGGGGGGAGTTTGGTCCGCACCCCAAGGTCATGCGCGCAGACAGCTGAGGCTGCCCGCGGGCAGGAGTGTGCTCCATTCCTACAACGTAGTCCAACCCCCTGCAATACAGAGTGGGTTCAAGGGGGGGTGGCACACGCTCTACCACCGATGGAAAGGGCACGTGCCCCCCTTCTTCTGCCAGTGATTGAAGAAGTCAAGGCCGCTGCTACGAAGGCTGCAAGCTTCCTTTCGGTTTCCACTTCTGCCCAAGCTGCCTGGCGTTCTCGCAAGTCTCTCAAGGTGCCCAAATCTTTCTTGCTCTCTTTACAGGGCCGAGGCATATTTGCGAGCGGGAGCCCGTTCTCCAAAGTGACCCTGCCAAATGGACAAACCTTCATCCCAGGCCAAGGGAACAACGCCTATGTTTTCCCGGGAGTTGCTCTGGGAGTGATCGCCTGTGGAGTCCGGCATATCTCCGACGATATCTTTCTCACCACAGCAGAGGTTTGGGAATTTCCTTTCCTTCTGCCACCATTGCGGCGGCAAATTTCTCAGGACTGCGCCCACTACCCCTTTGTGCCTTGTCCTTTCAGAACTCCTTCCCAGGGCACATACACCTTCTGTTTTCAGGCCTACCGCCCCCCAAGTCCCCTTTCTCACAAGGCGCAGGAACAAGACCCAGGTTTATCTGTGAGGGAAGCTGTTTACAGTGGTGCCTCGCAAGACGAAAAGAATCCGTTCCGCGAGTCTCTTCGTCTTGCGGTTTTTTCGTCTTGCGAAGCAAGCCCATTAGCGGTTTAGGGGATTAGCGCTATTAGCGGCTTAGCGGGCTTAGCGGATCAGCTGATAAGCGGCTTAGTGGCTTAACGGATCAGCTGTTAAGTGGCTTAGCGGATCAGCTGATAAGCGGCTTAGTGGCTTAACGGATCAGCTGTTAAGCGGCTTAGCGGATCAGCTGATAAGCAGCTTAGTGATCAGCTGTTAAGCAGCTTAGCGGCTTAGCGGATCAGCTGATAAGCGGCTTAGCGGCTTGGGAAAAAGGGGGGGGAAAGGAAAAAAACCCCGCAGGAACTCGCAAGACATTTTCATCTTGCGAAGCAAGCCCATAGGAAATTCGTTTTGCGAAGCACCTCCAAAACGGAAAACCCTTTCGTCTAGCGGGTTTTCCGTCTTGCGATGCATTCGTCTTGCGGGGCACCACTGTAGTTTATTTTTATTTTATAAAATTTATACACTGCCTTCGGGAGAAGAAAAGGCTAAGGAGGAAACTCTACACAAATCTGGAGTGGAGTCCCTAAGATGGTTGGATGGCGCCTTGTACGCCTCCTTCCGGCAATGTATTGCTCTGCTTTCCTTTGGACCACATCAGTGAGGCTGAGAGGGGGGTCTTGTCGTCTGGGCAGCCCAGAACCTCCATCCACACTGCCCAGGCTTGTGCCCCGGAGAAGCCACTTAAGTGCTGCTAACACAGCAGTTTGGCTTCACCCCCAGAGGCACACTCCGTTGTCCCTTGAGACAGATAGATGCCAACAAGATTGCAAACGAACAAACAAACCTCAAAGTGGTTTTGCAAAACATTCAAGAGATAAAATCAGCAAGAAGCTGAAAACCAGATTGAAATGTACAGCAACCTTCTACATGTCTGCATAGGCTTGCCTAAACAAAAATGGCTTTATCAGGCTTGATATCAATAGGCAGGGAGTTTTCTATTATCTTACCTAGGCAGCTGGGGAAGGCTGCCTAGGTAGGATAATATTCTCAGTGAAGACTACCAGTGAAGAGCTCACATTCAGAAGGCCTTCGCATTTATCTTGCTGAAAATCCGCACAACTCTCTCTCTCCTTTCCTCCCCTTGCTAGTCAATCGCAGAAGAGGTCACTGAGGAGAATCTTGCAGAAGGAAGGTTGTATCCGCCTCTGAGCTCCATTCGAGATGTCTCCTTAAAAATCGCTGTCAAAGTAAGTTTCGTGGCCTTTTCCATTTTGGTGAGGTTGAAATGGTACATCGGAGGCCTTCCTCTTGAAAACAAAATGGTCCCTCTGCCTTTTTGCAAGTACCTTGCAAGTACCTTGCAAAATGGTACTTAAATACTAGGGTGCAGGCTTACCTGACAAGCATAAACAGCACTGTTTAAGCACCACCAACTCGCTACACACAGGTAAGAGGGGATCAGCTTAGGGCTCAATGAGATCCTCTCGCTTCCCTGCTGAGCATTTGTGGGCGTAGCCCCTTGGGAACAGCAGTCTAGTTGCATAAATGTGGATATGGGTTAAAATCAATCAAACTTGTTATCACGGTCAATGACCAGCACATTGTCATTATAGATATAGAATAATGACCAAAATATATAGAATAACACCAAAAGAGAAAACCATAACAATAAAATTGCTAACAACTGTATTGTACTATAGGGCGGTATACAAATTTACCAGGCTACTATAAAACACCAGGCACAAAGAACATAACAACAAGTTTACTAAAACCAGTCCCTGTTGAGTTTTACATGCTGCCGAAGAATGTTTAGCCACCCTGGGAGAGGTGGGTGCCTTCTGATCTGAAAGGAGTTAGAGAAGCATAGAATGCCATCCCATTGTCCTGGGAATTTTCATTAAAAGGGTGCAATAAAAATCTTAGACATAGCACAATAAAAAGAGCAATATGTAAGAGCATGGGTTATTGATTCTACCTCTGCATATATTACTATTTACTATTCCTGTTGCTTGGTCCCTGCTCCTGCCAACCTAGCAGTTTAAAAGCACGTCAAAGTGCAAGTAGATAAATAGGTACCGTTCTAGCAGGAAGGTAAACGGCGTTTCCGTGCACTGCTCTGGTTCACTAGAAGCGGCTTAGTCATGCTGGCCACATGACCCAGAAGCTGTACGCCGGCTCCCTCGGCCAATAAAGCGAGATGAGCGCCGCAACCCCAGAGTCAGCCATGACTGGACCTAATGGGGAGGGGTCCCTTTACCTTTATTATTATAATAAATTAAATTCGTATGCCGCCCTATACCCATAGATCTCAGGGTGGTTCACAACAGGGGATTTAGGGGGATCTCCCCTCTAGAACCGCTGATGGAAGAACATTTAAACATGTCAGAGTAAAGGCTCCGCAATGTTTTAGGAGGGAGGGTGTATAAAGCTAGTTCTCTGGTTTATTTGTTTATTGCATTTATAGTCCACCTTTTTTTCCTTGAAGCTGATGGTTCTCCCCCTCCTCATTTAATCCCCACCACAAACCTGTGAGGTAGGCTAGGCTGAGAGGCAGTGGCTGTCCCTCAAGGTCACCCAGCGAGCTTCATGTCCGAGTGGGAATTCGGACCCCGGTCTCCCAGGTCCTAGTCCAAAACCACACAGCCTCTCAATGGCTCTCCAGTCCATGGAATGGGTGTGGATAAAATAGGCATGCATGGGCCTCCCATTCAAAAATAAATAAATGCCCAGCACAGTACAATCCCCATGGCCAGAGCGTGTGACCTAGTGGATAGAAGTTTGGATCAGTTTGTGACAGTAACTGTGAGTGTTTGTGTGAAACCTATAACAATAAATACCGTATTTTTTGCTTATAAGACTCACTTTTTCCCTCCTAAAAAGTAAGGGGAAATGTGTGTGCGTCTTATGGAGCGAATGCAGGCTGCGCAGCTATTCCAGAAGCCAGAACATCAAGAGGGATTGCTGCTTTCACTGCGCAGCGATCCCTCTTGCTGTTCTGGCTTCTGAGATTCAGAATATTTTTTTTCTTGTTTTCCTCCTCCAAAAACTAGATGCGTCTTGTGGTCTGGTGCATCTTATAGAGCAAAAAATACGGTATATGTGCTGTGTGCACACATATGTATTTAACAAGATTTGTATACCACTTAAGACACGAACAATAAAATTTACACACACACACACATGAATGAGTGGTATAAAATATGAAAAAATACATGAATGATATAAAATATAAAAAATTCTGCATTGTGCAAAGCTTGATTTGGTGGCCTTTGTAAGTTACGCAGATGAAGCTCAACTTGTTCATAGCTGAGCAGTTGACAACACTTTATATTCCTTCTGCAAGTCCTAACACAGGAGCAAGATCCTTCCAGACATCGCTTAATCTCTGCTTCAGCCATTGGGATGCCCTACTCAGCTGCTGGGTGAGCTTGATAATTGGGTAGGAATTTGAGGCTCAGTCGCCTGGGTCCAAACCCAACTTTCGATGCCAACCTTCCCGATCCTGGGGCCCCCCAGAATTTTACGCCAAAGTATCTTGAAGGCACCAGATTGGAGGAAGCCACTCTATTCCTTCTCGTCTTTCTCTTGCTTTTAGGTTGTCGACTATGCCTACAAAAACAACTTGGCCTCCTGGTACCCGGAACCGGAAGACAAAGAAGCCTTTGTCAAATCCCTCATCTACAGCCCTGACTACGATTCCTTCGTTATTGATAATTACCGGTGGCCGCAGGAAGCCATGCAGACTCAAAACATTTGATGTTCCTCTCTATCTCTTTTGGTCTTAAAGAGACTCTGATCCTTAAGATGCTCCCATTTCTAGCACCTCGGATATCAGTAGGTCTTCAAGCTTATAGATTCCTCAGCTTATAGATGGAGGGGGTGAGCAAGCGCCCATCTTTCCTTGGTGCCATTTTTCCTTTCTTCCTTTCTTTTCGAAGAAAAACGCACACATACCTGAGCCGGAAATGACGCAACAGGGGCCATTTGCGTTCCCAAACAAATGCACTGACATGTCGAGGTCGGCGCAAGATGGCTCCATCCTGTTGTCTTCCCTCTCTTAGTTTAAGCGCATGCCACAACTTTGGGGAAATGTTCTGCAGTGGGGACTGCAGATGCCCCAAAATGCCCCACAGCTCTGGCATAACCCCACTGCCCTTCCCAGTGTTAGTGCTTGGAACAGAACTCCAGTAAACCCCACAATAGCAGTAGCTGAGAGGCCTTACAACTAGGGATGTGGCCAAATCTGTCAATTTCACTTTCTTTCGCATCTCTCCCCCCCCCCAAATTCCTAAGCTCAGTTCCCCACAATTCCACACCAGTTTGTGGCTTTTTTTTAAAAAAAAAAGCCACACAGAAATCCATCATATTTTTCCTGATATACACATTCTTGTATGCAATTTTGCCTTATATACGCATTTCTGCAAGCATTTGCCCCAACAGAATGCATTTTGTACCTTATTTTAATTGACACATTTTTAAATGCACACTTTCTCCTGATATTGGTATTCTTATACACGTTGGTTGGTTGGAGCACTGCACCACAAAACTCAAGAGAATTTCAGATTTAAAAGGATAGCTGTCTTTGATTCAGGAATAATAATAATAATAATAATAATAATAAATTTTTATTTATATTCCGCCCTCCCCAGCTAAAGCTGAGCTCAGAGCGGCTAACAACAGTAACATTCTAAAATCAATTCATTATAAAATCAGTTCACATCAAATTAATAGCAACCATTGGGCTAGAGTGAAATTTTGGTAGCTCTCCATTGAAATGTGAACCAAAACAAATTTCTCCCCACTCCCAACCACAAAGCAATCGCTGCCACTGCTGCAGTGAGTTGGAGGCTGTTTCAAGAGTTCTCAGACGACAAGCTGGAAGGCGTGCAGAAGGCAACCAAGATGACCAAGGGTCTGGAAACCAAGCCTTATGAGGAACAGTTGAGGGAGCTGGGTTTGTTTAGCCTGGAAAAGGGAGGAGATACGATAGCCATCTTCAAATATCTCAAGGGCTGTCACATGAAAGCTGGAGCAAGGTTGTTTTCTGCTGCTCTAGAGGGTAGGACACAAACCAGTGGCTTCAAGGAGATTCCGACTAAACCTCAGGCTTAACTTTCTGACAGTCTGAGGTGTTCAGTAGTGGAACGGACTCCCTTGTCTCACAAATAAAAAGTATTTTTAATTTTATTTTATTTTTAAATTGAACTTCTCCAGATTTTGAGATGCAATTCTCTAAACAAAACCTGGCATATTTATTAGGGGAAAGTGTGCACAGATATGCTTACATTGGGGAAAGTAATGGAGGTAAATGCATTACATTGCCCTTTCTTGATGCCGCTTTTGCAACCGCTGCTAACAAGTTCTGTTGAAAAAGGAATTTGGCTGGTTCTGAGCGGAAACAGCATCTATTGCAACTGCAGCAAATACAGGCGATCGCTTGCTATTCTGCGGCAGCGGTCCCCTTTCCCCTTCAGATTTGCCCTCAATTCTCACACACAAATATCATTCGGTACCAGGTCTTGCGAAGTTTTGATGATTCCTTTGCAAGGCTGTCCTCATGTCAGGATACGTTCTGCAGAGTATCAGCTACGACGATGAAATTTTAACCTCAGGGACTACAGTTTTATTTTTAAATGTTGTTTATTTTACTGAGCGCAAGGCAGTACCCAAAGTATCATGGTGCTTGGATTTGATAGGAGGAAGCGTGCATGGGAAAATCGCATGGAGCTTTTATACCTGACGCAGGAGCCCCTTTTGAATAGTGCTTAGTATCGCTGGCCATTCATTCAAAAGTTTGCTATCAAGGCTTTCTTCCATAATGACAGCCCTGTTTAGTCAGATTAAAGTTCCACCTATCCAGCATTCTGCTTTTATAATTGTAGCCAATCAGATGCTATCAAGAAGCCCATAAGCAGGGTATGAAAGCAACAGCCTCTCCCCTTTGCAACATCTGCAAAGCTAAGCAGGTTCTGGTGTGGTTTCAAATTGGATGGACCGTATGTCGAGATTCCTGCATACCAGGGGGTTGGGCTAGATGGCCCTCGAGGTCCCTTCCAAGTCCATGATTCTATAACTGGTGTTACTCAATGGTATTCTGTCCCTGAAAGCCAGGAACACTTCTGTCTTGAGTCTTGCCTTGGACGCGATTTCACGGCACCAAAACCAAAAGAGAACAATTGTAGCAGCTGTTTCTGAGCCTGCTAAATCTGAACCGAAGTGTTTGGCATCTTTCTTTTCCTCTACATGAGGAATAATAAAATGGGCAGTGGGCAGGGAGAACAGAGGGGGAGAAAGCACAAATTCCAGAACAGGAGAAAATTGGAATTAATGGGTGTGGAGATTGACACAGATGAACGGTGCCTGCAACAGTGGCTTGTGTTCATTTTGTGACCTTTTAAAGATGTAAGTTTTCTTGCCAACGGTAATTGTCCTGCTCGCAGAAGTCTAGCACTTGCTATGTTCTCCTTCAGTGCCGCACTGGTAACAATGCAACTCCAGGATGCAGCGTTATTCCGTAGGTATTGTGCTAGTGAGGATAGAGATGGACCGTGGTGCATTGTGGGAAACCATCATATCTACCAATAGCAGGGCAGCTGCTGCATGCAAAGTCAGCCAAACAGTATCCATTATTTCTTAAAGGATACAGAGGATTTTTTCTTGTCGCCATCCGTCCCCCCGTCTGAAACACCCCCCTTTGACCAAAAACATCTCCTTTTGCAGCCATTGGCCCACAAAGAGCCGGCGCCTTGGCACCTTGGCACTAACTCTCTGCTAACATCTAAGTACCAATAATTGGTTCCAACTGGCAACAGGACTAGAAACTAGGGTCTTTAATCTTTTAAAATGGAACCTTCCAATAATATGTTTGCAGGAAGCAGGAAGAGAGAATTGCTGTCCCTGGAGCTCCTCGTCTTGAGCTGGAGTTGTAGCCTGGCAAATGGGTCATTTGGTGCCTACATCTCCCCCTGCTGGGATAGCTGGGTAGCTCAGTTGGTTAGAGCATGGTGCTGACAACGTCAAGGTTGCAGGTTCGATCCCTGTAAGGGACAGCTGCACATTCCTGCATTGAAGGGAGTAGGACTTCCAGCTCTGGGTTCCTTCCAACTCTATGATTCTTGAAGGATTACAAGTTTCTAGCTGCATAAATAAGAATAGCTTTCAGAGTTATAAAGACTCAGGTTCCAGAAGACAGAGTACACATCGGCCGTCATACGAATTTGCAGGACTTTTAAAAGAGAACATGAACTATAGGCTGTTTTTAACACAATAAAAGAAATCAACTAGGGGTGAATTATAATCACAGTGCAATCACCTTTTAAACTAAATTGCATCTCACCAAATAACAGTGCTCTTAGCTGCTTCTTTTTCAAAACCAGTATTTCAGATAGTCAGTAATTTTCTGCAAATGCCAGGCTGCGGAAACAAAACCCTTTTGTAACTCCGGTTGACCTGTTCAAGATCTTTTGCTTCCCGGTGTGATTGCTTTAATTCTAAATTTCTTTTAAGTGTCATGCCTGAATTAGAACGAGAATTATAAGAATACACACACACACACACAGCGCTTCTGGCATTTAATATGAAAAGGAAGAAGCTATTTGCAGGTGCTTGTAATGGCGGTATGTGATTGAGCTCACAGCGTGTCTGTTCTCAAGCCTGTAACTATGATTGGGGCACTTGAAACGCAGAGTGAAAATCGTCTTGAAATAATTCTGCCCCCATGAACTTCCCATTTGGTTTATCATTTACCTACTGTCATTGTTTACCGGCTAAAGCAGGGGTCAGCAAAACTTACCAGGCGTGGGCCAGATCACTCCCGCGGAGATCCTCTGTGGGCCGGACTGGTGCAGCGCAACGCCGGAAATCACTTTGCGCACGCCCAGACGCCAAAAATCGTGCCTGAGCAGAAACGATTTTAGGCATCTGGGCATGCGCAGAAGCGATTTCCAGCGCCACAGACATGCACAGACATGTTTTCCAGCGCCTGGGCACGTGCAGAAGCGATTTCCAGAGCCGCAAAAAAGAGTCCCCGCACTGCACTGTGCCACTTTAGTGCAGCGCGCAGAGACTCGCCAAGTGGGCGGCTCGGTTCAGGGGCAGCTCATGGACCGGTTAAGCGACCCTCATGGGCCGCTTCTGGCCCATGGGCCTTGGGTTGCCAACCTCTAGGCTAAAGACTGTCATTGCCACTTGATGAAGGGCCGCAGCCCACCCGAATTGTGGCACAACAGGGCTGCATTCACACATACAAATGCAGGGGGTTGGAATAGATGACCCTCGGGATCCCTTCCAATTCTATAGTTCCGTGATTCTATGATGACACCCACGTATGATAGTGCCACAGAAAAGCTACTGCCACATGGCTTGGTGAAGCGGGCACTAAGTTTATTTGTGTTTTCTCTCCACAAACAGCTGGGTTTGTTTTCCTTTGAGGCTGAACTACAGCCATTCACAGACAGCACCGAAAGGGCAGAGCAGGCTAGTTTCTTACAACAACAATAATCCCTGTACGTTTTACCTCAGATCTCAGGTTCTACAAATGGTAGAAAGTGGCTCTTTTTTTATTAAAAAAGGAAGGAAGGAGAAAAAGAGAGTTGGAGGTTCATCGGGGGCAGAAGGAATTAGTCCCAGACACACTCACAAATGTTACCTCAGTGAAATTCAAGTCACCAATAAGACTGAAACTTAACTGAGAAACTTTCACTCCACCTCCAGTTAGTAATCTCCCCGCCCTTCGAGTCTTTTATGCCCTTAACAGTAGCCTGATATGAAGGAAATAAAGTGGTTGATGTTTTCTGCAACTTTTTGTTTCCATGCCGGGAAAAGCTGGTTGGGTGTATGTGTACGTAATCTCAGTCAAGCTGTTAAACTCGTCACGGAAAACAGCCATTTTGCAGAATTGTCTTCACTAGGCCAACACCACAATACATCCACACTATTTACAGATGTTACACGTAGTCTTCACTCTCTGAGCCCAGAGAGGGCTCGCTGCTTCAAAGTCCTCACTGTGTCAAGTCTGTAGTTCCATTGCTTTGAAGTCCTGCAACTCTTCACAAAGTCTGCAGTCTTTTCTGCAGTTCCTGTTCTTCAAACTGCTCCGCGCTGTCTCACTTGAATTATCCCACTGCCCAGCCACACCAAATGCAGTAACCTGAGCCCCTTATCTACCCAGCTTCAGTGCCAGTTCTGCCTGGCAACACCGATAAGATGGCACAAGATGCCTGCAGCTGCACTGTGGGGAATGAGTCATCTCTGCCAACTCATGGAGAAGTAGCCCATTTTTTACGTTCCTTAACAAAGCTGGCCTTGCTCTATTTCAGTTTTTAAAAGGCATGCCTAACTTTCCTCCGCCACCCCCTGCAAAGAGAGGAAATATCAACTCCACCTTCTGCAATTCAGATAAGGTTTTCTCAATTACCCATCAGTACAATAGTCTTTCTGGCTTTGACTGTTGTTAGAGGCCGTGACTTCACTCCAAGGTCACCCAGCGAACTTCGTGTCCAAGTGGGGATTTGAACCCCAATCTCCCAAGCCCTAGTCCGGTAGTCTAACCACTACACCACATTGGCTTCCTAGAATACTTTTGCTATGGGGCAGCTCTATAAATGAAGTAGATAAATAAATATTGGGAATGCAAAATGTCATTTGGAGAAGGATCTGAAATATGGATTTATTTTATTCTGGATTGTTTTTTGTGTTGTAAACCGCTTTGAATTTTTTTTTAAAAAAAATGTAAAACATAAAGCAGTATATAAATGAAATGTAGAAGAAGAGAGGACTCCCACAGTTAGAGCAACTCTAAGGATTGACAAGAGGCAAGTAAGGACAGACATTTGTGTATCCCACCTGCAGCACCCAAAAATACCCATCGGAGTGTCTTGATGTAACATTGGTCTCAGGGCCTTTGGTGGGGTAAGTAGACCATGGGTAGGCAAACTAAGGCCCGGGAGCCAGATCCGGCCCAATCGCCTTCTAAATCCGGCCCACAGACGGTCCGGGAATCAGCATATTTTTACATGAGTAGAATGTGTTCTTTTATTTAGAATGCATCTCTGGGTTATTTGTGGGACCTGCCTGGTGTTTTTACATGAGTAGAATGTGTGTTTTTATTTAAAATGCATCTCTGGGTTATTTGTGGGGCATAGGAATTTGTTCATTTTTTCTCTCCCCAAAATATATTCTGGCCCCCCCACAAGGTCTGAGGGACAGTGGACCAGCCCCCTGCTGAAAAAGTTTGCTGACCCCTCGGGTAGACCATCCATCAACCATAGGGGCCAGCCCCGCCTCATAAGAACATGAGATGAATCTGCTGGATCAGGCAAACGGCCCAGCGATCCCATATCCTGCTGTTACAGTGGGCACCCAGGTCCCTGCAGGAAGCCCAAAAGCAAGACCTGAGGAGCACAACATCAGGTCATTGGTGATTTTCCCACCCCTTCTGTCTCTCTCTCACACACTTCAAACCCACCTTCAATTTCAGTCAAAAGGTCTCCTAAGAATGTTTTCGTACATGCCTTAAACTTATGGGTAAGCATCTTTTTGTAGATATTTAGCTGTTTGTAGACAACCTCAGAAGAACTTGTGGATAGTCTTGCTGAGGCCTTTCTCCTTCATTTGTGCTGCTAGTTGCTGGTTTGAGGCGGCTTTGAGGTATATATGTATCTCAGTAACTAGGAGAAGACCTCTGTGCCCCTTGGAGGGTTGGGTCCTAAACTGTTTCCCAAATAATGCACTTTCTCGAAATAAAAAATGGAGCTTCTCAATCCAGGCAGCTGCTATCTCAAATTAGCCTCCAGCCATTCTTGCCACTGTCCTTTCATCAAATAGCGATCTGATGGAGACTGTTGGTCACGCTGTGTATGTAATCCTGCATTAAAGCACTTAGAATGTGGTGTTTGTTTTATTACTGAAAACCTCAGACAAAGATGAATGTGTTGGTTCTTATAAGCTGTGAAGAAGCACAAGGCAGTGGCTGCCAGGATAATGATTTTGTAACTCAACAGCTAAGCACATGTAAGTATGCTGTGCATCTGCGCAAGTCTATTAAAACTGATTACAAAAATGCAGTGATGTCCAGTTTAAATATGACTTGCACCAGGAATCTGCCACCGTCTGTAAACTTTGTCAGCTGAAAACATAATAAAATGGTTTCTGTGTAAATTTAGAAGCTTGGCTAATAATATTTGGCACCAAAGCAAGCAGGATACTACCAGAGCACTTCCATGTCTTTTTTAATTCAACATAATTCTCCATAAAAACATACAGAAGCTAGGGGAACAAGAATCTTGAGCCAGAAAGCAGCAGAAACAGGGAGAATGCATTGCACAGAGCTGCGGGAATCAAATCAAGCACATCAGCACGATCGGATTTCTTTCTTTTTTTAAAAAAAAAGAATGATTAAAAAAATTGCGAGATGAAAGAGGGAGAGGGAAGAAACAAAGCAGCGAACTTGCTTCAAACTACCAACCGGGATCCAGGGATGTATTTGCTGTCCACCAAAACATTTGCTTCCCCGCAGTTGCTCATGCGCCTCTTACACTGGTAGCAGCGGCGATACCTCGCGCACTGGTCAAGCAGCAGGAGTTTGTCGCCAGCGCTGTAATGGAAAGGGGACAGAGTTTAGCAAAAGCAACGGGCTCCCCGAACGGGATATGCCAGCCAGCCCCTTGTCCTCAAACCTTGCTGCACCTCATCAGAAATGTTTCCTGTTTATAGAAGGGGTTTGTCAATGGGGGCACCTACAGAGACCTCCCACCCTGCACCTCACCAATTTCAGCCTTGAAATTGTCCCCTCATCATATACCTTGAGAGCTGTTGGTATTCAGCACAGACCAGTGATGGCCAAACTTGGCTCTCCAGCTGTTTGGGGACTACAATTCCCATCATCCCTGACCACTAGGGATGATGGAAGTTGTAGTCCCAAAACAGCTGGAGCTTGGCCATCACTGCCATAGACCATCGTTGGCTAAACAAGCCAACACCTGTCTCAGTATAAGGCAGCTCAGAATAGCAATGATGCTGTTACGATTTTTCACCAGGGCGGCTGAACTGTAGACTCCAATTCCCATCAACATGGTCAGGAATGATGGGAGCTGCAGTGCAACAACATCTGGAGTGCCACAGGCTAGCCACACATTTTACGTACTGTAAACCACCACTCTGAAGGGTCTTCTGAACCACATTGGAACATAAATAACAACATTTTTAATGTATGTGTTTATCTTCATCAGAGGATGCTCACAATCAAGGCATCAACTTTCCCCCAGCTTCTGGGAATGTCAGGGATATGTTGCCTGTGACTTCAAATTGGTTAGTGCTATGCCAATTGTTTCCTTGTTCCAATCTTAAGCTAAAAAAACCCCACCCTTTCAAAGATCTTTCCATTTTGCAAAATTAATGGTTGCTATTATTTATTTGATGCATGATGACACATTTAGTGTGTCAGGACATTGCCACAATTGATAGAAGAAGAAGAAGAAGAAGAAGAAGAAGAAGAAGAAGAAGAAGAAGAAGAAGAAGAAGTTGTTTTGCCCCAGCCACTCTGAGTGGCCACAGAAGAGCTGGGGTGGACCTTCTGGAAGTAAAAATGGGATGTTATGCCATCAGCTGAGAATTATCACGTGCTGCTGACACATTGACAGGTGGTGAATAAAAATCACATGGGTCAAGACAAGCTTCAGGAAGGCAACAGGCAATTATAATATATTTTTAACCTTTTAATGTATTTTTAACTGTTGGAAGCCGCCCAGAGTTGCTGGGGCAACATCAATTGTTGTTGTTGTTGTTGTTGTTGTTGTTGTTGTTGTTGTTGTTACTACTACTACTACTACTATCAGCTGCAAGTGATGTCACGAGACTTTAAAGGAAGGTTGCACACCCCCATTTCAAACACAGAGCTGACATTTTCTAGAACATCATCTCCCCTCCAAAATAAAGTCGTTGGGACTTGATACGTATACAGTGGTACCTCGGGTTAAGTACTTAATTCGTTCCGGAGGTCTGTTCTTAACCTGAAACTGTTCTTAATCTGAAGCACCACTTTAGCTAATAGGGCCTCCTGCTGCCACTGCACCGCCGGAGCACAATTTCTGTTCTCATCCTGAAGCAAAGTTCTTAACCCGAGGTACTATTTCTGGGTTAGCGGAGTCTGTAACCTGAAGCATCTGTAACCTGAGGTACCACTGTATTTGCAACTGGAAAAGATGAATGTGAAGGGGAGTAATTTTGCTTGGGGCCTAATCATGTCTAATCACAGCTGATATCCTCCACATCCTCTTACAACAGGCCAAGACACACAAACAGATTTTCAGTTACAGCAGTGATGTCTACACATTCTTCCACCTAGGCTGCCACCACTGTCCTGTCCCCATGGAAAGCAATTTTGATGGGCAGGGACAGGGAGAGATGCTGTGTCATCACCCAGGATTCCCAGTCCTGCGTGATGCAATGGGACTGTCTCTTCTTGGATGAAACTGAGCCTGGTCATTTTGGGAGGGTGACCAATGCCAGGAAGAGAGAACCTAGCACTAGGGAGATGGTGGGACTCAGCTACTCCCCTTTCTTCACCCACAGAGTGCCAAGACGCCACTGCCATTTGGATGGCAGCTTAGCGGCAGCACTCTGGCCCAGCCAAGAGAGAGGCAAGGAAGGGGCTGGCATTATAATGGAATTAATTTGATTGAGTGTTGGCCATTGCTTCTGTGTTTTATTATGTTCATTTAATTGTATACACAGTCAGAATATTTTTCATGAGTTGGCAGTTTATTAACGCTTGTATAAATAAAGAAATTGAAAGAGGAGTATTAGCTGGGAAGACAGATAACAGATGAATAGGAACTTCCGGGTTGGTGCCTCTGGCAATGGCGGATTTCCTCCGATCGGGAGGAATCCGCTCCGTGGAAAACAGGGTCTGAACCGCCACGGCGAGGCGGAGACCCATTAAAAACCACAGGCGGGAGAAGCCTGTGGATGTGGGATTCAGCTGGCACCTTTGCGCCCCCCCCTACTCGCGGGGAAACCCAGTTTCGGGGATCCGGAGCGACGTGGGGTGAGTGGCGCGGTGCTTTGAATCGACTGCTTCTTTCACGAAGAGAAGCCGCATTGCTGTTGCCGGAGAGCGCTGACTTTTTCCTGTGGACAATTGGATTTTAAACAACTGCCCGCGAGTAGAACGGAAAATTGGATTAAGAATTTTTTTTAAATTTGGCACTGAAGCGGGAAGGTCTAAACAGGAAGTCCGCCTTCCGCTTTTGTAGATAGATTGAAGCAAAGACACGGCAAGCTAGAGTTTAGAAAGTCGTCTGTAAAGGAGCAAATTTTCATCATTTAAAAGTACTGAACCCCCCTTGGAAGCAGGAGAAGAGGGGGGAACCTTTTTTAGACTGTTTAAACCTGCAGAAGAGAGAGTAAAGAAAGGCAATTTTCCACCGTCTTGAACCTGGGAACAGGGTGTCAGGACAGACGTTCTGGGGAAGTTCATTGACTATGGACAAACGTTTTTGACAGATAGTTAAAAGATGAGAAACATATTGATTCCATTGTTCCCCTTCGCATTTAAAAGGAACAAAATATTGACAAAATATCTGAAAAAGGAAAACTTTGTTGCTAGATCTGCTTTTAAAAGAAAAAAAAAAGATGGATACAAATAGAAATTGTTTCCCCTAGAGGGAGCTTGTGAAACTGTTATTAAAACCGAACTGGGGAGCTTTGCAGCTGCAATAGATTAAGATCGTGGGACCAGACTTCGACCTTGAACAAGAATGTACTCGGAGGCTCTGGTGCTTGCCTTTTGCAAGACAAGTGCTTTATTGGAACAGTTACATGAGAAGATGGATTTGATGACTGTTGCGATCGGAAATTTTGGACAGGCAGTGGGTACCTACATAGAACCCACTCAGGAATTAATCCAGGAATGTGCTTTGACAGATCAGATGAGGGAGGAGGTTGTTTCTGGACCTTGGGTGGCAGAGATGGAGGGAGCTGTGGCCCAGCAGGAATATGAGTGGTTGGATTCGACGAACGAACCTGGAAAAAGTCAGATTTGGAGAGATGGAGTCCAGTTTGGCTTGGAGGTGGGGGGCTGGATAGATAGGGATGTTTTGACCCAAGTCTGGCTTTGGGCCGGGGAGAGCTCGGAGTTGTGGGGGCCTTTGACTTTGGAGGGACCTTGAAACATGCCTTTAAATACCACATGGATTTCAGTGTTGACTATGGAAAAGGGGCTGACTTGTCGAGAAGGGACAAAAATATTGTCAAGCTGGAGTCTCCCCGAGTGAAAGGAGCAGAAGACAAAGTAAAGTACAGGTATAAATATGAAGAAGACCTGCGGAAGGGACATGGAAGAGACTTAAGAGCCTCGGACATAAGGTCACCAGGTTGATGGACTAGATGGATGGGATAGAAAGGACTGACAAAACCCGAGACCAGGAAGAAGAGACGATGGATGAAGATTGGAAGAAAGTTTTAAAAATTCTTTTAGAAAAGTGTCGTAAAATTAATGAGTATTAGAAAAATGTTGGAATGAAATTATTTGGCTTTAGCAGAAATGTTAAAAAGAATTATGTAAGAATATGTTATGGTTAAGAGAATCTGGTATAAATAAGATTTAAGTTTTAAGTTTTAGGGTTTTTATGGTAAGATAAGGTTAAAATAGATTAAGGTAATTTAAGGACAGAATATTGTGAAAGATGGAAAGGGTTTGCTGAGATAATTAACAACTAGAATACAAAAAAGGGAGGTGTGAGGAGGTCGATGAAATAAGGTAATGACAGTTAAGGATCTGGGAATATTGGATCTGTTTTTAAATTTTTTGTTTATTTCTGTTTTTTGATTTTGATGTATTGTGTGTTTTGTTTTTTCTTTTTGACTTTGGTTATTACTGATTTGTATTGTTTAATTGTTACTTTTATCTACTTTTTTTTCTTTCTTTTTCTCTTTCTCTTGTTTTTTCCTTCTTTTTTCTCTGTAATCTTAAAACTCTCAATAAATATCATTTTTTTTAAAAAAAGGAAGGGGCTGGCGAGTTTGGCCGTCAGCTGAACTTTACCGTCTAAAGATCTGCTCTTCGTAATCCCGCTGCCTCCTCATCCCAGCACTCTTCTTCCAGTCCTCCTGCACGGCTAAGTTCATCTGGAATATCTTCTCTAGCCTCTCTCCTTTTTCAGCCATCAACCTAGAAAATGCAGCGTTGGGGGTGGGAGGGAGAGTCAGATCCTGGCTCCTTTCAGATCATTGCTCTGTTCCCCCCAATAGAATAAATAGTGCAAACCCGGAAAACTAACAATGCACATTTGCAATAGGTTGCAATAAGAGCACACACAGGCTTCCCCTCCAAAAAACCATTAGGGGTGTACATAGGGCCGGATTTAGGTTTGATGAGGCCCTAAGCTACTGAAGGTAATGGTTCTATGTCCAGCTGTCCTTCGTCAACAACCAATTGTCACTGTTTTTTGTGTTGAATATATGCTATATCGTAATTTATGGATGTGGGTGGCGCAGGTACGCGGGTGGCGTTGTGGGTTAAACCACAGAGCCTAGGACTTGCCGATCGGAAGGTCGGCGGTTCAGATCCCCACGATGGGGTGAGCTCCCATTGCTCGGTCCCTGCTCCTGCCAACCTAGCAGTTTGATAGCATGTCAATGTGCAAGTAGATAAATAGGTACCACTCTGGCGGGAAGGTAAACGGCGTTTGCCTGAGCTGCTCTGGTTCGCCAGAAGTGGCTTAGCCATGCTGACCACATGAGCCGGAAGCTGTACGCTGGCTCCCTCGGCCAATAAAGCGAGCGCTGCAACCCCAGAGTCGGTCACGACTGGACCTAATGGTCAGGGGTCCCTTTACCTTTAATTTATGGACCTAATGGGTATCTAAAGCCATTACCACATGTTGCCATGCAACCAGTCCATGCAGAATGTAGGCACCCTATATATAGGTAAAGGTAAAGGGACCCCTGACAATTAAGTCCAGTTGCGAACGACTCTGGGGTTGCGGCGCTCATCTCGCTTTACAGGGCTGGCATTTGTCCACTTCCGCAGACAGTTTTTCCGGGTCATGTGGCCAGCATGACTAAGCCACTTCTGGCGAACCAGAGCAGCGCACGGAAACGCCGTTTACCTTCCTGCCGGAGTGGTACCTATTTATCTACTTGCACTGCGTGTTTTTGAATTGCTAGGTTGGCAGGAGCTGGGACTGAACAACGGGAGCTCATCCTGTCATGGGGATTCGAACTGCCGAGCTTTCAATCGGCAAGCCCAAGCAGCACCATGGTTTAACGCACAGCGCCACCTGTGTCCCACACCCTATATATAGAAATGAGCAAACCAGTGATATTTTAGGGAGCAGGCTAGCAGGCGGAGCCCATGACTTACATCATAGGAGCCTACACAACACAAAACACTGTTGCTGTATGTAGCTTTTATTCTATTTGTATTTTATCTTATATTTTGGAAATGTACATCCAGTTTTGTTTTGTATTTTAAAAAAATTGGGGCCTTCAAGAGAGTGGGGGCCTAAGCTATAGCTTGTTTAGCTTATACGTAAATCTGTCACCGTGTAGGAAACTTGCTTTACACCTAGTCAGCTCATTGGTCCATCTACCTCAATATTATCTAGACCTAGACCATTGTTCTTCAGCTATGGGTCCCCAGATATTGTTGGACTGCAACTTCCATCGTCTTCAGGAAGATTAAGCTGAGGAGCAAAACTGGAAGGAGCAAGACTGGGCGGCATTGTAAAGGAATGTAGATTTGGCAGTGATCTCGAGACCTGATCCAGTCAAATAAGGCAAGTACAATTAGGAATCTGAGTTTGCAGGATTCCTCCCCTATCCCCAAGCAAAGTGCATGATACCCAAGGCTAGTCAAGTTATTGCGGCACCCAGTGCAGAAAATTCCACAAGAACATTACTTGGGGAACAAAAATGATGATGATAATATATATATATTTTTTAAGCAACTTGTTGACCTTTCCGGAAACCCAGAAGTCTGCTGCCTGAAGGATTCACCCTCCCACTGCCTAATTACAAGAACTTTGCAGCTAAGAAATAATGCCCAAGTTTGCATTATTTCTTCCCAACCCATTTCCTTTCGTGTTGTGTCTTTTAGACTGTAAGCCCAAGGGCAGAGACTTTCTTATTACTGATTCCTGGGAGCCTTTTTGGGGCAGGATAAAAATGCTGTGGATAATCATTACAACAGTAAGACTGGCCCGGTTCTGCATATCTACTGGGGAAACCGTAGCACGACCATTTTGTGTTCTTACTGTTCCTTCGCTCTCTGAAGCATCACTGCTGCTCTCCGCTGATCGATCAGGTCTCTGAGGATGGCTGCCCGCTTGCGTTCCGCAGCCGCCTGCAGCTGGCATTTGGAATATTCCTGGCAGCGCTTCTTTTCTTCTCCCATTCTTTCGTTATTCATGTCGTTCTTCCCAAAGATGACCCCGGCCGAATCAGGCTCGTACTGCGGCAATGGAGCTGGCCTCATCTTTATCTGGGTCCAAATTCAGGAGGGCGAAAAATGAGCCTTACTCTTTCCTCTTACGCCTGCTTCTTTCATAAGGAAGCGGAAACAGGTCTAGGGGAACTACGAAGCCCCGTACACTGTGATCTATACCACGTGTGAAGACAGAACGTGTGGATAAGGCAAACCAAGCCTTATGAGGAACGGTTGAGAGAGTGTGGGATGTTTGGTGTTATGTACTGAGTTGAATAGGATCCAAATTGCAGCAGTCTGATTGGTCCTAGAACAATGGGATCCAGAATGCAGCAGTCTGATTGGTCCGCAGGAGCCACCCAATCCAACTCCAGGTGGAAGTGAATCCGCAGCCTGATTGGCCTACAGGTGAATCCCGGAACTAGCCAATCACGTGGGACCCATTGTGTAAATAATGTATATAAAGTCCCAACCCTACAGAGCAGATTTACAAGACGGCTTTAAAAGAAGATTAGACAAATTTGTGGAGGATAAGGCTATCAATAGCTAGTAGCCATGATGGCTATAGTTCAGTCTCTCCTATCAGAGTCTGTATACTTCTGAATTCCAGTTTCTGGGAATCGCAAGTGGAAATCATAGAATCATAGAGGTGGAAGGGACCCTGAGGGTCATCTAGTCCAACCCCCTGCAATGCAGGAATCTTTTTTCCCAACATGGGGCTCGAACCCACAACCTTGAGATTAGAGAAGCCAAGCTTCTTTTTCATAATGTTTTTTTGAAAGGAGGCAATCAGTCAGCTCCTCTATGTAGCTCCACAGCCTAAAATTCACCCTGATATAATAATAATAATAATAATAATAATAATAATAATAATAATAGGGCTTCGGTTCATTCAATAGGACTGCAGCACCATATCCACTTATCTTGGAGGAAGCCCCACTGATTCCCTTCTGAATAAACACACCTGGGGGGCTGCGCTGTTAACTGCCATCCCTCATTTTTACCTGCGTGTCCAGTGCTCTCTTATAACACTTTGTTTCTTCCATTTTGTCCTTCAGGTATTTTGTTCTTTGGGCAGCTAACCTAGAAAGAGAAAGAGGAACATGTGTAGCATTCGGCCAACCAAATTTCAGTAGGATTTACTCCTTTTTCTTAAAAGCTTAAAATAACTTTTATTTGAGATTGAGGTTCAACAATTAAAAAAAATCCACAATAACTAATATGTCAGTTCATTACAACTGACCATCTTTAACAATAGTTGACAAATTACAAAACATCAATTTATGCAAATTTTCATATTTAACTTATATCTCTTTATCTCTTTCTTAGCAAATCAAAAAGAAAAAGACCAAAAGAAGGTGAGAAAAGAAGAGAGGAAAGAGAGGAAAAGAAAAAAGAAAAAGAAAGAAAGAATTAAAAGAAGAAAATAAACACATTTGACTTCCGATTAGACTCAGTGTATTGTTATTTGTTATTTTTTCACACACAGTTCTAGATTACTGTACAGGATTAACTCCTGCCCAGTGGTTGACAATGTAGGAATTATTTCAGGCCACTTTACAACAGGGTTGAAAATTTTCAATTTATTAATTTTTAAAAAATAAAAATATTATATTTGTTCAGGGTCCAGAGCCCTAAGGCTCTCTCTTTACCTGAAGTGTACAGAGGTGCTGTTCTGACAAATAGGCAGTTGAATATTATCCCACTCCTGACACCTGATACATCGTCAGTCTTCTCTTCTTCGTTTATTAAAATCTTTAGTTTAATTATATGCCCATTAGCTTTTAAAACATGAAAAAGTGCCCTAATTATGAGTAGGAACTATACCCAACAGCAATTTTGGAAAGGAGGGAGAGGAAATAAATTGTGGTCTTGCCCTGGAAAGCCAATCAGAGTTCTGACTGACTTGATTATACATCTCTATTTTAGCCAGCACATTATGTTTAAACAATTTTGTTTCTAATTCTATTTAGGAAATCAATTCCTTTGGCCCTTTATTGGTAAAATGTGAAAATACCTGATATCTCCCTGCAGCTCTTAAAGCAGCCCATAAAGAAGATATGAAAATATCTGATGTCACCTGCAGTTCACCAACCTAGTACCTTCCAGAGGTTTCGGACTACAACTCCCAGCAGCCTGTCACTGCGGTCAGTGCTCAGGTATGATGGGCATTGTAGTCTGCCAACATATGGAGGGCACCAGGTTGGGGCAGGCTGCGTCACACCTCGCAGTGGAAAACACCTTGAGAAAGGAACAACTACAGTAATGTTTTCTTGGGTCTCCAGCTGTTTTTGGACTACAACTCACATCATCACCAGCTAGCAGGACCAGAAGTCAGGGCTGATAGGAACTGCAGTCCAAAAACAGCTGGGTAGAATCTACACACATATTAAAAAACGCTGTGAAAATGCTTTTTTCAAAAAAAAAAGTTTTGAAAAACACATTGAATTTCGCATAGCTCACTCTCGCCATCTAGTGTCACATTTGTATGTTGCACTTTACAACGCATTTGAAACATTTCATTTGCAGCTGTGTAGCTTGCCGACAAAGGTCCGTATAGTTAAAGCTATGGTTTTTCCAATAGTGATGTATGGAAGTGAGAGCTGGACCATAAAGAAGGCTGATCGCCGAAGAATTGATGCTTTTGAATTATGGTGCTGGAGGAGACTCTTGAGAGTCCCATGGACTGCAAGAAGATCAAACCTATCCATTCTTAAGGAAATCAACCCTGAGTGCTCACTGGAAGGACAGATCCTGAAGCTGAGGCTCCAATACTTTGGCCACCTTGTGAGAAGAGAAGACTCCCTGGAAAAGACCCTGATGTGGGGAAATATGGAGGGCACAAGGAGAAGGGGACGACAGAGGCCGAGATGGTTGGACAGTGTTCTCGAAGCTATCAGCATGAGTTTGACCAAACTGTGGGAGGCAGTGGAAGACAGGAGTGCCTGGCGTGCTCTGGTCCATGGGGTCACGAAGAGTCGGACGCGACTAAATGACAACAACAACAGCTGAGTCCCTGGCGACCCAAGTTTGGGAAACCCTGGCCTACAGGGACAACTCGTCCCAGAAGACTTACTCTTCTGCCAGCTGCACTTGCTCCAGGCGGTCAATGAGGTCCTGATCCTGCCTCAGCTTCAACTCTCTGGCCATCTTGTCGTCCACTTGCTTCCCCAGCTGTTGTGCGTACACCTCTTGCTTTTGCTGAATGGTGGCACTGGTTGGTCTCTTCTCAAAGATGTACGATTTCTGTTCAGGAGAGAGGCACCCGTCGGTTGAGAAGACCTCATCTAATCTTGTGCATTGAGGGAATTCCCAACCACCACAGAAACACAGGGAGCTGCCTTAGACTGAGCCAGGCCATCAGGTCATTGTAGCTCAGCATTGCCAACATGGACTGGCAGCAGCTCTCTAGTCCCACTGGAGATGCCTGGGTTGAACCCAGGCCCTCCTGCATGCAAAGCATACGCTCTTGCCTCTAGCCACGGCCTGAAATGTCTCTTCCCCATGACAAAATCACACCTGTTGAAAACCCCCAAAGAGATGAGAACCATGCAATTCTGGGCTGCATCAATAGGAGTATAGCATCTAGATCAAGGGAAGTAATAGTGCCACTGTATTCTGCTCTGGTCAGACCTCACCTGGAGTACTGTGTACAGTTCTGGGCACCACAGTTCAAGAAGGACACTGACAAACTGGAATGTGTCCAGAGGAGGGCAACCAGAATGGTCAAAGGCCTGGAAACGATGCCTTATGAGGAACGGCTAAGGGAGCTGGGCATGTTTAGCCTGGAGAAGAGGAGGTTAAGGGGTGATATGATAGCCATGTTCAAATATATAAAAGGATGTCACCTAGAGGAGGGAGAAAGGTTGTTTTCTGCTGCTCCAGAGAAGCGGACACGGAGCAATGGATCCAAACTACAAGAAAGAAGATTCCACCTAAACATTAGGAAGAACTTCCTGACAGTAAGAGCTGTTCGACAGTGGAATTTGCTGCCAAGGAGTGTGGTGGAGTCTCCTTCTTTGGAGGTCTTTAAGCAGAGGCTTGACAACCATATGTCAGGAGTGCTCTGATGGTGTTTCCTGCTTGGCAGGGGGTTGGACTCGATGGCCCTTGTGGTCTCTTCCAACTCTATGATTCTATGATTCTATGATTCAGTGCAGTATAGCAGTTAGAGGTTAAAGCAGGACCTGGGAGACTGGGGTTCAAATCCCCCGTGCGCCACGATGCACCACTGGGTGGCTTTGGGACAGTCACCATCTTCTGGCCTTGCCTATCTCACAGGGTTGTTGTGAAGAGAGCAAGGACCAAGTGTGGCACCTTGAGCTCCTTGGAGGAAAGCTGGACTATTGATGTAATGAATAAATCAATGACATTAGCGGTAAACCCAGAGTACAGTCCTGGTGTGGGGGGGGGGGGTGGAACCTTCTGCTATTGCTAAGGTTGAGGGACTGGCCAGATTCTGAACACTACAGTGGTACCTTGGTTCTCAAACGCCGATTCTCAAACGCCAAAAACACGGAAGTAAGTGTTCCGGTTTTCAAACGTTTTTTGGAAGCTGAACGTCTGATGCGGATGTCGGCTATTGTTTCTGGGGCACCTGCACCAATCAGAAGCTGCGGCTTGGTTTTTGAACATTTCAGAAGTCAAATGGATTTCCGGAATGGATTAAGTTTGGCGCTTTTGTTTTTGCTATTTTTTGTATTTTTGTTTTTAAGGCTTTTTCGGTTAATTTGTTTTTGTGACTGTGTGGAACCCAGTTCAGTGACTGACTGACTGACTGATTGATTGATTGATTGTGTGGCTGTGGAAATGGATAAAGGTCCCCCATCCAAACAATGACTATCATCAGTGCAGGTAAGGTTTGTTTGTTTTTATCATCTACAATACTGTCTTATTTATTTTATAGTACAGTACATTGATTATTGCTTTCATTTTATAGCTCAATAGTCTTGTTAGATAGTAAAATTCATGTTAAATTGCTGTTTTAGCGGTTGTTTTCAAAAGTCTGGAATGGATTAAACTGTTTTGCGTGACTTTCTATGGGTAAGCGCACCTTGGTTTTGGAACCCTTTGGTTTTGGAACAGACTTCCGGAAAGGGATTAAGTTTGAGAACCAAGGTACCACTGTTTTATGAATGTTTTCATGGATTGTTTTCATTTATATTATCGCACCCTGCCCTGGTATTACCCTGGTATTCGGAGAAAATAAATAAGTACTGAGCTATTTCAGAGCACCTCCCTGTCTTGAGTGGAAAAAGATGAACCCGCTTTGACCAGAGATGCCAGGGCTATCGCAGAGGGCATGAACTCACGTAGCTGTCCGAAGGTTTATCGTTCTTGTGGTTCCTGGTGGCTTCGGCAACCCCGAGGTTAAAAGCCGCAATTCTCTGGTTCTCTTCTCGATTTGTCATCGCTCGCATCTGTGGTGGAGGAGATTTGCCGGAGGTGAATTCAAAGTGAAAGGGGAGGGCAGAATAAAAGGGGGTGAGAAACCAACAGCTTACAATAATGCTTTGCCTTAAACGTGCAATGCAATCTCTCCCTCTCAGCATTCTAATAGATGCATTTGAGGCGAAGGGCGACAGAGCAGGGTCCTGTATACCTGAAGGAGCGTCTCCACCCCCATCATCCAGCCTGGACACTGAGATACAGCACCGAGGGCCTTCTGGCGGTTCCCTCGCTGCGAGAAGTGAGGTTACAGGGAACCAGGCAGAGGGCCTTCTCGGTAGTGGCGCCTGCCCTGTGGAACGCCCTCCCAACAGATGTCTAGGCAATAAACAACTACCGTATTTTTCGCCCTATAGGACGCACTTTTCCCCCCCAAAAAATGAAGGGGAAATGTGTGTGCGCCCTATGGGGCGAATGCAGGCTTTCGCTGAAGCCTGGAGAGTGAGAGGGGTCGGTGCGCACCGCCCCCACGCACTGTCCAGGCTTCAGGAAGCTATCCGCAAGCCTTGGGAGCCCACGGGAGTTGCCGCCGGGCTCCCAAGGCTTGCGGACAGCAGCCTACAGCCCGAAACCTGGCAAGCACAGCAGAGCGTGCCCCGGGCTTCGGGCAGCTCTCCACAACCCTTGGGAGCCCAGCGCGACTTCCCGCCTGGCTCCCTAGGCTTGCGGATAGCAGCCTGTTCTGGGGGCTGGGGTCGGGGGAAGCTCGGGCTTCCCCCGCCCAAGCCCCGCACCTGGGGGGGGGGAAATAAAAAAAAAATTCTTTATTTCTCCCCCGCAAAAAAACTAGGTGCACCCTATGGGACGAAAAATACGGTATTTTACTTTTAAAAGACACCTGAAGACAGCCCTGTTTAGGGAAGTTTTTAACGTCTGATGCTGTATTGTTTTTGATATTTAGTTGGAAGCCGCCCAGAGTGGCTGGGGAGACCCAGTCAGATGGGCGGAGTATAAATAAATTATTATTATTATTATTATTATTATTATTATTATTATTATCATTATCTTCATTGCTATTTTTATTTATTAATTTGTTAGTCGCTTTTTCTTCCCCAAGGGAACCCAAAGTGACTTACAAACAAACATGACAAAAAGGTGTGAGAAAGCCCCAACAAACAAGAAAGGCAACGCAACACAACACTTTCTCTTACTCTCTCAGTCTAATTCTTCCCCTAGATATATTAGCTTTGCACCTGCATGGAGACTTTAACCCAGGAGATGTTCTCAAACAAGCAACCTCTACACACTGGTAGCAGTGAACATAAGAGGCTACCTTATTCAGAGACCATGAACAAACAAATCTGCCGGTTTCTCATTTTCCCAATGTTAAATTCATTTCTCCACATTTCCACAACAACTGGCAACTTTTAATTTTCATGAAAATTCACCAGCATCTTAGAGGGGTCTTCTCCTACAGCAAACAGGTGTGCTTGCGGTTTTGACAAATATGCACATTTCTGCAAGCCATTCCCCCTAATACAATGCATTTTCATATACTGTCACTAATTTTTGCATTTTCATGCCCAATTTCCTCTTAATACAGGCATTTCTGCATGTGTGAATCCATCCTCAGTAGAAGCATCCCTTTTCTTGTTCAAAAGATCTGCACTTTTTTTAAATTAGACGAAGAAGAAAAGGGTGTTGTTTTTATTCTTGTGCCGCCTTACCAGCTGCCTCTGAAAGGCTTCGTGATCCTTTAGGGCCTGATACTGTGCCAATATCCTGTCTTCTTCCTTCTCTTTCTTCCTCTTCTCTTCACCCAAGTACAAAGGGATGCTCCTCTGAGCACGCTGCATGCACAAGTAGCACATTTCCTGGGAATGCATATAGTACAAGCCACAGAGGCATTATTGATTTGAAGGATTGATTTTGCCCCTTTTAGCTTGCCGACTCCACTGTTCAGACAAAGTACTAAACCATAATTTGGCATGATGCGAATAAGCCGCAGCAAGCCTTGGGCTCTCACTTTCTCCTTTCCCCCCTCCTCCTCCTCCAGTGTGGCTGTGGAAAAGGAGTTTAGAAGCTTTTGCTTCCGGTTTCCATTAACCGCAGTTTAGTGTGTTGATCAAACCAGCAAACTGTGGTCAGCTTTAACTATGAGTCCTTTTAAACAATGAAAACAGGAAGATCGTTTACCTATTCTCTGAAGGGGCTAAATATCCTTAAACCTGTGGTTTTCAACTAGTGTGCCTGTGGGAGTAATAAAGCCACGGCAAAGGCTTGTAATATTGCAGGGTGCCCCCTGACCTCGGCTGACCAGTACTCTGAGCTTTACAATGTATTGGAATGTATTGACCTTAAATGGAGTTGTGTTTCCTCTGGGCAGTGATGACCCTATATGGTGATGGGGGCAATAAAAGCCTTGACCAGATGAGGTAACGTGAGACATTGGCAAACGGCCATGCGGCTGGAGAGAGAACAAAGGATAATAAAAAAGCTACGGGAGGAGAGAGAAGTTCGAAAGGAGCTGCTCATACCATCCTGAAAATATTGCTGGCTCTCTGTGTCTTTATTTTATGCTAAACTGCGCCATTTGTAACGGCTGGCTCCGACATGTGCCATGGCACCCTGGGGTGCCTTGAATGAGGGTCAGGGTTGCCATGGGCAACCCTGGCCTCTGTTCCTCTTTCCTTCCCTCCCTTCCTCTGATGCCCTCTTGTGTCTCTGCCACCCAAAGGCTTGCACAACTATTTGTTGCAGCAGCAGCAGCCCTGGCTACAAGCTCTCCAGGCAAATGGTGCCTCTGGGGCTGGCCAGGGGGTGCTTCCCAGGCCCCTGTGGGGCAGTGTGAAAAGGCACCTCTCTTTGGGGCAGGTGGGGGGGGCAGTTCAGAGACCAGAGGTGTCAGCTGTGGCTGCCCAGAGGACTCCCAAGGAGAGGGGAGAGGAGGCTGAGGGAACACTCCATAAGCAAGGATGTCCGAAAAGGGGTGAGGGGCTGCCAGCTCTGCAGGCAAGAGGTGACACAACTGGGCTCCTGAGCCCCACAGGGGTGCCGCAGAAAGAATGTCATTGGTCAAGGGAGCCATGGACCCAAAAAGGTTGAAAACCTCTGCTTTAAAAACCTAAGGCTGTTATCTTTGCCTCAGGGTACCAAAGAATTAACACAAGTTAGTCACCAATACATTGTAATAGCACATCAGCTCCAAACTTCCCTCTGACTTGAGTTCCTCAGAAATGCAGGCAGAAAAAGAGTTTCAAAAATGAAAATTTATAAAGGCTAGTGGCTTTCAGTAGATAAAACTTGACTTGGCACAACTGCACCTTGCCCATTATGGAGAGTAGGGTGTCTCTGGTGGCAGATTTGAGGGTAACATTAGAGGGCTGCAAATGCTTAATTATTATATTTCCATCACAGTAAACCGCCCAAATAATGAAATACAGGGTTGTGGAGGAGTGTTGTTGGGCTATTACTAGCACTGGAACAGCTACAGGGAAACCTTTACAGCCTGAGAGCTGCATTTTCTTTCTGGGCAGACTTCTAGGGGCCACAAGAGGCCTTCAAAGACAACCCCATGTTTAACACATTGCAGTGGTCTAGTCCAGTCGTTTTTGAGGTAAAAAGTGCATGCCACAAGAAATGCATTAGTGTTTGAGTTGCCAAAGGATGCACACAATCGTATTCAAAACGTGCACCCTGTGGCAGTAGTTTTGGAAATACAGGGCTAGAACACTTCTCAGCCACAACTTTGCTAAATCCATACTTCCCCAGTAGGTACAAAAGCGCCGAGGTGGGTTCTTTTGCCCTGCACGTGCTTTGTACACAAGCGTGCACACCACCGCTCATGCCCCCACCAAAGCACCACCAGAGATGTTAGGAACTAGGACAAAACAGGATTGCATCCCCGACATCCCGCCCTCCCAAATCTATCTAGGAAAAACAAGCACAAATTTTGCTCCAGCTCAGAAATTCTTGGTGGTGTTTACACCGGCAAAAGCTATTGTTTGTTCAGCATTTAAACACAGATCTACTCCTTGCTTGTGTAAAAAGGCTCTTTTCAAGTAGGTGCAATGACTAGAGCATTGCCATAAAGGTAAAAGAAGTGGCCTAGGTAAGAAAGGGTCCTCAGACTGCAGGCGTGGCTAATCTATGGACCTCCATATTTTGCAGGACTATAATTCCTATGCCAGTGTGTGTGTGTGTGTGTGTGTGTGTGTGTGTAAGCAATGGGCCAAATATGGGTCGCGGGCTGCCAGCTGCCGACTTCCGTCCCCTACCAAAGGCCATGCCTATTTGGCCCTGCACAGATATAGACAAAAAAGGAGGAAAAGCTACGTATTATACCTGGCCTGCCCTACCATGATCTTGACAAATTGGGGATGGAGTCCGGGGTCTGAGGGCAGGAATTTTGGCAGGGCTGGCTTCTTGCTCTGTCTTCGGGGCTTCGGGAGCGGGCGTTGTTGTCGGTCCTTGCCTGGAGAACACAAAAACATGGCCAGCAGGAGTTTTATGCATGCCAAACATGAGACTGTGTCTCTGGAGAAGGCGAGAGTGTCTTTCCCAACTTCCGCCTTGACAGTGGGATCGGAAGTTGGACGAGCTTAACCTGAATGTTGCTCAATCCCTAGCAAACTCTGGAGCCTTGAGTAAGGATTTGGGCTTCCATTGCGCTAACACCGCTGTCCTCACCATCCTTAGAGGGATCTGTTAGAATTCCTGCTCCATGATTGAAGTCATAGGATTGTTGTCTATCACATGATGTGGTGTGTTTTGACTCCACAGAGTGGGAAGTGATGGAGACAGGATGTTTGTGTTACTGTCTTCTGTTAAGCGGGACTATTGTCCTTTGTCCTTTCTCTTTGCTGTCTGATGCTAGAGAGAGAGGGAGCCATGTTGCAGTGCTCCGTGTGTGTTTATATGTAAATAAAGTAGATTAGCCAAAATGCTGAGTTGCTGAGGTCTGTTATGCAAGCTGCGAAGACTCTGCAGATCCCTAAGTGTGCCGATGTCTGTTGGCATCGGTCGCTGTGATGTTCGGGCAGAAGAAAGCTTTTGAAGCTCCCTACACTCGTGTAGGACCCTGACAGAGAAACATGCCTGACTGGCATGTTCTCTCCCTCCTGGTCGGTCGTTCGGGAGCTTCAAAAGCTTTCTCCAGCCCGAACATCACAGCGACTGATACCAAAAGGCATTAGCATGCTTAGGGATCCTGCAGTATTTGCAGTTTGCATAGCAGAACTCAGCAGCACAGCATTTTGGCTAATCTACTTTTATTTACATATAATACACTCGGAGCATTCTGACTTAGCTCCTTCCTCTTTCTCGTTAGACAGCAAAGAGAAAAAGAACAAAGGACAATAGTCCCACTTTCCAGAACACAGTAACACAAAACATCCTGTCTCCGTCACTTCCCACACTGTGGAATGAAAACATACACCATCATGTGATAGACAACAATCCCATGACTGCAAACACGGAGCAAGAATCCTAACAGAACCACCAGCATTGGCACTGCCCAGTCCTTTTAAGGGCAGTCTATACCTAAGACCTCCTTCCCCAGAAGAGAAGGGTAGGATCAAAGCAGCAGGTGTGCTGAACGCCATTATCTAAATAAACAGAATGCAAAGAGGGCAAGTTGAAATTCTATCGGCCTCCTCATCTTTGGTGCCGTCTGTTGTGTGCAACATTATAATCAGCTTCCCTTGCGAAGAAGATGCCTCCATGTTAACCCACAAATAATGGAAGAGGTCTCTGGTTTATCTCCTCCGATTTCCCTCAGCCCTGAACAAAGGATCTCTTCCAGTTAAGGACAAAAGTTCTCCTACATCTTTAATTGCTGGCAAATCCATTTTTCAGTGGCTTCAGAGAGCACCTGTTGGCCTCTCACACAACGCCTCAGACGAGCCCTTAAAACATTTAAAAAGCCTTTCAGCGCCGAGGACTTTGACCTTGTCGAAACCAAACAGTGTCTTGTCATCAAGAGGAAGGATAGAATTTGCCCCCGATTGAGAAAGAGAATCCTGAGTCTCTTCAATTATACTTTGTTGTTCAGCTGCACAATAGCTGCTGCAGAGAGCATATGGGGAGGGAAGAGCAATGGTCAGGAGAAAACCAAAGCAGACTCTTTACGTTGAGAGGGTGACCTGCACCCCACAGAACCTCTTGCACAATAAGGAAGGTTTTTGTGACTTTGTGAAGATGCAAACTCCTTGTCTGAATCAACAATAGCACTAGACTGAATTCCTGCGGGCCAAATTAGACAGGAGTGCAAATGGAGCTCCAACCTTGCATTTCTGTATTTTGGAGACTGATGAGGGGGGAAGAGAAGCACTTGTAGGCTGAAATCACTGGGCAGGAGGCAGCTGCTTAACCCTTTCGGCATCTCTCAATTCCCTCCTGCAAATGAGACCCTGGCAGCTTAAACAAAAAGCAACCAAGTTGCAGAATCATAAATGGGCCCAGCAATATAAAAGGGGCAGATTTGCAGGGGAGAACCAGTGGGCGTTGCAGGGTTTAAGAACCCATTCGAGTTCAAACTTTGCCACCAAATCCCGGTTCTGGAGGCAGATTGCTATGAGCCCAACGTTCTGACTCAATTCTATATTAAAATTGCTAGAGATCCCACAGACTCCATTGCCATTCTTCTTAAAAAAGTATTGCAACATGCATATTTGTGCATGGCAGGGAGAGGAAGAGGGCAAGGGCAAAACATTTGACCACACTGTCCGTTTGAGCTGGGCCACTATCTCAGACAGAAAACCAAACAAACACCTCTTGACCCTGAAGATTCTTGTATTTAAAGTACACAGGGAAATGAGATGGGACAATTCCAGCCACACGTCTCAGCGGGGAAATAAGATGGATGAAAGCATTCACAGACCACCCTGAATGTTTAAATCTTAGAGCAGGCTTTCCCCACCTGTTGCTCTCCAGGTATTTTGGGCTACAACTCCCATCAGTGCCAGCCAGGAAGGCCATGGGTCCCTGGAGATGGAGCTGTAGTTCAACAACATCTGGAGGGGACACAGCTGTGGCAGTTGTGAGACAGGCAGGGATTCCATCAACAGTGTTTCCAAAAAAAATTACACATCACTTGGGAAGACAGGCGAACTAATGCCAGTGTACTGGAAGAAGTGAAGATCACCAGTGTTGAAGCAATTACACTTCAACATCAACTTTGTTGAGTTGGTCATGTTGTGTGGATGCCTGATTATCGTCTTCCAAAGCAACTACAGTGGTACCTCGGGTTAAGAACTTAATTCATTCTGGAGGTCCGTTCTTAACCTGAAACTGTTCTTAACCTGAGGTACCACTTTAGCTAATGGGGCCTCCCGCTGCCACCACACGATTTCTGTTCTCATCCTGAAGTAAAGTTCTTAACCCGCGGTACTATTTCTGGGTTAGCGGAGTCTGTAACCTGAAGTGTCTGTTCCCCGAGGTACCACTGTCCTCTATTCTGAACAATGGTAAGCGTAATGCTGGTGGTCAACAAAAGAGGTTCAAAGACTCTCTCAAGGCAAATCTTTAAAAATGTGGTATAAACACTGACAACTGGGAAAGACTGGCCTGCGAGCGCTCCAATCGGAGAACAGCCTTTACCAAAGGTGTCATGGGCTTTGAAGATGCTTGAACTCAAGACACAAGGGAGAAACGTGCTAAGAGGAAGGCACGTTTGGCAAACTCTCACCATGATCAACTTCCACCTGGAAACCTATGTCCCCACTGTGGAAGGAAGTGTGGATCCAGAACTGGCCTCCACAGTCACCTACAGACTCATTGTTAAAACCGTGTTTATGGAAGACAATCTTACTCGGCTACGAGTGATCGCCAAAGAAGACAGAAGACAGGTGGGGAGGTGGAAAAGCAAGAACTGATGACCTGGACCCATATGGCCAACATGTCCTAGTTGTTTTCCCCAAAGCCTTTCTCTCTAAAGCCTGGGACCCTAGAGAGACGCAACCAATCAGAGCAAGCCACTGGGCTAGATTGACAAGTGGTCTGAGTCCATCCTAGGCAGCTTCTTATCTTCACAGGACCAGAGAGTGAGAAACCTCCCTGCTGCCTTCAGAATCAAGATCTTACCTTTGCGGAGGCAGCTTGGGCTTCAAGTTCTTCTCATACTCTTCGGTCAAACAGATCCCTGAGACTTTGGCTGGAGAAATCAGCTGGCGAGACAGAAGGCGCTTGGGCGAGAGATTTTCTACAGGAAGGAGAGAAGCAGAAGGTTGCGTAAGAATTCCACAGACTGAACAGAAGCAGCTCGTGAAAAATTAGCTGTGAAAAGTGCAAATGGGGGGGGGGCGGAGATTAAGCGACTGCACCATTCTATCGCAATCATGTGAAAACCCTACTCAACCATGGATGAAAAATGCAAACACGCACACACATACGACAAGCAAATGTGTGTAGTTTTACTTTCCCCGCAAATGTCCCATTTAAAAACCAACCAAGTCCTGTAAGCTCTTCAGTTTATCTTGCTTACTGGTAAATAAAATTTGAAGGAGAGGAAAAAACCTAAGGGGGAAATATTTTCTCTATCAACAAGGGAGGAGATTCAGTTGCAGAACAACATTTGTTGGAGCACCTGACAACAAGGGGAGGAGGTGGGACAGAGACATATCTTTGCCATTCTGTAGTGACTACGGCTGTAAATTATTTTTGCAAGCTGCCTTAGAAACTTTGGTTAGTAGGCGGGGTGTAAATATTCCTGAACAAATAAATAAATAGAGGGGAATGGTGTCGTCTCCCCACGGCCCTGCAAGATGTCAAAATTTCCAGAGCTTTTCCATCTCTGCTTGAGGTCATGTCTGAGATATGCTACGCAGCCTGTTTCCAGGACAATTTTGGACATGTCCTAGTGTGGTGCAGGAAGACAGGCACTGTAAAGACGTATCAGTCTTTATATCAGGAAATATTTCCTTACATCAGGAAATAAATGAAAATAAAATGGCTTGCGAAAGCAAAAAGCTCTTGCCCCACCTTTTTTGCTGTTTTCTTTCTCTGCCTGCTCCTTTTCCTTCCTGGTCTTCTCACCTTCTTCGGGGATGGTTCCCATCTCAACCCTACGGTGGCTGTGAGAGTGGAGATGGGGGAAATCAATCAAAACAAATAGCTTTGGGTTCCCTCTTCCACACACCCAAAAGGGGAAGTTGAATTGTGGGGAATTTATCATGGACTTGCAGAGCTGGAAGGGACCCAAGAGACCTTCTAGTCCAAACCCCTGCAAAGCAGGAACAGCAACGAAAGACTCCCCATCAGGTGATCTGCTTAGAGGCCTCCAAGAAAGGAGAGTCCATCACCTCTGGGTGAGATTTAAAGTGGTGGCACCCACCAGAGGGCCCTTTGCCAAGCGCCACCTCAAACCTGGAAGCATCCCTGATACAAAGAGATGGGCTAAGGCTGATGGGGACAGAGTTATAAGGATCTCAAGCAACAGGTCTGGAGCCCTCACCTGAGACTCTGGAGAGCTGCTGGCAGCCAGAGTAGACAATATTGAGCTAGATGGTCCAATAGTTTAGCAATGTATGTGGAACTAAGTAAGAGGGTTAGGGTAGCGGACAGGGAGAGAAACTTAGTAACACAGAAGGAAGACGCAGATTGGAATAATGGAACTGTAGAGTGGAAAGGGACCCAGCGGTCATCTAGTCCAACCCTCTTCAATGTAGGAATCTTAAGACCCCCGTCCAATTTGAAACCATACCAGACCCTGCTTAGCTTTGCAAATGTGCTAGCAATTTTATGGCTGCACCGATTCTCCAGTTTTAACCATTCATGCTATGTTATAAATAGTTCTAGTCACTGCCTCCCTTGCATTCACGTACCTGTGGTTTATTTATTTTGGCTCCTATTCTATGTTTGCATCTGTTCGTCATTCGTCAAATCTACTCTAATTGAAAAGTAAAATGATACAGCCCGAGACAGTCGGAGGGGCTTGTAATCATTATCCACCCAACAGTTAAGTAAAGGGTAAAGGGACCCCTGACCATTAGGTCCAGTCGTGGCTGACTCTGGGGTTGCGGTGCTCATCTCGCTTTATTGGCCGAGGGAGCCGGCGTACAGCTTCCGGGTCATATGGCCAGTATGACTAAGCCGCTTCTGGCAAACCAGAGCAGCACACGGAAACGCCATTTACCTTCCCGCCGGAGTAGTACCTATTTATCTACTTGCACTTTGACGGGCTTTCGAACTGCTAGGTTGGCAGGAGCAGGGACCAAGCAACGGGAGCTCACCCCATCACGGGGATTCGAACCACCGACCTTCTGATCGGCAAGTCCTAGGCTCTGTGGTTTAATCCACAGCGCCACCCGTGTCCCTTCACCCAACAGTTATTCAACTGCAATTCTCAGAAAACTGGTATTCGGAGGAATAACATTTCTGATGGCAGAGGCAGAACACAGCCATCGTGGCTTGCAGACACTCTTCCCCAGAAGCCAGACCATCTAGTAGTCTGGGAGCAACCGTGTTTTGAACTACTTGCAATTTCCATCCCATCTCAAAAAGATCAAAACTGTTTCGCAGTCACCTTAGGAGAGAGACAGGTGAAATCTATGTGCAGATCAGGTGAGCCTACCCACCTTGGAAACAAAACCACGTTACCGGTGCATGAATGTGGAAGAGCGGTTTCTTTGGCTGACAACACTGAGTCCCCTGTGCCTGGCCTCTATAATGAAAAAAGGGGTGGTGGTTCATATATATATTTTTATACACTGCTTGACTGTAAAAGAAAAACAAGTTAACTCAAAGCGGATTACAAAGAGAATAAAACAATACGACTGTCGGTAAAAGAGCAGAAAGCAACTATTTAAAACCTTTTTGAAAATTAAATCGGCAAAACTAAAAACAGGTTTGAACGCACATCAACATTCGGCTCATCTGGGTAACCTTGTCTAAACAAAAATGGTTTTAGCGGGTGCTGGAAAATAGGCAGGGAGTTCTGAAGTCTAGGTGCTGCTACACTAAAAGATCGATTTCGTACAAATGTGGAACAGGTATTGTGTGGTACCTGTAGCAGGGCCAGTTCCGCAGATCAAAGCACTCAGGTGAGCACATTTGGGGCAAGATGATCTTGCAAGTAAACTGGTCCCAAGTTGTTAAGGGCTTTGTATACTAATAACACCACCTTGAATTTGGCTTGGTGGCAAACTGGCAACCAGTGTAGACCTCTGAGCACAGGTGTCCTATGCTGGCAAGGCCTCGTTCCTACTAGCAATTCTGCTGCAGCATCCTGCCCTGTCTGTAGCTTCTGGATCAAGTGGAAGGGAAGCCCCATGTAGAGCACATTGCAGTCATCCACTCTTGAAGGAACCATGAGCAGCACATCTTTAAACTATGGAACCTGATCTCACAGAAGGTGGTGAAGGCCACCAAATTGAACAGCTTTCGAGGAGGATTAGACAAATTCATGGAGGGAGGGTTATCTATGGCTCCTAGCCCTGATAGCTGTGCTTCCACAGTTGGAGGCAGCACAGCTGCTGGAAACCACAAGTGGGAAGAGGGCTCTGGTGCTCGAATCCTGCTTGCAGATTACCCAGGGTTGGCCACTGTGAGAACAGGATGCTGGACTAGATGGGCCATTGGCCTGAGCCAGCAGGCTCTCTTTATGTTCTTAGGAGGAGCAGGTGGCGCTGTGGTCTAAATCACTGAGCCTCTTGGGCTTGCCGATCAGAAGGTCAGTGGTTCGAATCCCTGCAATGGAGTAAGCCCCCATTACTCTGTCCCTGCTCCTGCCCACCTAGCAGTTTGAAAGCACACCAGTGCAAGTAAATAAATAGGTACCGTTCCGGCAGGAAGGTGAACAGTGTTTCCATGCGCTCTGGTTTCCATCACGGTGTCCCATTGTTTAAGTCATGATGGCCACATGACCCAGAAAGCTGTCTGTGGACAAACACCGGCTCCCTCAGCCTGAAAGCAAGATGAACGCCGCAACCTCATAGTCGCCTTTGACTGGACTTAATTGTCCAGGGGTCCTTTGCCTTTATACATACATCCAACTAATGTACTTATTGTTGCATCAACAATACAAATCATACAAGAATCATAGAAACAGAGTTGGAAGAGACCCTCTGGATCATCTAGTCCAGGAATATGCAGCTGTCCCATATGGGGATTGAACCTGCAACCTTGGCATTATCAGCAGGTAAAGGACCCCTGGAGGGTTAAGTCCAGTCAAAAGCAACTATGGGGTTGCAGTGCTCATCTCACTTTCGGGCTGAGGGAGCCAGTGTTTGTTCACAGACAGCTTTCCGGGTCATGTGGATGGCATGACTAAACCGCTTCTGGCGCAACGGAACACCGTGACGGAAACCAGAGCACACGGAAACACTGTTTACCTTCCTGCCACAGTTGTACCTATTTATCTACTTGTACTGGTGTGCTTTTGAACTTCTAGGTTGGCAGGAGCTGGGGCAGAGCAATGGGAGCTCACTCCATTGTGGGGTTTCGAACCACCAACCTTCCGATCGGCAAGCCCAAGGGGCTCAGTGGTTTAGACCACAGTGCCACTCGTGTCCTCCTTGTGCTATCAGCACCACACTCTAAACAATGAAACTGCCTCAAATGCAATAATTATTTATTATTACGACAGGTGAAATATCAGACCGGAATGATATCCAGGCCCAGAAGGAAACGATGAGCAACGTACGTTTGTAAGCGCCTTCAGGAGATTCCCACTCCCATCCATGGCACGAAGGAAGTCTTTGTAAAACTTCATTTTCACCCTGTTGTCCCGGATCACCAGCACACCGATCCCTTTGAAGGTGAACTCGACCGTCTGCTTGGTGGCGATGGAGCGCGAGAAGGACAGCAGCGTCTCTCGGACACATCCTTCCACGGTCTCCCTGTTGAAAGGACCCTCCAGGGATAACACTATGAAATTTAGCGGAACAATTGGGATATCACCTAGGGGAGGGCAGCAGGAAAAGAATCGGTGAAGAGAGAAATCATCTGAACAGGAAGCAAGACTATGTCCATCCCAAGGGGCATTTGCCAGTGGTGGGCGGGGCGAGGGGCAAAAGTAGGCGGAGCAACAAATGTAAATTTTACCTTTGTACAAGAGGCTAGTTTTTTATATATACCTCTCTTTCCTCCGTTCAGACAAGTGAGAGGCACTGTACACTCAAAGTGTGAAACAAGGGCCAGTGAGGAGAGTGTGGGGCCTGGGGATAGTTCTGAGGGCCAAAGAGAAAGGCCTGAAGGGCCACATTTGAATCCCTAACTCTGCAATGCATCTTATGAGTAAAATGTTAGAACACTAATAGCTTGTTCATACATTTCTCCCAGTAGGAAACTTTTTTTCTCCCTCATCTTGGACCGTTGGTGGAGAAGAGAGGCGTGGCCTCCAGGCCTCTCCACCTGGCCCTTTTGATTCATAGGCCATGCCCCCTTCACAGGCCACACCTCTCACTGGCCTTGCCCCACACCTTCCTGAAGTACTTTTCCCTTGCTGGAATGTGTCCCTGAACCGCAATGGTGGTACATCTTCCTTACCTGAAACATGAAGCCCAATATTTTTGCAGCCTACTGTACAAAGGTTATACCTCTTCCCATCTCCACTTTTGCCCCTGGCGCCAATCACCACTGGCATACGCTGACCCTTCACTCTACTCTCCCCTCCCCATAACAAAAATCTAATTGTAAAACTGTTCTGGGTACTGTGCTCACCTGTGTTGGTGATGGCACTAGTGCTAGCCAATAGGTGCTCACCACAACCAGCTTTTCCCTGGCTCAAGCCATGAACTATGGAATAAAACTGTCCTGTGTTCCTAGGGCAAAAACTAGTTTCTGCTTCCCATTCTTTCCATAACTCTGCTGCCATCCTCAGCGCTGCTGCATTTTCGCTCCGTAATACCATGTGTTATGTTGGTTGCATAGCTTGGTTGCACACCGCAAAATGTACACTGCACACACGGGCTTGGAGGAAAGCACACACCACAACCCCATTTCTTACCGGGAGTGTGTATTTTGTTAAACTTCAGCCCATGGATCTGCGCAAGTTTCTCAGACAGAAGGAACACAGGCCGCTGTATGAGGATGTATTTGTTATTACCGACTTCAAGCTTCTGTCTCAAGAAGGAGAACGTCCCCAACCCTGGTATTAAAACACCCTGGAAAAAGAAGGCACAGCTGGACTACTGTAATGGTTTAGAACATGAGCTATGAAGTCACCAGTTCAAATTTTAGGTCGGATCAAACATTAGGCAAGCCATACCCCACACCCACGGAACGTGGGTGGTGCTGTGGGTTAAACCACAGAACCTAGGACTTGCCGAGCAGAAGGTCGGTGGTTTGAATCCCCGCAACAGGGTGAGCTCCCGTTGCTCGGTCCCACCTCCTGCCAACCTAGCAGTTCAAAAGCAAGTCAAAGTGCAAGTAGATAAATAGGTACCACTCCGGCGGGAAAGTAAACGGTGTTTCCGTGGCTGCTCTGGTTCGCCAGCAGCTGCTTAGACATGCTGGCCACATGACCCGGAAGCTGTACACCAGCTCCCTCGGCCAATAAAGCGAGATGAGCGCCGCAACCCCAGAGTCGGTCACAACTGGGCTTAATGGTCAGGGGTCCCTTTACCTTTACCCCACACCCACAAATTTGGAAAAAGACCTTAGCTGATTGGGAGAACTGCTTAGCATTCAGAAGGTTCTTGGTTCAATCCTTGACATTTCTAGATGGCAACTTTGAGAGTTGTTGCGAGTCAGTGTAGATAGCGCTGAGAACTAGATGGGCTCACCTTATAGGATTGTTGGAAGGGTTCTGGGCATGAAAGCCCAGTTTGCACCATCAAATCACAATATGCATGGGCTTTGTACACCCAAATGCAACCCTTCTGCTCCTCCCTTTGCTTGAGTATTAACCATAACTTCCCATCAGGTGAAAACCAGGAAACTATGGTTAGCGGCTTCCAAACAAGCCAGGATATGAAGCCATGGTTTCAAGTGCATTTCTGAACCCAACAAGATTGGAAGCCATTTCTTCTGTTCTGGCACCTCTCAGGTGGCCGCCATTGCCATTCTGAGACAACAAGGGAGGTGCTTATTGTAATTCCCCAAACCTATTTTTCCAGAAAATAGCACTGCCTCCATGAGGGATTAACCTTCTGTGAGCATGTTCACACCAAACATCAGCAAAAAAGGAGAATTTATCTGCATGGACTCTGGCTGCTTTGACCAGAATGCACAAATGCCCAAATCTTTCAAAACAGGCATTTAAGCAAAGGAACAAACAATTCCCACCTTATTCATGGAAAGTTGCTTTTCAACAAACTCCGAAACAGTACCCCAAATACCAAGAATATCTGAAATGCAAAGAAATACAGAGTTATCCTTTTTAGACTTTTTTTTATTCAAAATTATAACAAGACATATTATTTAAAAACATATCATCCTTGTTTTTTCCCCTATTTTTCCTCCCTCCCCCCCTCCCACACAAAACCCACCCACGCCCACCCCACCCCCCGACTTCCCTCAGTTCCAGTCTTTGGTTTCTCTAAGAATGCTGTTTTCTGCATGTTACAAAATTGTATAGATCCTCAAACTATTTAACTGATTATTATCAATAAAAAGTTTGTGAATGTTTATTCAAAACCTGCCAAGGAGTCCAGTTCGCTTTGTTGCGTCTACAGATACTTTGTAAAGGGTTCCCATTCATCCTTAAAGTCACAGTTATCTTTGTCCCGTAGCTTATATGTCAGTTTTGCCAGTTCTGCATAGTCCATCATTTTTTTCTTGCCATGATTCTTTAGTTGGGGTTTCTTCAGGCTTCCATCCTTGTGCTACCAGAAGTCTCACGGCCGTTGTCGCATACAGTTATCCTGTGTTGTGTTAATACCCTTGTCCCATAAAGCGAAAGCGAAGGAAGGAAGGAACCACAGGCTACGGGGCATTTGTATCTGGAATAGCCAACGTGTTGCCCTCAAGGGATGTTTGGGATATAACTCCCATCACTCCTTACTATAGTGGCTCCTCGCTTTTCCAGACAGTAAGAAGCCAATTCCACTTCCCTTTTGCAACTAATATTAGACTGATATGTCAGCAACAGAAGGGAACACTGAGCTACCGCAACAACTCTCTTGCCTTGAATGGAGCCGGCAATTTTGCAGAGGAATACTTTAAATGTGGTGCTGCAAAAGGCCCTTACCGAGATTTCTCAAACCATGTTATAGGCAACTGAATTCAGGGCACTGCATCAACGTCGAGGGCCGACTCCCTATATGTCATGCCAACAAAGGTCCGTATAGTAAAAGCTATGGTTTTCCTAATAGTGATGTATGGAAGTGAGAGCTGGACCATCAAGAAGGCTGATCGCCGAAGAATTGATGCTTTTGAATTATGGTGCTGGAGGAGACTCTTGAGAGTCCCATGGACTGCAAGAAGATCAAACCTATCCATTCTGAAGGAAATCAGCCCTGAGTACTCACTGGAAGGACAGATCCTGAAGCTGAGACTCCAATACTTTAGCCACCTCGTGAGAAGAGAAGACTCCCTGGAAAAGACCCTGATGTTGGGAAAGATGGAGGGCACAAGGAGAAGGGGACGACAGAGGAAGAGATGGTTGGGCAGTGTTCTCGAAGCTACCAGCATGAGTTTGACCAAACTGCGGGAGGCAGTGGAAGACAGGAGTGCCTGGCGTGCTCTGGTCCATGGGGTCACGAAGAGTCGGACATGACTAAACGACTAAACAACAACAGCAAAAATGTATAGGGGAACAGCACCAAGCTGTCGGATGACACCTGGAAACCAATGTGGGCCAAGTGATGGGGCCAGACCTACACATAAACATGCCTGCTTAATACATACACAAGCTGCATACACACCATTCATTTAAAGTGCATTAATTCCCCCAAGGAATCCTGGGAATTGTAGTTTGTTCAGGTTTGTTTAGCATGCAAAAGGTCTCAGGTTCAATCCCCAGCTTCTCCACCTAGCGCTGGGAGAGTTCCCTTCCTTGAAACCCTATTGAGCTGCTGCCAGTCAGTGCATGCAATACTAAGCTACATGGGTCAGTGGTCAAACTCAGTATAAAGCAGCTTCCTATCTTCCTAGCTGATCTCAAGTATTATGGGGAAATGGAGGTTGTGAAGGGGATGGGGAGTCAGGTAAGATAAGGGCATAGCCTTAAATGGAGTCAAACAAGTGGTCCATCTAGCTTAGTGCTCTTTACAGGGTAGACTCTGGCTGGCAGCCGTTCTGCAGGCTTTCAGGCAGGAGACACTTCCAGCCCCCAGAGACTGAATCTGGAGATTAAATCTGGTGGAACTGTAAAGGGGTAAAAGCGTATTGGGAAATAATCCATCATGAATTGAAAAAAAATGTTTAAAGGTACTTTCTCCCAAAAAACCAGAGTCCTTTTTGTTGGGGATAATTCAGATGGAAATTCCCAGGTGTCAAAAAAGGTTATTTATGTATGCTGCTACTGTGGCCCGCATTTTGTTAGCCCAAAAATGGAAAAAAGCGATGTCCCAACTAAAGAATAATGGCAACTTAATCTGATGGAATATGTGCAGCTAAACATATCGAAAAAGAGAACAAGAAGAACATGCATTTGGAGAAGTTTGGAAAATGTCTATTGAGTATATGGGGGAGAATTGTGTACACTTGAAAACGCTGGTAGCATTAAGATAAATTCAACAGTGCAAATAAGTTTTTATGGATGCAATGATGGAATACTGAATGGTTCAGTTTACATAATATATGTAGGGATTCATGGTATGCAGAAGATGTTTTAGAAGCATGTTTAAATGAGTATTCAAAATTGTAAAACAGAGAGAGAGAGAGAGTAAACAAAAAGTTAACTAAAAGTTAAACGGATTAAAATTTCCTCAACTTTCTAAGCACCTGGGTAGGCAAGAATGTTTTTAGCAGGTGCTGAAAAAAGTACACAGAATGTGCCTTGCTTGATCTCAATAGGCAGGGAGTTCCACAGACTTCTTGGAATCTCATTTTCCAGATGTTGCAATAGGATAACTTTTGTGTAGATTTAAGAACAAGAAGTATTAGATATTCACATAGACTAAAATTGGTTTGCAATGTAATTTCAAGTCTATTATATTAGCCTTTTTGGCTTGCTGGATGCCACTGGTTTCTTCTTTCCAGTCGTATATGTATATGTATATGTATATGTATATGTATATGTATATGTATATGTATATCTATATCTATATCTATATCTATATCTATATCTATATCTATATCATCTAGGATTCTCTTGCATGCAACAACAGATGCTTTCCCAGGTACAGTCATTCATAAAAGCAATTTGCACTGCAGAATATTAGCCTTGTGGTTCATTCAGGAGGCTGAACTGTAAAAACCCAGCGGGGAAACAGAGCTTACCTTCTGTCGTGAGCTTGGGAAGTGTAAGGAAGACGTTCCTCCCGCCCTCCAAGATCGTGGCATGGATGGTGTCCAGCATTTTCGAATCCTCTTTCTCACTTTTCTGCCTTTACCAAAGGAGGAGAGAGAGAAAAAGAAAGACCAAGCAGAAAGTCAGGTAGACTGGGCTGGTTTTTGGAGGTTTTCCCTGGGTGTGGGGGCGGCGGCCGTCACATAGCTCCTTCTCACTCCCTTTTACGCGCTCCAGCCTTCAAAGCGCTGCCCATTTCCCCTCCTCTCCCCTTTTCCTCCTCCGCATCAGTGCAAAAGCAAACCGATTTCTTGAGAAATCGATGGCAGAAAGGGGGAAATTCGCCTGGGCGCACAGCGGCGCCTCCACAATGCAGGATGGAGGGGGCGGGGCCATGAATGGAAGGGGCGGGGCCGTCGCTAGGACGCAGGTTCCCGGTTGCTAAGGGAGACGTCACAATAAAGGCTCTCCGCCCCGGGCGGTGCTTAGCAAATTAGGCACCAAGTCCTTGCAGGCTGTGATGGTGCAACAAAATCACTGGTTGTTTTAGTACAGTACCATCTATTTTATTTTATTTTACTTTATCATAAAATTCATACACCGCTTGATGGTTGGAGAAAAGGGAAAAACGCTCAGAGTGGTTCACAGAAAGAGAAAAATTAAATGGAGAAAGATTCGCGACTTTTAAAATATGCAAAAGTTAAACTGATTAAAATTTCCTCAACTTTCTAAGCACCTGGGTAGGCAAGAATGTTTTTAGCAGGTGCTAAAAAGAGTACAGGGAAGGTGCCTTGCTTGATTTCAATAGGCAGGGAGTTCCACAGACTCCTTGGAATCTCATTTTCCAGATGTTGCAATAGGATAATTTTTGTGTAGATTTAAGAACAAGAAGTATTAGACGCTCATATGGACTAAAATTGGTTTGCAACGTAATTTCATGTCTGTTATATTAGCCTTTTTGTCTTGCTCGATGCCACTGGTTTCTTCTTTCCAGTCATATCCATGTACTATGAATGGCATGTATTTGTATTTTAAGTACATTTTTAATAGATTGGATCAGTTAAGGTTTAATATTTATATGAAAATAATACTCAAAGCAGCTTACAAATATTTTGATTTTACAGATGAAATGCATGTTTAAAAAAATAATAATCTATTGTTGCCAAGATGATTCCAGAGTAACAGACGTGGCAGTTCTTACTGAATTAACCTCTGCTGGTACAAAGTATGGGTGCTTTTGAGTAACACTGAATTGCATCTATGGAAAAATTTTTGTTATTAAGAGCTGTGTATTCCTCAAATGTTCATAATACTACATCAGTATAAATAGGGCCTCTTTAAAAATAAAACACGCTTGCCTATCTTTATTCACCCACGTATGTTTCCTCTATGAAGTGGGAGTGTCTGAAGTGGTACCAAAACAAGATTTGTTTCTTTTTAAAAAACACTTTATGGAAAATATTTGTTTTTCCTAATACTGTACATACTGAAGAAGGTAAAGAGAAAAAGGCAAAATAAATCAGACCACTGCATAGCTGTAGAAAAGCAAGAGAAACAAATTACACCCAGTTTGAAATCCTACATCAGAAATCACATCCTAATGTTATAAATAATATAAACCTGCCTTACTTCTGGTTATTTAATAACGAAATATAGAAAAGGCATTGACAGCAATTTCTTCAGAAAATGAAGTATTGGACCCTGGTTTAAAATAGATGCTGGTAATAAAGTAGTAATAAAATAAATTCATTTTACTCAGTCCCTTTTGGCGAAACCATCATGAGAGCAAAAAGAAGTCTTCTTCTTAAAGCAACAACACCCTAAGACTGAAAGAAAGCATGGATTTGAGAGATGCCTTAAATATTTAACACAAGCACATATGTAAAGCCTGGAGGCTTTATGTACTCCCAAGTAACACTCGGCATCTGAAATAACATTTTAGGCAGACTTATCCACAGTAAAAAATATATACCGTATTTTTCGCTCTATAACACGCACCCAACCATAACACGCACGTAGTTTTTAGAGGAGGAAAATCCGTAGGCATGCCACCCACACGCATTCCCTCCATAACACGCACAGACATTTCCCCTTACTTTCTAGGAGGAAAAAAGTGAGTGTTATGGTGCAAAAAATACGGTAGATGGAAATGTGTGCAAAACAAGCTAGGGAGGATGGCTGAGAAGTCCGACTGGAACAGAAACAATGCAAGAATGCAAGGTCCATGAATAAGAGAAATTATCAGGTTAGTTGTTCTCAATCCCCCCCCACCCCCGCATGGGCCACTTGAAAACTGGTGAGACAGATCACTTAAGCAACGATTCTGCCTGCTGCAGCAATCATACTGTGCTGTGCTAAGTGCTGCATGGTTTTTAACTGTATTTTTATTGCTCCTTTTATTTCTTATATAATGTATTTTAAATACAGTGGTACCTCGGGTTAAGTACTTAATTCGTTCCGGGGGTTCGTACTTAACCTGAAACTGTACTTAACCTGAAGCACCACTTTAGCTAACGGGGCCTCCTGCTGCTGCTGCCGCGCCGCCAGAGCACCATTTCTGTTCTCATCCTGAAGCAAAGTTCTTAACCTGAAGCACTATTTCTAGTTTAGCGGAGTTTGTAACCTGAAGCGTATGTAACCCGAGGTACCACTGTACACCCTGTGGAAGATATACAAGAAACGAAAGAAGCAGTAGCACATTGGATTAAAAACCAAGATGGATCTTTAATGTGTCATCTGTCTTCTTCAACCACAAATCCGCAGACACTCCCTGGACAACTGGAATGAAGCTCATGGATCAGAGTTTGGCAACCCACTGGCTGACAGGTTCAGCAGGATCTGCAATGGCAACACCTTGCAACAGCTGTTTTGGCAACCCTTCTTAAACAGGAAATTGTACCACTGACAGATCCTCTTCTCGCCAGACAACCTTGCCAAGATAGGTCACCAGTAGCTATGTGACCAGTTTCTCAGACAACTATGTTTGGATGAACTCTGGGCCTAGGGAAGTTATTAGTTGTGAACCCCAGCAGGTAAATGTTGATTTAAAGCAGAGACTCGTGCCCAGCGGAAGGATGAGGAATACGTGCTGCATACTCTATATTGCTTTATTTACAGTTCGAAGCAGGTATATTACAGAAAGACATCTTGCCTCTGCAGGAGCAGAAAAATGCATCCTCTCTCCTCGACAGCTCGGAGAGAATCACACAGTGAAAAACAGGAAACCAGTGTACGTCACATCCAGCCTCCCTTTCCCGTGAGAAACTCCAACAGTACAGACTGTGGAATGTAACACCTGTCTCGTGACATGCTAGCTGCACAGTGAAGGAAAGCAGAAACCAACATCCTCCCCCTTTCTGTGAACATCACTGGGCAGCGTGTTCGTACAGTATCAGTACAAACCCAACTTCTGCACATAGGTACAGTGTTGATCCCTCGATACAATCTTGGACAATACATCAGCAGGAATTTCATTACCTGGCATATAGGACACCGTTACGAGTCCCTTCTGAATACATTCCCTAGCATGCTGCAACTTTAATTGCAAGTGCTTTGTGCTTTACTTACAACCTTCAGACTTCAGCAAAGCCAAACATGCTTTGTTGTCCTGGTAAACCTGGATTGGACATTTGACAGGAATTTTCATATCTTTGCACAATTGTACTAACCATTCACAATCCTTAAGTGAATAAGACAGAGCATTCAGTTCGGCTTCACAAGTACTTAAGCTAACTGTTGTTTGCTTCTTGCATGACCAATCAAAAAGACCCTGATTGTACATGTAGCAAACTCCAGACGTACTTTTCCTGTCTGTAGCGTCACTTCCAAAACTTGCATCTGCAAATATCTCAAGACCACCAGACTTCTGATTGTTAAATCTCAGTCTGTAATGCATAGTGCCTTTCAAATACCGCGCTATGCGTTTCAGAGCTTTCCAATCCTTGACACTAGGATTGTTGACTTGTCTGCTTAGCAAATTACAGCTAACAGCAATGTCTGGTCTTGAACATCTGGCAATGAAGTTTAGCTTGCCTAGCACACTCCTGTACAGTGTAGTGTCAGAAAATGCTTCTTCAGTGTCATCTACCTGATAACCTGTTGTCATCGGTGTGTCTACAGGGATAGCATCCACCAGAAATATTTTGCTAAACACATCAGCAATTTTCCGTGACTGGTGTACTAGAATGTTACCATCTTGATCTCTCTCTATTTCCAGAGATAGGTAGTTGTTTACCTCACCAAGATCTTTCATGTCAAAGTGCTCTTTCAGTTGAGCTAGGGCGCTATTGTACATTGCGACATCTTTCCAAAAGAATAATAAATCATCAACATAAAACAAACAGTACAGTTTCTTTTGCCCCTCCTCTTTGACAAATACACATGGATCAGCTTTCCCTTGCTGAAAACCTAGAGAAAATAATACTTCAGTGAGTTTTGTGTGCCAACACCGTGCACTTTGTTTGAGACCATAAAGGGATTTCTTCAGAGCACAAACAAATCCCTGTTTTACCTGTACGCCATCAGGTGGAAGCATATAAAGTGATTCATCTAGAGATCCGTACAGAAAAGCTGTATTAATATCATGGTGACTAATGTGTAGATTTTCCTCTGCAGCTAGCTTGAGCATAAGCCTAATGCTTTCATATCTCACTGTGGGTGAATAGGTCTCGTGATAGTCTTCACCTGGTACCTGTGCAAAACCTCTGGCTACCAATCTGGCTTTGTGTCTGACTATCTTGCCATTTTGATCTGTCTTCGCTTTGAAGACCCATTTGCTCCAAGCAGTTTCATTCCTGGAACTACTGGAACTAGCTCCCATGTTTTGTTCCTTTCTAAGGAATCAAGCTCAGCCTTCATGGCATTTAACCATGGCTCAGCTTCCTTTGAATCCAAACCCTGGATTTCTTGGAAACTTGAAGGTTCAAATACCTTCTTGGAGCTTTTAACAGCTGTTACTGCTATCTTAGCAAACTCATCAGCAAATCTCTTTGGAGGTTTGCCTTTTGTGGCTCTCTGTGACCTACGAATTAGCCTTAAGTCTTCAACACTCTCCTCTTCCTTCTTAGGAGAAAAACGACCTATTGTGAACAATGGTTCCTCCAATTCTTGATCAGAGCTTTCAGAGGGTCGCATAGAGGCTTTCGCACTCTCGAAATCCTCTGAATCACCCGATTCAGTTTCAGATTCAGACTCAGAACCTTCATCAGTGGGTGTGGGTTGTTGTTGTTGCTTTTGACTATCCTCAGTCTCATCACCGTCATCAGGATAACATTGGAAAATTCCCACATTCTCCCCCCACTTTGCATTGTACTCAACACTTCTCGTGAGCTTAATTGTTTTAGAGTCAGTCATCATTATTCTGTAAGACCCTTTCTGATAACCTAGAAAGATACCATGCAATCCACGCTTGTCTAACTTGGAGTTTTGTGGTGAGCGAACCCACATGTCAGAACCAAAAATCTTCATGTGTTTGATGTATGGCTTCTTGCCAAACATCTTCTCATAGAGGTACAACCAATCGCTGAAGATAACCTGCGGTGTAACTGTAAACAAAACACGAGAGAGATTCGGCCCAATAACTCTCTGGAAGATTGGCATCATGCAGCAAGGTTTTAACCCTTGAAGCAATGTCTGATTTGCCCGTTCCGCAAGTCCATTCTGCCATGGCGAGCGAGGACTAGACAAATCGTGTTGAATTCCTTTCTCAGTCAGAAAAGCTTCAAACTGCTGAGAAGTGAATTCCCCGCGATCACTGAAAAGAGTCTTTATCTTCTTACCATGCACATTTTCCAACCAAGCACAGAATTCCTTGAACCTAGGAAAAGCCTCCGATTTCTGCTTGAGATTGTACACAAAAATATATCTAGAAAATGCATCAATGAGAACCATGAAGTATCTATTTCCACCCAAAGAGGGCGCTAGTGGTCCAACCAAATCAGCATGAACAACCTGGTATGGTTCTGTAGCTTTCCTACTAGACACCTTACCTTTCGCAGCCATTTTCACCTTGTTTGCTGCGCATGCTTTGCACTTCATGTGGTACCTGCAGGGTTTAATAGTCATACCTTCAACCAAGGCAGGCATTTTAGATACTGCCTCAAAATGCTAATGACCAAATTTTCGATGAAAATCGTGAATACATTCTGCATGCAAACTTTTGTTAGAACCTGCAATGCAACAAGTGTCATCCTGCACCACATCATCATAATACAAAACAAACAAACGATCAACATATTCTGCATGCAATACATAATCATTTTTCTTTGTGATGATGCACTTCTTGTTCTTGAAGGAAACGTCAATGTTCCGCTCATTCAGCTGTCCAACGCTGAGCAGATTATGTTTGGCGTCTGGCACGTAAAGCACATTCTGTATCGATAAGTCCAAACTGTGAAGAACAACAGTTCCGTAGCCTTTACTGGGAATAGTGTGGTCATCCGCCTGGTGAATCGCACCTTCCTGCGGTGTAAAAGACACAAACAGTCTCTTATCGTTGCACATGTGGTGGGTGGCCGCTGAATCAACAACGAAGAAAGATCTAGACGTCTTCTGGACCTCTGCAACCTTTGGAGTGAAGCGTGAAACCATAGCCTTGTGCTGCGTTGTCCTAGACACCGGACCTTTGCCTTTGCCTCGGCCTTTTCCGCGCGATGAGCTTTCGCTGCGCTGCTCTGTCTTGGCCCTGGGATGTCTGCATTCCCTCTTCATATGGCCTAGACGTCCACACGAGTAGCATTTCACTGCCTTCAAAGCTTTGGCGCCATCTGGTGGTTCCACTGCACTATGGGATGACGTCTGCGAAGACTCCCCCTTGCCCATGCAGCTAGCACCCCGGCGATCTGCTTCATTTAAAATTACGGCAGTAACAAAGTCCACTGTCAGCTGAGCAGTTGGTTGCACAGCAATCTGGGTTGCAACAGACTCCCAACCTGAACCCAAAGATTGTAGTATCATGAAAGAATACACAGCCTCTGGAAAGTTGAGTCCTCTCTGTTGCAGCTCATGTCTCAGATTTTGCATCTCCATCAGATGTAAACGCACATCTCCACCTTCAGCAAGAGCCATATTATGCAGCTTGTTAAAGTAAAACATAGTGGATCCAGCTTCTGTCCTTAAGTGAGCCTCTCTCAAAGCGTCCCAAATTTCTCTGGCTGAGGTCTTATCACGCAATAGACAGAGCTCTTCTGGGGATACTATCAATGTAAGAGTTCCCCTTGCTTTGGAATCCTTAGCTTTCCATGCATCTGTAACTGGAACTGGGGGTTTCTGTAATCACCTCAAACAAACCCTCTTTCCGCAGAATTGCCTCTGCATACTGAACCCAGTCGCTGTAATTTTTCTTGTTGAGCTTAGGAATCCCACAAGCATCCTGAAGGGCCATCATGACTCTGGCATTAGCCTTCAGCGTCATATGCTGCTTTAAATCCTGCTGCGTCACTGCTGCAGCTGCTTTATTACAAAAGCGCACTAAAAGTTACTTTCGATTTCCCCAGCATAGTAACTTGTGCCTGGGAGCCTTTTGCCTATTCCCGGCAAAACCGGCTTTAAAAGTTCAAAGTCCAGCCATAAAGCCATTAACTTGAAGCTGGCAGGCTGCCCGGAGCAGTAGCACATACCTCATCAATCACCTCTACGCGCAGAGCAGATTCCTTTCCGATCCGTCCCTCTGCATTCCGATCCTCTGCCGGCACTCTGATTCGACTTCTGGGCCCATAACCACGTGTTGATTTAAAGCAGAGACTCGTGCCCAGCGGAAGGATGAGGAATACGTGCTGCATACTCTATATTGCTTTATTTACAGTTCGAAGCAGGTATATTACAGAAAGACATCTTGCCTCTGCAGGAGCAGAAAAATGCATCCTCTCTCCTCGACAGCTCGGAGAGAAACACACAGTGAAAAACAGGAAACCAGTGTACGTCACATCCAGCCTCCCTTTCCCGTGAGAAACTCCAACAGTACAGACTGTGGAATGTAAACACCTGTCTCGTGACATGCTAGCTGCACAGTGAAGGAAAGCAGAAACCAACAGTAAATACATACAGACCAAGATATTACATAGAAAGAAATGAAGTACAGAGTTCAGACACAATATACCAGGAGCTAATCATATCTACTGGATAGCTCAGTTGGCTCGAGAGTAGTGCTGATCCCCGTATTGGAACGCTGTATATTTGGGTTGGATTAGATTATCCTCAGGGGCCCTTCCAACCCTATGCTTGTATGAATTTTTGAACTGTTCTATCTGTACTAAGACAGAATTACACTGGAAACCATTAACAGCGTATTTTCAAAGAGGCACAGGCTTCAGACCAAATTTTATTTGCAATTTGATACGCACAACAGTGCCAGAACCTAAAGCGTTAAAGAACCACCAAACAAGGACCTATTTGCTCGTTAACATGATGGAAACAGTTTCCATACAATTCATAATGAGAAGCTCCTGTTGTGGTTCCACATTTTTAACTCTAAAAAAAGAAAAACGGCAATGACTGTTTTTTAGAGCTTTAATTTGTAACAAATGCCCCATAAATATTACAAAAGCTGCCCTCCCCCAATTCTGCTCAGACTTTTAATCGACCAATCCAGATTTATTTCGTAGGCTCCATCTTTTGCATCTTTTAAGTTGTGACCAGTTGCTATAGCGCGCATTAGCGAGAACTTGGCTCCAGATTATGTTTTCCAAAACAAAGGATTCTGAGTTAATCGTCTTTGGAAATTCTCGTACCTACAAGAAGAAAAAAGATAAGCACAAATAAAGTCACATAAAAGCCGTCTTCTAGCTACTTTGCTGAGTTTTATGCTATCCTTCTCCTTTGCATGTACTGTAAAGGGAAGATCACCAGGATTTTCACTCCAACACCACTGGATCTTGAACAGTTATGCTGGCTGCAATGCAATTCCTTCAGGAATCCTAATTTGTATTTATCACAAATAATTTTTAAAACATTGTGTCCGCTTTTTGTTAAATTCCTGGTCTTGATTGCAGGTAACCAGGCTGAAGGACTATTCATAAGCCTGATCTAAATACATGAAATAGTTATACACAGTATAAATTCAACTACTACTATACTAAAAAGGTAACTCTTACAGTTAGGGATAATGTTACTACTGCACCATTAATTCAGTCCTACCAAGACCTTGTGTTGGTGAAGGAACAGTCCTCCCCCGGCAATCTCCTTACCATTTCAAAACTACATTTGCGGGAATAAAAGCTTCCGATGGGTTGGGTGTCATTTGGGCCTGCGTGACAGCGAAGGATGAAGCGAAGTTATAAAAATTGTCTAGCATCTTTTGAGTGAACTGAAATACACAACAACAAAAGCACTTTTTTTTAAAAAAAGGGATGTACATAATCATTTCAGTCAATCCTAGCTAGGTGCTCTATTTTGGCATTTAAACAATTGTTTACCAATACGATCCAAATGAAAACATATTACTATATTATGAGGAGTGCATCTCGTTACTGTACCAGAGTGATCTGCTCATTTGACTCGTGCTGCCTCAGCAAAGGCTTCAGGACAACAGGAGACTTGCTTCTGGACATGTCAGCAGGGAAACAAATGCAACCAGTTGCAAAAGCCAGGGAGGGGAGAGAGCGCTTTGGGTTAATAACTTGTTCCTCCCTAAGAGAAGTTTTATGGAATATTTTATCACTGCAGGTTGTTTTTAGGTTTGCAAGCCGCTTTGAGAAACACGAGTTGGGATGTTTCCTACAATATTTAATATTTTGTCACCTGCTGGAAACGTTTGTTTTGCCAAGCATTATAATGGAATTAATTTGATTGAGTGTTGGCCATTGCTTCTGTGTTTTATTATGTTCATTTAATTGTATACACAGTCACAATATTTTTCATGAGTTGGCAGTTTATGAACGCTTGTATAAATAAAGAAATTGAAAGAGGGGTATTAGCTGGGAAGACAGATAACAGATGAATAGGTAACTCTCTGTTCCAAGGGTTTCTAGGGAGTTGTCTGTCAGTACACAGAGTTGCCAACCACAGTACTATAATGTTTTTGCAAACTGCCACCAGTTCACAAAGTGGTAAGAGAAAGGGTAAGTTTATGTGTTCGTTTTAATCATCATATTTGAAATTATAGATTTTCTTCAGGGGTGGGGATCTCTGTATGGTCTAATTAGCCCATCTAAGGATGGCCTAGGGACACAGGTGGCGCTGTGGTCTAAACCACAGAGCCTAGGGCTTGCTGATCAGAAGGTCGGCGGTTCGAATCCCTGCAACGGAATGAGCTCCCATTGCTCAGTCCCTGCTCCTGCCAACATAGCAGTTCGAAGGCACGTCAAAGTGCAAGTAGATAAATAGGTACCGCTCTGGCAGGGAGGTAAACGCCGTTTCCGTGCGCTGCTCTGGTTCGCCAGAGGCGGCTTAGTCATGCTGGCCACATGACCCGGAAGCTGTACGCCGGCTCCCTCGACCAGTAAAGCGAGATGAGCGTCGCAACCCCAGAGTCGTCCGGGACAGGACCTAACGATCAGGGGTCCCTTTACCTTTACCTTTAATCTAAGGGTTTTTATTGTAAGGGACAAGCTAAGCCAGAAATGTTTCTACTCTACTTGGTATCTTTTCCTAAAATTACTCTGATTACACATTGCAGGCTCATGCCCCACTTAATATAACACTCTGCTGAATTATTAACATGCCTTTAAAAAGCTATTGACTATATAATCCTTTACTCAGAAGTAAATCTCACTGTGTTTAATGGGCTTAATCCCAAATCTTTTTTTTTTTCTAATAATATATCAGTGACCTAGAAAATTATCTTAGATGGAAAGCTGTTTTGGGGGCAGGACCCCAGTTTTGAGCAATTCCTTGCAGTAGCTCTTTATGCCCCATATCTCAGGAGAGAGGTACCTTCTGACATTCCCAACAGGGTTTTCAGGGACAGCTGCAAGAGAAAGGAAACTTTCCTTTTAAGGACGTCCCTTCCCTTATTATAGGATCTAGGCCAATAACCGCAGAAGAATTAGACAGATGGCCTTCTAAAAAATGTGCTTCTAAATTCTTTTAGAGAACCCTTTGCACACGGAGTCGACTGCCAAAGAACCTCCTGCATACCACAGAGCATTATGGGAAATTTTATGGGTGTAGAGTTAGTTAATGTTGGGATCACATGGAAGAGCAAACATGCTTGTTTTCTCCTGCTCTGGAGGGTAGGACTCAAACCAATGTCTTCCAAGTTACAAGAAGGGAGATTCCGGCTAAACATCAGGAAAACCTTTCTGACAGGGAAGAGCTGTTCAGCAGTGGAACAGACTCCCATGAGAGGTGGTGGACTCTCTTTCCTTGGAGGTTTTTAAGCAGAGGCTGGATGGCCATCTGCCATGGATGCTTTAGCTGAGATTCCTTGCATTGCAGGGGGTTGGATTAGATGACCCTTGGATCCCTTCCAACTCTAAGATTCTATGATTCACTATGTGAAAATGGAGGTTCTGCTCCAACATTCTGTTAAAGCTACACATCTGCAAGCAAAGATCGGTACTGAGAATCAAGCTGTCTTTCAGGGAACATTATTGCTCTTTTCACTGAGGAACTCAGAAAACAGTTTGAAAGCTGCTGCTCTGACGAGTAAGGCAATTTTTGTTAATGCCTCACTTGTCTTCATGGCATTATGTCCCATGCTCTAGGACCCATTAATGAAGAGGCTATTCCGGCAGTAACTGCTGAAATCAAAATCGCTTGCTATTCATTACCTCTGTGAATGAATTGACTGATGACACAGCGGCACTTGCTACAGGAGTTTGCTGAGCCAAGAGTTCCAGCAGCTCCACAGAAATCCCAATCTGGGCTACAGATGGCGTTTGGGGGATATTCATAGCTCCAAACGGATGATGGCTACCTTTCCCTAAAAGAGACAACATCACAAGTGGTGTAATGCATCTGGCCTGACCTCAGTAGAAGCACAGTTCTGAAAACAGCCCAGATTTACATAAGACTTCTTAAACAAAGCATCTACCTCCGTCAACAAGAAACAGAGAACACAGCCCGACAACAGAAAAGCAGTGGCGTTTTAATGCTTCAAAATCATAGTCTCTACGGTACTGACATCAATGGCTAACTTAAGTCAATTCATTTCAGTTGGTCTACTCGGAGCATGCTGTATCCAGCTAAGACATGCTCAGAGTATAAGAAGTGAAATGAATTAAGTTAGCCACTGATGTCAACACTGTAGTTCTACTTTTGAGTATCTTAGCTGCATAAAAAGGTTGCTTCAAGAAAGGACCCCTCTCTGGGAACAGAGGGCACACACCAGTTACCCCAAAGAAGACAACTAGGAGGACAGCTTGAAGCACAGTGAGTGATTCTGGGTTCTCTCTTCCTGCATCTTTCAGACCCAGAATACATGATTTTAGCGCCAGCTCTGGCAGAGTCACACAGAACAACTTTTGAGTAGGGTGAGGCAGCTTGGGTTAAGGAACTCCCCACACCCTACAGGCAAACGCTTACCTAGAAATAAAAACCAGTCACGAGCAAAGGCTGAAAGGTCAACAATACTGCCTCTACTCACTTCCACAGAATGTGAGATACAAACAAAGGGATTTTTATCTCTCTCTCTCTTCCCCTCCTGTCAGTTCTCCCCTTGAGGGCCTCAGCCAATGGCTCCCATGTATGAGCCAAGGCACAAACAAGGAACTTAGAGTCCATTTTGCTAATCACAACAGCTGGACAGAGAAGAAGGGGGTTCAAAAGCCCATTGCCTGTGCCTCAGAGAAAAGAGGTGGGACGAACAGCTATGCTGTGGACCACAAGGGAAAGTGAAGGTTGAATTGTTGCTTCTGGCTACCAGTCAGTGGCGTAGCGTGGGGGGTGCAGGGGGGGCCGGCAGCACCGGGCGTAACATCGGGGGGGGGGGGTGCGGAAGAGACTCGAGTGCTAAAATCCACGGGTTAGGGGGCGCAAATTACTTGCCTTGCCCCGGGTACTGACAACCCACGCTACGCCACTGCTACCAGTCACCTATCTCTACAGCAAACCCCTTCCCAGGCTTTAATGGTTACGTTCAATGTTCTTACCAGATTTCAGACTGGAAATTTTGAAGATGGCACTTGGTTTTTCATTTGTGACAAAGCCCAGGAGCTGCCACACTGCTATCCCATTTTCATCAGGGTAGCAGAAGTAGACAGATCCACCCATTCCCTCTGGGAAGGGAACGGTCCCCAGCATGAAGACCACCACGTGGTTGATGCTGTCATAGTCGGGCAAGTCAAACACAAACTTGTCTTCTGCCACCTGCTGTGCAACTGTTTGCACCTACAAAAGAAGAGCAGGGAATGAAGTATGGATTTGAGCCTGTAGCGGAATTAAAACTCCCTCCAGGAAAAAAGAAGAATGCATTGAAATGGAGACTGCAGAAAAAAAAAAAGCAGTGTGCCAAACAACCCTTCTCCTATCTGTTCTCTGCAGGTGAGGACCTCCTGCACATACCATCATAGCAGGAGGTCCATTATGCACAAGTTAGGAATTTCACCTTTCCGGTTATGACACCTACCCTTTGGAATTCCCTGTTAAACATTAGGCAAGGCGCTGTCTCTGCTGGCTGTTTGTAACCTACTGAAGAGCTTTCTTATTCAGCAAGCTTTTAAAGCACAGATCTTTTCCAACCTGCATCTGTACTGGAATTGTTTTTTAGATGTTTCAATTGTTTTATTGCTTGTATTTTTGTTGCCTAGGTTCCATTGAGAGTTGCTATTGTTTTTTATTTATTAAAAATACGATTTTAAATGGGGGAAAATATGCTGCCCGGTTAATTGGAAGCACATTTTTCATTGACCAAAATATTTTTACTCAGTTAATGCAATCCATTAAACACGGCAGGCCTAGTTTTGTACAACTAGTTTTAATCTGTTTTAGTCTACTGCAGTTTTAACCTGCAAATTTTAAATCACGGTCTTACTTTTTTTTAAAAAAAAAGTGCTTTCTTTGTTTTATCTCATTTGTTGACCACTGTTGAGGTTTTCCCCCTACAATCAAGCGGTATATAGTTTATACCACTATATATACTGCATGAATGTAGAGGGGGGAAATTCAAGAGGTATACAAACACACAAATACTCCATAAAATTTATATGTGCTGTGGGAAAGGGGATTATTGCTTTGCTGTTGTTCTTACTTTTACTATGCATTTTGTGGTTTTTATATTGTATTTGTGTGTGAACTGCCGTAAGATCTGTGGATGAAGGGCGGCATACAAATTTAATTTTAAAAAGTAATATACTGCTTGATTGTATTTTTTAAATTTTTATTTATACTTTTCAAGTTTATACATTTTACTGATTTTACAATCATTTTGACATTTCAAAAATTGACTTCCCTCCCCCTCTTTTTGCGGTTCCTTAAATTTACTTTTAATATCTTCGGCATATTCCAAAGTAACTTAATTTGTTCATATATTCATCTCCTTTAAATATATGCTCTTATAAAACTGCAGGTTTTTACGATAATCCTGCCAATGTTTTTATCTGTTTACAATTTATCTGTAAATATTCCGTAAACCATTTCCATTATTTTGTAAAAAGTTTGCGATCTTAATTTCTTATTCTTCTGGTAAGTTTTGCAATTTCTGCGTATTCCATGAGCTTTTGTATCTATTCTTCCTTTGCTGAGACTTCCTTCTTCTCATATAGCATAACATATATGGAAAAGAAACCTTAAAGCAGTACATTTAAATACATATATCGCCAGATATTTCCTCACCCACTTCCACGAGAAACGCCTGGCGCATCCCCCCTGGGCCTTACGAGTTACCAAGGGAACCAGGCGCCCGCATCCCTCGCCATAGAAACCCCAAGTGCCCTCCCGTTCCCATAGCAACCCCCTTTCCCCCCTCGTTTCCATAGAGACCCGGCAGCAAGGGGCCCCGCCCACTCCGGCCTGCGCTGCCGGCCGCGGGCGCCACTCACCAGCCTCCCCGCGACCAAGCAGCCAAACATGGCGGTGGCGGAGGCGGCTCCGCTCGGCAAGGCCGCTTCCTCGAAAGCCACGACTGGCCCAGGCGACCACCCCGGTGGCCCCTCCGTGCCACCCCGCCCGCCGAAGCTCATCCGGGGCAAACGGAAGGAAATGATTCGCATAGGGATAGGCGGGCATTCTTGTGGGGGGGGGGGATTTCAGGCATCCCGGTGGAGGACTACGCATCCCAGCGCGCCGCGCGCGAACGTTCCGTGAAGCGGAGGACGCTGGGAAATGTAGTCTTGCAAGGAATGAGGTGGCTAAGGCAGCTCAGGGAAAGGATGGGCCTTGGTTCTTAACAGGAACTTCCAGCCTAAAATCGAATTATCTTCCAGCTCCAACAACTTCCCCGTGCCAAAACTTTTAATGTATTTTTAACCTTTGGTTGGAAGCCGCCCAGAGTGGCTGGGGAAACCCAGCCAGATGGGGGGGGTATAACTTACTTATTATTATTATTATTATTATTAACAACATAGGGGCCTTTCAGGACAGAGGTGCCACTGGCTAGTTTTTTCCCATGCCTAATGGAAAAGCTCCGCAGCCAATTTCTGCTGCTGTATGCATGCAGGTTTTAAGGTTCAGCAGAATAATTTTTCAAGCACAGCACAAATTACCAACTGCATCTGTTCGGAGGAAGACTGAAATACATACAAAATTAATCCCTAAAACTATACAGAATTTTCCCAGGCTGCTTCGGCATTCAATACTTCCGCAGGGCTAGGAATAGAATGTCAATGTCCTCAATCTTTAATTGAAACAAAATAAAATAAAATAAATAATTCCTTCCAGTAGCACCTTGGAGACCAACTAAGTTAGTGATTGGTATGAGCTTTCGTGTGCATGCACACTTCAGATACTCAGACTTTAATGTTGCTGAAGCAGCTCACAGAGTTGGTGTGAGCCCTGCCATGGACACAGACATTGAGCTTCTTGGTGGAATATAAATGTAATAAATAAAATACATTTTCAAAAACCACTGTAGGCTGCATCACTACAAAATTTGGGCAGGGAGGGCTCAAGTGGCAAGTATTTTTACACACGCACAAATATCCCCGCAGATAGGAAACTAGATGGCAAGGAGGAAAGGTTCTACTGGAGGAAACGATTCAATGCTTCTCCACACGGAACATGCAGATCCTCACCTGCACCTGAGAAAAAGAATACCTCCTCAGTAAGAAACAGACTGAAGCTCAACATCAAAAAAACGAAGATCATGGCCACTGGGCCCATCACCTCCTGGCAAATAGAAGAAGAAATGGAGGCAGTGAGAGATTTTACTTTCTTGGGCTCCACAATCACTGCAGATGGTGACAGCAGCCACGAAATTAAGAGACGCCTGCTTCTTGGGAGGAAAGCAATGACCAACCTAGACAGCATCTTAAAAAGTAGAGACATCACCTTGCCAACAAAGGTCCGTATAGTTAAAGCCATGGTTTTCCCAGTAGTGATGTATGGAAGTGAGAGCTGGGCCATAAAGAAGGCTGATCGCCGAAGAATTGATGCTTTTGAATTATGGTGCTGGAGGAGACTCTTGAGAGTCCCATGGACTGCAAGAAGATCAAACCTATCCATTCTTAAGGAAATCAGCCCTGAGTGCTCACTGGAAGGACAGATCCTGAAGCTGAGGCACCAATACATTGGCCACCTCATGAGAAGAGAAGACTCCCTGGAAAAGACCCTGATGTTGGGAAAGATGGAGGGCACAAGGAGAAGGGGACGACAGAGGACGAGATGGTTGGATAGTGTCTTCGAAGCTACAAACATGAGTCTGACCTAACTGCGGGAGGCAGTGGAAGACAGAAGTGCCTGGCGTGCTCTGGTCCATGGGGTCACGAAGAGTCGGACACGACTAAACGACTAAACAACTACAAGAAACAGACCTTTGTAAAAATACAAATGTTTGTTTTGGAAGTTCTAGGTATACCATTCTGTGACTGCTTATTTTTTTGTTGTGAGCAAGTGATCTGAAGATTTGGGGGGAGGGGGGAGAGAGTGAGTTAACACGTATTTAATTTTGTTTTTATTTCATTTTACCAAATTTAATACTTTTACATCTTGTCCCAACAGCTTCCATATATTACACATATTTCACACACTTTATTCACATCTTGTTTTTATAAGGTTAAACACACTTTTAAAGTCTCTGAAATTCATTTGCTCCCCTTCTGTCAAAGATGAGGCAGCTGGAGAATAAAGGCCTTTTTAGTGGTAGCACCAGGGTGGAGGAGGCTTATCTTGCCTCTTCATCGCGAGTTTTCAAGCACTAAATGAAGCATTTTATTTCGGCAGGTGTTTGGGATCTAGTGAACTTCGTTTTTAGTTTGTCTGCCTGCCTGTGCCTTGTGTTGCTTTAGTTAACAATTCTAAGTATTAAAAACATTTTTGTAAAGCCACGATGTGGAGCCAAGTGGGTTCAGAAGCAATGGAAAGATCCTAAATAAGTACCAGGGTATTCTACACCAAGACAGTGGCTCCTTTTACCAACAAGTTAATTAACTACGTTCTCTTATTTCACTTACTCTGCAATTCTCATTCTAAGTACAGTATGCCCATATCCAGTGCTTTTTTTTCTGTACTCTCATTTTCCTACTCATATTGAAATACTGCCCCTCAATGAGGCCAAATAGATTCACAAAATGTTTAGGAGTATGCATCCCCCGCCCCCAGAAAAAAAGCATTTGCACCATAGGCATTGCACCTAAAGCCAAAATCACATATAGACAAAACACATTGAATGCAATGACAGGTGGAATTTGCCAATGTATTTTCCCCTGGGTGCCCATCCCTTTTTATTTTTCCCCAAGCGCTTAAAGCTGAATATTCAAACATTAAATGTTTGCAAATTGCAGGCTTACTATAATCAGATGGGTATGAGACAGAGAATTAATGTAAAGTAGTATAGTCTCTGGGAATTATGGGAGTAAAACTTTTGCTGGACCAAAACATTAAGGGTTGTGTGTGTGTATTTTAAAAGTCCATACCCTGGAAATTCAAATTCTGAGCAAGAAAGCTAAATTCCCCAACATGTTTAATTATGCACATTTAATTTTGTTTGCATAATTTACTTGCTTTTGTTCATGAAGGAGAAGGGCAGAAAGCCATATGGATAAATGTATCTGTCCCAGCCATTGAGAAATTATATCAGTCACCCTTCTTGGCATCTGAGAGTTCCAAATGGGCAATGCTGCACAACTTTCATGTTTTCACGGTCATAAGGGCTAGACATTTTCAAAATCAAGGACAACTTTCTCAGGAAGAATTCTGCACTCAATGTGCTTCTTGCATCCTGCAGAATTGTAGGGCACACCCATACTCATACAAGCTTATTTAACACATGGCTTAACACAAGCAGCAAGTATATATACAGTACAAAGAAACTTTACATACTACAAACACTGAATTGAAATGGGACAATAAACCAAATGTACAAAAATATTTTTATTAAAAAGCAGCAGCTTCTGAACAAGGCAATGTTATCAAAAACCAAATGTAAACATTGCTAAGTTCAACTGACGGGGGGGGGGCCTACTCTGAAAGCAGTTACAGTACTATAAATCAGCTAATTATCCTTGACACAAAAAGCAATACATAATTTTGTAATTCTCAAGTTGTAAGTAACTTATCGGAGCCTGTCCCAGCGCCAGATACTGGCATCATCACATACAGCTATAAGGATACTACTGTCTCTGCTAAAGCTGGTTTGTCGAATGGCAGCAGCACACTTTGGGTGAGTAAGAGTTGTACACCTATCAAAAGAGATAAAGCGTTATATTTCTCTTCACTCACCACCATGTGAACAAAAGGATGTAAGACAACAGGCACAATTCTTAACTTCATCCCTCCTCCCTTTAAACAACATCCTGATCACATTATCCCATTTCTCCCACCCCAAAATATGTTAATTTATGGAAGCTTTCAGGGCTGTATCACTTTAAACTGATCCATAGACAAGAAGCATGTGAAGCTTCTCAATGTTCTTGTTTCCACATTCAGGGGGTGTTTTTAATGAAGGCACATCTCATCTTGTGATGCCTCACGTGCCCTATTAAGCGGTATGACCCTGAAACAGGATTTTCTCTCCCGGACACCTATCCCAACTATAAATAACTCAAACACTGAAAAAGCTTAATCACAGATCTATGGCAGGGGAAGTTACCATTCCACACCCCCATCTGTCAGAAATTAGTGCATCTTCTCTTTGTTCATACGAAATCATACACAAAGTTGTTCCGGATTCCCCACCCTGGCCCAGGTCTCTTACACTGTTACCTTCCCAGAACAAAGGCAGCAAGCTGTAATCCAAACTTTGAGAAGACAAACATGCTTATGGCCTGTACTTCTTTATTACAACTTCCTAAGTTAGGGTAAAGGGGTTGACTTGTCTGTTTCAGTGTTGATAAGCAAGAACTGTGGTGCAAAGCTGGGGATTCAGAAACACTCACTTGGCCTTATGAGGATCTTCTATTTCTAAGTCCCAGACATAGAGCTTGCCAACTTGATTGCCCAATGCCAACATCTAAAAAAGAGCAGAAGATTTATGTAGCCTAATGCTGTGGTGAAAATGACTGTTTCAATATTGCACTCTACATGCGAACATAATTCTCTTTTGTTTTCTCAACAGGTTCAAGAATAAAAGTTTCCCTAGACAACTCAAGGATAATGCACCATCAGTACCTTGGGGATTTCTAATACCTTTGCCCACCTGCTGCACTCTAGCTGTGCTGGTCAAGACAGTTGGAAGCTGTTGTCCAAAATATATGGTGGGCAGTGGATTGACTAAGGGTGCCCTCAGCAACTAATTAATTGATATTACATCACATTTTGACAATTACAGAAGCCAAAATCAAAATAGGGTATCCTTCCTTACTACACTTCTGGAGGCAATAGGCTTTCTTCCGAAAGAATGATAGATTATGGTTTAGTGCAGCTTTCCCCAGCCTTGCATCCTCAGATGCTGTCAGACAGCATCATCCCCAATCATCATCTATGTTGTTTGGAGATTAGCAGGGCTATACAGTGGTACCTCGGGTTAAGTACTTAATTCGTTCCAGAGGTCCGTTCTTAACCTGAAACTGTTCTTAGCCTGAAGCACCACTTTAGCTAATGGGGCCTCCCGCTGCCGCTGCACCGCCGAAGCCCGATTTCTGTTCTCATCCTGAAGCAAAGTTCTTAACCTGAGGCAATATTTCTGGGTTAGCGGAGTCTGTAACCTGAAGTGTATGTAACCCGAGGTACCACTGTAGTCCGAAGATACCTGGAGGGCTACTGTAGGGGAAGGCTGGTTTAGAGTTGCATAAGCAAGTCTTATGCTCATGAGCTCTCTGCTCCCCTAGGATGGCTGCCAAGAGGTAACTTTTCCTTGATCTGACCGTTCCCCTCACCTCTGCTGTATTTCTATATTATGTAAGCCACCTTGTGAGGGCTTTGCCCTAAAAATATCTGAATGAATACAATATCCTCCTCCAGGACACCTTTAACTCCCTTATTTGTCCAACAAACCTAGCTGTCCTGTTATTTTTAATTATTTTTAGCAATATGGTATTAATTTTTCTCCTTTTGCATCTCTTAATATCCACACTGTGCATGTGCAACATGGGCCATGCATAAAGAAGAGCAAGGGTAGCCCATCCCGTTTTGCCACCCACACTTGCTGACCCGCTGAAGCCTCAGTCACCAGGGTCACACAGCTGTGGCTTCCAGGTTATTGCAAGAGCTCTCGCGAGATCTCACCAGAACCCAAAAAGTGCCCTTTGGTTTCCACTGCCTGAGGCGACTCTGTGTGCCTCACGGATGGACCGGCCCCATAGAAGAGTATACTAGCCATTATGGTTATGCACAACAGCCATATTTTATGATATATGGCATATCCGCCTACATATATTACAAAATACGGGAGCCTCAAGCACGCATGAGAAGCAGCAGTGCCAGCTAACTTCATCTGTGCACTGGACTAATCTTAAATAGCCTTGCTTAATCTCTGCCTTGGCCCTTACCTTTTGCCAGAAATCCATTGAAAACCTCATATACCATATATCGCACTGACTGTAATCAAATCGTCCTAAAATGGTCACATTAGACTCGCTGGCCTTTATTTTATCGATGTCATCTTCCATTTTGCCTGGTTTCCAGCACACAATGGCATTTTCACACGACTGTGGACAGAGGGAAAAGAAGGCTTCAATATAACCCACAAAACACTTTCACACCCACATCCTGCACAGGAAAATGTGGAGGAGATAGACTGCTTTAGGCCATCAACAGTATTTTTATTGTGGGGAGAGGAGGCACGCTACTGGCATTTTTAAAAAATAGTAGGAAGATACCATTTCAGTAAATTTTGAAATTTTCCTATTCTCATCAATTAAGCGGCCTCGGTCCTGTATACCTGAAGGAGCGTCTCCACCATCGTTCAGCCCGGACACTGAGATCCAGCGCTGAGGGCCTTCTGGCGGTTCCCTCATTGCGAGAAGTGAGGTTACAGGGAACTAGACAGAGGGCCTTCTTGGTAGTGGCGCCTGCCCTGTGGAACGCCCTCCCTTCAGATATGAAGGAAATAAGCAGCTATCTTCTCTTTAAAAGACATCTGAAGGCAGCCCTGTTCAGGGAAGTTTTTAATACTTGATGCTGTATTGTTTTTAACACTTGATTGGAAGCCACCCGGAGTGGCTGGGGACACTCAGCCAGATGGGCAGGGTATAAATAATAATAAATTATTATTATTATTATTATTATTAATCACTTTTAAATCTTCAGAGATCAAAACATAAATGTGACATTATTGAAACTGAAGCCATCCTACCTTGGAAAGTATCAGATCTCCTAGCCATCGCACACAATCTACATAATTTCTATGTATATCTCTGGTGGAGAAGTCAGGAAAGTGAATTTTTTGAGAAACAAACGGCCTGCAAAGGAGAGAGTTGATGCATCTGATCAGTGCGGTTGGGCAGAGGAAAGACACAACTGCAGGAGCTTGGGATGCAATGACAATAGAGGTGGAATAATTTATATTCCCGTCCCGCCAAAATAAAAAAATATGGGTCACTGGCTGAATTCAAATGTAAGAAGCCATGTTCTTACATGTCCTCTCTTCAACTCTCACTTAACCCCCCCACTCAACTTCAGCAAAGCCTGTTTTCATTTTTAAAATCACCATTTCCCATGCTATCAGAACTGAAAAACTATGGTTTAAGGGTTTCCACCAAATCTTTCAAGGATATTATGCTAATATAGCTTAGTAAAGCCTTCAAACTTACAATGAATCTTAACAAACAATAAAATACATTATTTTAAACACCGAAAAAAAGGGGAAAGTGGAAAACTGACATTTAAGCTGCAATCCTATATCCACTTAACTGGAAGTAAAGTCCCATGGAACACTATGGGACTTGATTCTGGATAGTCACATACAGTGGTACCTTGGTTCTCAAACTTAATCCATTCCGGGAGTCCGTTTGACTCCCGAAACCGTTCAAAAACCAAGGTGCTGCTTCCGATTGGCTGCAGGAGCTTCCTGCACTCAAGTGGAAGCCGCGTCAGACGTTCGGCTTCTGAAAAACATTCACAAAGCCGATTTGTTCAACAACTAAGCCATTCAGCAACCAAGGTACCACTGTATAGGTTTTGCACCGGTGGCCTAATTCGCATATCACAGTTCATTACCATGAACACATCAATGTCACCTATTTTTAAAGCCACAACAGCTGGGGCTTATCGCTATGTCCAAATCAGGGATCAAGATTTCAGTCCAACCAAACCACAATCTGTAGCTAAGGTTTGTCCTTGGCTTACTGATCACTGTTCGTTTGGAGAGAAACAAACTGTAACTCCTAGTTCAGACAAAATGCTACGTCAGAGGTCATGGCTTGCATACTGGTAGGGCAAAACTATGAAATAAATAAGTAATAAATAAAACTGGCATGTTCACGGTAAATCTTTACCTATGATTTACCACTGACGTGACAACTGGACCATACCTGTCATGGGAGGGGAAAAACTTCCAAGCAATTTACAGCCTCATTTCAAGATCTAACTACTTGCACGTTTCAAAAGGTGATACATGATTTCAGTGATGAGCTGAAGAATATACTGGGGTGAGGAAAACATCACACTAGGATTGGGACTGCCCTTACCTGTTGGTTTTATTGGGATTGTATTCATAGGACTCTTTGATTGCATTGATCATTCTCTTTGAATTGATTCGCCAGAGTTTCAGGGAGTGATCCATGCCACAAGACATAATTTTTTCACCAAGGAGGTCATAATCCTATACACAGAATGTAGCAACTTCAATTTTCCATACAAGATTAAAATAAAATCAACAGTGTAGCCTCCAGATTATACAAATCAGGTTATTAGCTATCCTATTAAGCAAATTTCCATTTCTTGACCTATAATTAAAATGCAAACCACAATTTAAAATCTGTTTAGCAAAGTAGGGGAAAAAACTTTGGAGCGGGAGTAGGACAGCACTGATAAATTTCAAGCTGCTCAACAGTTTTTCACTTACTGCACTTAAAACTTCATCCCTGTGCCCTTCTACTCCTCCAAATATTGCAACCAAAGTGTCTGTTTGAATGTTCCACAGTCTCAATGCATGATCTAGTAAAAAGGGGAGGGGAAACAGAAAGGTTAGATTCCATCATCTCACAATAAACGCAATAGTATGTTCTGATCAACTAGGTGGTTCAACCCCAAAACTGCATACAAAACTTATTGACTTGGTTCACATGTATTGCTAAGGCAAACCATGGCTTGGGGGTCATGGCCTCCCCGCCCCCTTCTCCATCATTTTGCTGCTGTGCTGAGTCAGTCATGGTTTGGCTTAATGCCGTCTGAACCTGGACTCGCTGTTTTCTTCAGACAAACCTTTAACTATGGTTTGGAGAGCTAAACCATGAGCTCATATTCGGGCAACATGCAAAGCCAAACCATGGCTCAGTGCAGTACACAGCAAAACAACCAGGGAGGAGCAAATCGGCAGCAACCTCCTCTCAAGGCTTGTTCCCATAATGTAGCTGAGCCATAGTTTAGTGCCATGTCCAAAAAGCGGAAACCTAGGAAGGGAGTAACAGCCATTGTGCAATTCCCTCCACACAAAGGTGTATTTAGCTGAAGACATACCTCTTTACCTTTGACACCTGTGATACATTTTTTTTTTAGGATACACCCTCTGCTCTAGACTCTTTTAACTGATTTTGATATTATATTTTTAAACTGTTCTAAACCACCCTTGGATATAATGGATATATAATCTAAATTAAGGGGGGGGCAAAATATGAAGATGCTGTTATATGTACTGAAAGCTAATTTGTGAAAATGTGTTGGGTAGTTTACATTTCAAAATGCATTCTCCTTCCCACACCAATTTGAGGTTCCTATTTGGGATGTTGTGTGCATTTTTGGTGTCGCCCTTTCCCCCTTTTAGCTCTTACAGAACTAACCCACTACCAGATCGTTCCTAACCATTCAAAAGGAACCTACTTCCATACCTTTGCTCACAGACAAGAGAAGATTTGGATCCCTGGGATGAAATTTCAATTCGTTGATTGCGTTGCCATGGCCCACATAATGCTACAACAGAATTCAGAGGTCAGGTTATTCCCTCCACATCTCTGTATTTTTTGCATCAAAACGTTAGAATCAATTTTGAGTATTAATATTTACATCTTGGACCAACTCACCTTTATGCACTGCATTGTAATGGGATTAATTATCCTAATAATGCCCCTTGATCCAGCCACAGCCAGAAGGGGGTGGCTTGTATTGCTATCATAGGTCCATGCACAAGTATAAAAGTTTTCATCTGCCTGAAGTGTGCAGTTAAGGGCTAGACATGCACCTGTGGAAAGTCCCACTGCCCACCAGATATTTAACCAAAAATATTTAAACATAAACAAAGCAATCTACAGTTCACGAAGCAGAAAGCCAAGTGCTGCTCCCTACTGGGCTTATGTGAAAGTGCAGAGAATGGTTTGAAGCAACCCATCAGTGGGAAAACAGAGAAACCACTGGCCTGGAAGGGACCATTCTGCAGTGAACTCCAAAATTTGACATGGAAGGACATCATTTACTTTCACCATATTAACTGAAGTTCGTCTTGCAAAGTGTTTATTTAACTGCGTTCTCATTAAGCAGGGAAAGCTATGAAACCATTCTCAAACCAGCCCAAGAAACAAAGACCTAGCAAAGGATACATCGGCATCCACATAAGACTGTAGCAACCGTATTTCTCCTTGCGAATGGCATTCATATAAAGTAACCTGGAGGTGGATAAAGCACAAGAAATTAGAGAGTTCCCGATTCCCACAGCTGAACAACTCTATACAGTGTATAGAATTAGTCATACAACATTCAAGTTTTCATCCACTTCTACTGAGAGCGATGGAGGTTGGTCCATTAGGGCAAATGGAGCACTGCTGCCCCACCAACCTCATTCTGCCTGCAGCCAGCCCTCATCTGCCTGCCTTTCCTCCCTACTTGCAGCCCATCAAAGGGGCGGCCCTACTTGTGAGCTCCCCCCTCTTCAGTTTCAGTATTGCCCTTGCAGAACTCAGCAGAAGAGGCAGATGGGGACGAAAGTAGAATTAGTTGGCTTGGCTTCGCATTGGCTGCACCTGTCACTGACTTGGGTTCTACCTACTGCTGGGCTTCCCTACCTTCCACTCTACCAGTCCCAAAGGGCACTACCACTGACTGAGGGAGACATAATGACTTCATCTGTGTGCATTCCTAATATATCACCAGGTCAGCAATTTCCTCAAGTTGTCCTCAGGCCTGTTCAAACCACACGACCTTTTCTTATGTCTACAGTGAATGGGCCTCAGGTTCCTATGCTACCTCTGATATATGAAGCCTAGTTAAAAGGTAAAGGTACCCCTGCCCGTACGGGCCAGTCGGGTCCGACTCCAGGGTTGTGCGCTCATCTCACTTAAGAGGCCGGGGGCCAGCGCTGTCCGGAGACACTTCCAGGTCACGTGGCCAGCGTGACGAAGCTGCTCTGGCGAGCCAGCACCAGCGCAGCACACGGAAACACCGTTTACCTTCCCGCTATAAAGCGGTACCTATGTATCTACTTGCACTTAGGGGTGCTTTCGAACTGCTAGGTGGGCAGGAGCTGGGACTGAAAGACGGGAGCTCACCCCGCCGTGGGGATTCGAACCGCCGACCATACGATCGGCAAGTCCTAGGCACTGAGGTTTTACCCACAGCGCCACCCGCATCCCACAGCCTAGTTAGAGAATTACAAAAAAATAAATAATCTTTGCTGGAAGTTATTTAGCTAAAATGAGCAGTTATTACCAATCGTTAAAACAACTACCTTTGAGAGGAGTGCTCGATTATAGCAGCAGCTGCAGGAAGCTAACTGTTTCAAGGCTTATGTAGTTTTTTTCACCTACTGCTTATTGACATCGCACTACTTGAGCAGATTGCAAATGTCTCTTTTGAGGCAGGCGGGGGGGAGGCCATTTTTAAAAACAGGATTTTGACATTTTACTTCAGCTGCACACCCAATGGACAGACACGTGATTTTTCCTTTCAAACCCAACTTTTATACTCAACTGAGTATGAGCATTCTCAACACACCTTCAACTGGAAGTGTTCCTAGCAAACCCATGTATATGCTTATCTAGGACTGTGGCCATCTGCAACTACCTTTGCACTATACTATCGTACCACATCACAAAACTGTTTAATTTGGCTCTTGGGATCAGAAATAATGCCTAGAGTTTGGAAAAAACCTGCAAGACATATTTCAACGTTAGGAAAAGGAAGCAAGATCTTGGAAAGCAGTAAATAAGTGAAATGTAAAATAAGTTTCAACATGTCACTCACTCTGTTACTGCCAACCGTAGCAAACACCAGGGGATCGCCTTCCTTGCTGTGCCAGTTAAACTGTACCCCAAACAATGGCAGACTATGGTCTTCCTGAAAACGAAAAAGGTATAAGAAGAATTTGCTTCAAAACAAAAGTTGTGAGAGAAGACAAATGCATTTAATATATTTAGGACATTTATTTTCAGGGCAGAAGTACACATTATGTGCACTATGGGGATGCTGCTGAAAAAAACAGCATTCCAGTGATGACCTCTCTCCCTGTCATCAGTACCATTTTGGAACACTTACCCAGGTTGCAATGTTGTCACTCCCATCAGCCCCAGCCAGGGTGGCCAATAATCAGGGATCATGGGAGATGTAGTCTAAACACATCTACATGGTCCTACATGGTCACAGGGTCCCCAACCCTGATGTAGAATGAGGGAGCGGAAACATACTGCACGACATCATAGGGAAGTATTTCCAAGTGGTACAAGGAAGCTATTTTTGGTGGCAACACTATGTCACCAACACTACTAGGCTAAGGTGACTTGTCTGCATTAGCAGATTTTTTTTTGAACAAACCTTAGAGATTGAGAGGAAGGAGTGTTGCCCATGGGACAACTCTACTATTAGTAAGCCATTCATGAAAGCCAGTGCCTGCCAGAATCGAATTGTGTCCAGCCTACTCCAAGAAACCTAGGTATACATGCTAATTAACCCACTGTAGGACTTGCTGGTGAAGAGTATATAATAAATGTCATAATAAATAAATAAATGGCACAATTTTCCTTCCAAGTTTTGAGTTTTCCAACTGAAGTTATAAGCATGGACTAGGATGGAAATGGAAAAATAGGGCTCAACAACTGGTAGGAAAAGAAACTAAACAAAAGCATTGCCTTTGCAATCTCACTAGAAGTCTTATTCCAATTTATGATACAGGACGCTAGGAACTGGGAGCAGGCAGGAGTACAGTATTAAAGAATAAATCTATAAATACTGACATTTCAAGGATTCCAAATATCATGTCAGATTTTAAATAACTCAGCAACGTACACAGCATACAAATTATCCAGCCTTAGTCAAAACAAGTATGTTACCCTTCTCACAATGTTTTACTGGGAGTTGTAGGGAACAGCTTAGTGCAACCTTCCGCAACCTGGCCCCCTCCAAATATTTGGACTAGCTCCCATAATCCCTGATCACTGGCCATGCTGATTGGCACAGATGGGAGCTGAAAGTCAAAAACATCTGAGGGGGGAACTAGGTTGGGGAAGGCTGCCCTGATGGAAGAACACATCTTACATGTGTAAAGGGCTCAAGCATAAATTCCCACACCACCAATTAAAAGGATCAGAGCAGATAGTAGGATATGCTGTAACAAATACAGCAATCTACAAACAACACCACAGACTTTTGATTATCTTTTGAAAATAAAACTTTTGATAATTTTTTTTCTGCTAAATGCCTTCTCCCCAAGACAGACATGTGCTGTAACTGTTTTGTTATTATATTTTCAAAGGTCTCCAGGCCTATACTTCTACAGTGGTGCCTCGCAAGACGAAATTAATTCGTTCCGCGAGTTTTGTCGTCTTGCGGTTTTTTTCGTCTTGCGAAGCACGGTGTCAGAAAAGTTTTGGAAAAACTTCAAAAATCACCAAAGTCTTCAAAAACCTCAAAAAAGGCTACCACACCACGTGCTATGAGTTGCTCCTTGAAGTCAAGTCGCAACTGTATTAATGGTTTTAAGAAAAAGAAAACAAACTTGCAAAACGTTTCCGTCTTGCGAAGCAAGCCCATAGGGAAAATCGTCTTGCGAAGCAACTCAAAAAACCAAAAACCCTTTCGTTTTGCGAGTTTTCCGTCTTGCGAGGCATTCGTCTTGCGAGGTACCACTGTATTTCAAAAGAAGTCGGCCTTCTCCTTCAGTGGCTGATCTTAGCCACCCGAAAAGAGAGACTACACCCTTCAGTTTCCTGTTATTTGTTAAAACATATCTTGCTTTCCTGTGGTACAAACTTCAACTAAAGGCAACAAGGTGAAACATGTACAAAAGCATGCAAAGAACATTTAGAATAGAAGTTTTGGACTGATCTGAGAGAAAACACTGCTTTAAGCTTTAAAGGACTGCAATGCTGAAAAACAGCATCAACATGATAGTGATTACTATCTGCAGGATGTGTCCATGATCTAACTTACCTGCTGCCACAGAAAGAGTTATTATTATATTACAAATAATATATAGGCAACTTTCAACTTAGGTGGGGGTTAAGTTCCAGACATAGTGCATAAAGCCAAAATCACATATAGTCAAATCACATTGGGTTCAATGGTGAGTAGGATTGCCAAAGTCTTTTCCTCTGGACGCCCACCCACTTTTTATTTTTTATCGGTTTTTTTTGCCAAGTGTGTAAAGCTGAATGCACACAAGTTAAATGTGTGTGTGTTGCGAGTTACCCATACTTAAAATTTCTCTAAAGCTGCTTCTGATTTTCCCTTCATACGAGCAGGACCTGCTACTTGATTAAGTGTGCTTAGGTGGCAGGGCCACTAGCTTACATGGATAATGTATCTATCCACAGCTATTTGTCATGTAAAGTACAAGAAGCCTGTTCTGAGGCAGCATTTTCCTGAACGCAAGATCTTCCTTATGGACTGTCCAGAACCACCACCCGACTGCTGTTTGAAAAAGGATGCCAGTTCAAATATGCCTCGTTCTGATCCAGTAAATAAGTTATTTGAATCACTGAAGTACAAAACACTGTTGCAGTGGTACCTCAGGTTAAGAACTTAATTCGTTCTAGAGGTCCGTTCTTAATCTGAAACAGTTCTTAACCTGAGGTACCACTTTAGCTAATGGGGCCTCCCGCTGCTGCCACACCACTGCCACATGATTTCTGTTCTCATCCTGAAGCAAAGAATGAGAAAGGTACTATTTCTGGGTTAGCGGAGTCTGTAACCTGAAGCGTCTGTAACCCAAGGTACCACTGTATAAAGGCAGCAAGCAATTTTCATTCTAATGAGATGTCTGCTGACAAAATACCTTGAGGCTGTTTACACATTTGAAGGAGTATTTGCATTTCTTTGACTTCCATTTTCCTTTCCCCCAGCTTTTTCTTCCTGGAGCATTGGGGGTGTTTGTAGGGGTATCAGGGCGTTCAGTGTTAGTACCACTCTCTATGCTAACAGCATCATCCTGAAAGCATAAAGAAGGTTGGTTTTCAAAACAGATCAAGACCCACATTCACAGCAAAAAAGCTAACTTACTAAGTGAAGGAAGATCCTCCAGCTACTTCAGAACAATGAGGCAACCTTATTCAGAAATAGAGGATACTGAGCAACTAAAAGTATTCAACAACAATAGGCAAGATGATTCACACGTTTAGAGAATGAGTGGGCAGATCTATTTGTCATTTGCCACAGGATTTCTGATTCCCAGCTGTTTTAAACAATAGCAGCAACAATTATTTCCCCCAATTGATCCTAAATTATTCCACTGAAATAAAAAAAGCTTGCAGTAAGCAGAAATAGTTTTTTGTCTTGAAGGACTGCGAGCTCCATTCAGTTCAGGGTCTCAAAGCAAACTCCTGTGCTTAAACTTCTTTAAATCCAAGTGTATGGCTTTTGTGCCAAGCTCTGGTTGGTGAATCCTGGCATATTAGTGAAAACCTAAGTAAATGTCAAATAAGGGGTATCTAACCTGAGTTCTTGCCAATTTGCTGGTTTCCTAAAAGCAGAGAATCATCAGCTTTACTTTCTTTCTTTTTAACATAGGTAGAAACTTAGGATGCCATTGAAAATTATTTTGCCTACCCATCTCTTCCATTCAGAAACAAATTTCCTTCAACAGAGAAAGCTAGCAAGTCAGTGAGAAGAGTTACAGACCATCCCTGACATGCTAGCTTTCTATGTGAAGATAACTGGAGTGGATACAGAGAAGATGGCTAACACAGAAGGCTAAATATAATCAGGGGAAAGTATTTTAGCCCAACTCTCTCCCTAACTCATTCTAATGTTCTGTTTATAAAAGCAAGTGTAGCAAGATGGCAAATATAGAAGCCCAGGTTCCAGGAGGAAACTGTTCTACATTAGAATTCTTCTTGGCACCCTAGCTATCTAGATGCAAAGGGGTCCTCCTTTGATTTCTTCTCATGAACAAGCACTCCACCACCTGCAGCCTAAAAGCCTGGAGCAATAGCATCCCACACACAGGCTAACCACCTGTATATGAACATCGGTTTCCGAACAGCAGCAGTGTATAATCAAGAGAACACCCGCCAGATGCTGTGGCCTCCCAAAGCCCCAATCAGCCCCAGCCAGCATGGGCTAGCGGTCAGGGATGACTGAAGCTGCATAGACCTTCCACCTTTGACCTTTAAACCTGCTTTCTCCCACCTGGCTCCAGAAGCTGGTAGGCTACAGCTCCCATCCTTCCTTACCACTGCTCCCAGGGCCAGCGGTAGATCACCATCAATCTCATTTACGAATTGCTTCCCGTGAGGCACCCCAAAGAGGATTAAGGTCTCGGAAGAGGTTGCAAACCCACCTTCAGGGCAGCAGGTTGGAGAGGGGAGGCTGCCTTGCAGTGGGGGGGAATGGGACCCTCCAGCCCTTGAACCACAACTCCCAACTGCCCCAGAAACCCCCTTGGGAGATTGTGGACTCTCCTTCCTTGAAGGTAAGCAGAGGCTGAGTGGCCATCTATCATGGATGCTTTAAGCTGATGATTCCTGCATTGCCGGGGGTTGGATTAGATGACCCTCGGGGGTCCCTTCCACCTCTACAACCATATACAATATCTTTATTGTCATTGTCCCATGCAGAACAATGCAATTGAAAAACTACATAAAACATTCAAAAACCCCTAAAAACTCTGAAACCCCATTTTAAAACACACTATACTATGGAGACCCCTTATGCCGCAACTTTTCCTTTTTCTTGCGAGGAATCTTATTCAGAATAAGGGAATTTCCCTTTAAAAAAGGGAAACGTTGACAGCTATGTCTACAACTCAATGATGGGAGTTGCAGTTCAGCAATACCTGGAGGCTCCCCCACACTTGCCCTAAGGGAGCCTCAGTGTGGTGAACAGTGAAGAGTGCCTGGCTAGGACCTGGGTTCAAATCCCTACTCATCCACGAAGCTCGCTGGGTGACCCTGGAGCCAGTCACCCACTCTTAGCCTAACCTACCTAGTGAAGAAAAAATGGGGAGGTGGGGAACCATGTGCACCAGCCTGAACTCCTTGGAAGATAAAGGCGGCATATAAATAAGTAAATTAATAACGAAAATTATAAACAGGACAGCCATGACCTCAGGTTCCCCCTCTCAGGAGGGGGAGGGAAGAAGACCACCAGCCCCCCCCCCGCGTTGCTAAGAGACGCGCTAGGCCCCAAGCCTGAGAGAGGGGTGTCTTCCTCTCTCAGGGCCCCCCGCTCACGTTCTCGTCGCCGGACAGGTCCCCCGGGTTGCTGTTCTCGTCGCTGCTCAGCTTCTGCTTCTTCGCCGGCATCTCCGCTCCCGCTCCCGCCGCCGCCGCCGCCGCCGCCACCCCCGCGGACGATGCTGCCGCCGCCTCCGAAGCCGCCTCTCCTCTGCCTCCGCCTCCTCTCCGCCGCTCAGACATTTTCCCCGCCCCTCATCCCCGCGGCCGTAAAGCGCGGCGGAGGCGGTGTCGCGAACGGCCAGGTTCCGAAAGCGTGAGGGCGGAGAGAGGAGACGGAGGCGCACGCGGGGGAAGGGGGCGGGGCGAGGGAGGCGCGAGAGAGCGTTTATTGGAGCTTAACCGCTCCGCCGCAAAGCGCGACCGGCTTTCCACCCGCCCCTTGGCGTCGTAAAAAGTTTAACGGAGAGAGCGTGCACCATGCGCGCGGCAGAAAGAGAAGGCCGTGCAGTGACGTAGGGGAGGGAGAGGCGAGGCTGGCCGTTGGCCGTTAGAGGGCGCGCGCGCTTCTGGGAACCGGGTGTGATTCTGATTTACAGTATTTTATTTTTTTGCGCGTGCTTGGCGGGTCACGTCCGCACGACGTTCTTTTAAAGCGGCCTTGCACCCAGGGCCGGATTTAAGTTTGATGAGGCCTTAAGCTACTGAAGGTAATGGGGCCCTTTAGATGTCCAGCTGTCCTTTGTCAACAACAAATTGCCGCTGTTTTTTGTGTTGAATATATGCTATATGGTAATTTGTGGACCTAATAGGTATCTAAAGCCATTTGCACATAACAAAAATATGTATTTTATCAAAGTAGTTGTTGGACTGAAATACAATTGAGAAGTAGTATATTAATAGTGAAATGCAATTAAGTATAGTAATAGTGAAATAATTATTAAGCTCTAACTTGAAATGATTTTTTTATTCATAACAAACTTAAATATGCAAACACATTGGTATTTGGCAATAACAAAAGTTCCTTTAGAAACACAATTTACAAAGACTCGTAATGGGGGGGGGGGCAAGAGAGTGGGGCCCTAAGCTATAGCTTGTTTAGCTTATACGTAAATCCAGCCCTGTTTGCACCGCTTTCAAATGGCTTTCCTTTGGGAATGTTTCTTTTTGGTTGCGTAACAATCAATAAAACCAATTAAAAACATCGCCACCAAAAAAATCCCGCCATATTAATACGACAGTACAGTGGTACCTCTGGATGCGAACGGGATCTGTTCTGGAGCCCCGTTTGCATCCAGAAGCGAACGCAACCTCCGCGTGCGCGGGTCGTGATGCGCCACACATGCGCGTGATGTCATTTTGACTGTCTTGGCATGCGCGAGCAGCGAAACCCGGAAGTAACGCACTCCATTACTTCTGGGTCACCGAAGCACGCAACCCAAAATTACTTATCCCAAAGCTACTTCAACTGAGGTATGACTGTACTGTGGGTTCTGGTTTTGCCAAAGGACACTCTCCCCTCGCCCCCAAGAGCCACAATTTTCAGGACCTTTAATAAAATACTTACAGTGTTTATCCACAATTCTTGTCCCATTCATGTCAATCAAGTCCCGCTGGAGATTGTTATAAACTACAACTCACGTGAACCCCAGCAAGCATGGCAAATTGACAGGGATGATGGGAGTTGTAGTTCAGGAACTCTAGAGGGCCAAAGGTTCCCCACATCTGCTGTAACCAGAGCCAGATTTAGGTTTGATGAGGCCCTAAGCTACTGAAGGTAATGGGGCCCTTTAGATGTCCAGCTGTCCTTTGTCAACAACAAATTGATGCTGTTTTTTGTGTTGAATATATACTATATGGTAATTTATGGACCTAATAGGTATTGAAAGTCATTTGCACATAACAAAATATGTATTTTATCAAAGTAATTGTTGAACTGAAATTGTTACGGTAAAATCTGGGTGCGGGGCTACTCTGCCACCCAGCTCGTCGGACTAGGTCCGCGGGTCCCTGCGGAAGAAAATGAGTTCAGCCGGAGACAGGAGCAAACTGCAGAAGATCCAAGTTTATTGCGCAACAGGTTCAAGCCGAGTTTGAACAGCGAGAAAGGGGTGACATGAACTTTTGAAACTTCCCTCCATGTCCCAGAATACAGTGCAAAATACATCCTAGTTACATCATGAATACATTAAGAAGAGGTTGGGTTACACAGGATTAACAGACGGAGGAGGGAGGGGGGATTATGCAGAGCTGGAGATATGCGCAGATAAGCACATCCTGAGTACCTGATGAGAAGACAATGGTCCATGTATGCATGGTCTGCCACCTGGCATTGCCCGGAGGAAAGGCTTGGCAGAGTGATTTGACAGGATTAGGGTCTTGACACCTTGCTTGAGGGATTATGGAGGACAGGGGAGGTGTCATGGAGTCCTAGAGAAATTGAGCAAATTGGCACGTTGATTTTCTATGAATTTTATAGATTTTAGTCCCTTTTGACATTGAGAATTGGAAATAAATGGATATATTGTAGTGAAGAAGGAGGTGAAGAAGACATGCCCCCCCCTTCCGTATTAGAAATACAATTAAGAAGAAGTATATTAATAGTGAAATACAATGAAGAAGAAGTATTTTGGGAAATCCGGCACTGGTAATCCTATGCATGTGCAGAGTTGAGCTGTAAGGCAGAGATCAGCAGGCCTGCCCCCATTTTGTGTAGAAATGGTGAGATGGGAGAAGCTTCACTCCACAGCTGTAAAAGACTGTGATAGGAATTTTATGGTCTTAGATGTATGGTAATGTTCATAAGTGTACCAACCAAGCACATACATAGATCAGCACAGGAAGGCCAACCTGGAACCATTTTGATTCCTAAACTGAGCAAATGTTTTCTCTGCAAGGTCAAACTGGAAAAGCCTCCCCATTGTCTCTTTCCTCACAAATTCTGTCTTAAGGACACATTTAAGATATGAATAGGGTGTGAGCCTGTGACTTGGCCCAGGAACTAAGTATTTATCATTACAAAAGACTGGCCAGGCTACCCAGGAAATCCAATCAAGTAACCTGCCAGACAGGAGATAAACAAGGGCAAGAGATAAACAACATTTAAATTTCTGTTTAGACCGCCTTTTCTATGATGTAGGTATGATGTATCTGAGGGGTGGTCTTAGGTTACACCCCTTCTGTGATGTATGTATGATATTTCTGGGGTTGGTCCTGATCTACAGGATGGGAATTTCAAAAGTTTTTAAAATGCCTTGCACACCATTTTTCTGGGTCCCTCCTCTCTTCTGCGGGTGAGGGGAGCACCCTGTTGCAACAGATCAATAAAGCTCAAGCTTACTAGCTGCTTTGCTTCTCAATATTCTCTGATTGGCCTCTGTTATTCTCTCCTACCAATAGGGAACCTATGTAAGGACTCTATATGGACTCTTGGATACCCCATAAGGGAAAAGGGCAATTTTTATTTACAACAGACACAGATCTTCTTTCCATAATGCTAAAAGTGCAATCTGTGACAATTCAATTAATGCTGCAAGCAAGCGCTTGCCTGGGAGTAAATCCCATCGAAGCGTTTGAACACAACAGGGCTTTCTTCTGAGTAGGCATGTATAAAATTGCCCTGTTTGTGACGATTTTCACAAACAAAAAGACAATGGTTTGCTCCCCAGTGTGGCCCCTACAGCTTTAAGAAAATGTTAAGAAACTGCTGAAGCTTTGAAACTGCTGAGAAAAGCATTTTGCTTTGCAAGTTGCCTCCCCCCCCCCCCATGGGGCAGAAAGAAGCTGAAACTTTTATCGCAATGCAATACACGCAGGTTCACAAAGCACAATAGCTTCGTGTAACACAGTGTATTCATATGAAGACCATTCAGGCACCATGAATTAAAGCTCTGTCAGCAAAAGCATGCCTCGTGCACTTCTGGCCAGCAACAGCTAGTTGCTTTCCTGAACAAGGAAATGGGAAAATGTTTCTGTGCATATGATTGGAGGAAATTGAAATTCTTTGTGAAAAAAACTTATAAATAACCCCCCAGGAGGTTGGGAGGGTTGGTTAGATTTTATTGGATTACCTGCTGAACCGAAAGTAATAAATGGCTGGACCTTTATCTCCTCCCGGCTCCTGAGTTTTATTGGCTAGACCCAGGAGTTTACAGCCTTTTTGGCTTGCACTAATTCCATAATTGATACTGTGAGCGAACAGGATGAAGGGACCATGACGCCTCCATCCAAACAGACCACTCTAACCACCAGTCCTCGCAATTCAGTCAGTAATTCTGTAGACACCATTAAGAGGACGCCTGAACCTAGAACAGTTACCATTAAGATGTCCCAAGTGGAACTCAGAATCCAGATCTGTGGTGGAAACCTGCATGGTATTTTTGTGTCTGATGTAGAAGATGAGAGCTCTGCCAAAGGACCTAACGGGCTGGAGCTTGGAGACATGATACTTGAGTATGGATCTGTTGACATGCGGAACAAAACAGCTGAACTGAAAGTAATAAATGCTGGAACTTATCTCCTCCCGGCTCCTGAGTTTTATTGGCTAGACCCAAGAGTTTACAGCCTTTTTGGCCTTCATCACCAGTAAGGGACCCCTGACCGTTAGGTCCAGTTGTGACCAACTCTGGGGTTGCGGCGCTCATCTCGCTTTATTGGCTGAGGGAGCCAGCATACAGCTTCCAGGTCATGTGGCCAGCATGACTAAGCTGCTTCTGGCGAACCAGAGCAGCGCACGGAAACGCCGTTTACCTTCCCGCCGGAGCGGTACCTATTTATCTACTTGCACTTTGACGTGCTTTCGAACTGCTAGGTTGGCAGGAACAGGGACCGAGCAACAGGAGCTCACCCCGTCGCGGGGATTCGAACCGCCGACCTTCTGATCGGCAAGTCCTAGGCTCTGTGGTTTAACCCACAGCGCCACCCACGTCCCTTTGCATCACCAGTACAGGGAGCTAATTAACTTAGCAATGCTAGAATGACAGTGTCATTGCCAGTTCCTGCTGCTGTCGTTAGTCAATTAAATTTTCACAGCTTTTACATTTTCCTTTCATTGCTATTTCATGCCACAGTTTAATTTTTTCCCTCTCTCTTCCCCACCCCATGTGTATATTACCTGTCAACTACAGCATACCCTTCAACATTTCTCCAATGAAAACAGGGATATCCTATTCCATAATAATGATAATAATAACAATACAGTAATACCTCTGGTTACGAACCATCCTCCTTGCAAACGCTTCGGGTTACAAG